ACTATGAAAGATGGAATGACATGGCTTTACCTATGGTTAGGCTCTTAAGGTTGGCTATATGTGGTTTGGACTATTTTTAAAAAGGCTTTCAAATTGTTCTTTACATTATTGTCTATCACAGACTAGTAAGACACCTTCATCCTTGCCTATTATAGGCTATAAGCGAAAATGGTTCAATCTGAGTGAGAGTATTTTGTTAACCCATGTGGAGACATAAGATCTCATTAAGGTGTATGTACTTTACTTCTTCCTAAGGGATGGAGCTCAGGTGTAAAACTTATATTATGCACATGCAAATGAATGATAGATATATGAAATAAATAAATGAATAACTAAACAAAATATAAGTAAGGAAAAAAAAACAAAGAGGAAAGAAAAAGAAAACAAATCTCAAGTTTATTAGACAAGGCTTGGATAATAAGATATCATTTACTGGCCTGACTCTCTTTATCCCCAGTGGAGTCACCAAACTATTATAACATATAGATTCGTGAACCTATCACTAGACATAGATTAAAGGAGTTGCCACCAAATTTTTTTTGTTTAGGTGTGATTGGCCACCTAATCATCTGATCGAATCTATCTTATTTAAAAATGAGTTTCAAGATTAACTTAGGTATATTTAAATAGTAAATTTTGATTTACAAAATTATATTTTAGGTTCGAGAGTACGGTTATATGTGAAAAAAGTTATAGTACCCTTACAGTGTCCATCAAAAGATGGTACCAATTTAATTTTAAATTATCCAAGCTTTAAACATATTTATAATTTACCAAAATATTTTAATATTGAAAATTAATCTTAAAATTACTCCAATAGTTTAGTAGTAATTTAGGATAATTTCCTCACCTCAAGAGTATTCATGGAGACTAGCGTCCACCCTAAAGAGGCTCAATCATCAGATTTATTAATATATTTTATCCAGAAAAATAATTAGTAAAGTTTTTCAATAGTTTGGTAAGATTTACTTTGATACAAATTTCTAATAGTTTGGTGAGATTTTATTGAAAAATATTTATGAAATTTTGTTTTTGAGAAAACTCATTAAATCCTTCAATAATTTGACAAGATTTAACTTAAGATGCAATCATCCAATATTTTGGTAGGATAAAATACAAAACTTTTATTAAAAACTTATTTTTCTTTTAAAATTTGATTTATGAAATTCTCTAATAGTTTGATAAATTCCATAAAGTTTAAATTCATAAAAAATTCTCTAATAGTTTAGTAGGATTCATGAATTTATTTGAAAAGAGAGTTTTTTTATTTATTCATATTTTTTATTTGTTTTTTTCCAAAAATAAAATAATAAAAGGAATTTTACAAAATATTTAATAAATAATAAATTACTCAAAAAATCAGTAAAATAAAATAAATAAATATACTAAAAATAAAAATAAAAAGCTTAAAAATAAAAATAAAATAAAATAAAAATATGCAATTGGGTTGGGTTGGATGCGCAGGTCGTGCGCAAGTCAACGGGCTGATGTGCGGATCCTGAGCTTACTAAAACAGTATCGTTTGATGCAAGTATAAAAGCCAAGTCCCTCAATTTTTCTGCAGAAGTAACTGGTCCTCTCTCTTTAGTCAAATTTTCTCTACCTTCTCGCTAAATGAAACCAAGAACAGGCCATCGAAAACTGGGCAATTTATCAATTTTTGAAAAAAGTCACTACAAAAAATTCAAACATTTAACCTAAAAATCTAATTTTTTTAGATTTTTCTAGATTTTTCTAGAATCTTTTCAAAAAATTCAATCTAAACCCAGAAACAAGCTTTCAAACTTTCAACCTAGAATCTATAAACCCTAAAACCCAAAAACTTCTAAACCCTCCAAAAATCAACTCGTCAGAAACCCTAAATCCAACAATATTCCCGTTCCTAAAAATCAACTCATCTTTCCTCTAGAAATTTCCTCGCGATTTGTTCTGTGATCTTGTATCTAATTTATAATCAACCTCAGTAGAAATTTTAGGGTTGAAATAGAGCCAATCCAGGCTTGAATCCTAATATTGAATTCTGCTCAAACAGAACCAATTAGGGTTGATAGCTCAACCCGTCCCTTCGACCTGACCTGACCTCATAGGGTCAATTTTTTTTTTTAATAGAGTTTCGGGTCGGGTCAGGTCAAGTATTATTAAGAAAAAATCGGGGTCAAGTCGGGTTTGGGTTTTAGGCAAACCCGACCTGACCTATATTATATAAAAATTATTTTTTAATTTTTTATTTATATATTTATATTTAAAAAATTAATATTTTATTAATTTCAAGTTAGGTCAGGTACGATTTATACAATATCGGATCGAATCGGATTCGGGTATGAAAAAAATTAAAAAAAAAATTTTGGTCTGGTCGGGTTTGGGGCGAGCAAAAATCTGCTTCAACCTGACCCGTTATCAACCTTAGCATTTATCCAGACTTGAATCCTAGGATTGGATTCTATCAAACATAAATTAGGCTCAAATATGACAAGTTTGATTGATTCTATTCTTGGTTTCATGCAAAATTGAAACTCTAATTTCAGTAAATTTAAGATTCAATCGTAGATTATGAAAAAAGGAAAGAAGATGATGATAATAATAATAATAATAATAATATACATAAAAATTAACATTGATTGATCCCACACACAAATGAGTGCCTACGTTGAGATTTATTGAGCTGCCATGGGATGGAACATGCAGGATCAAAACTCTCAATCACAGATGTTTATGGCTAGATCGGACCTGATCAGTCTTCTAAAGGTCCTATTTGAGAGATGACTTTATCCAGCATTCAAAAGGTTGAAATTTTCAAAAATATATGTTAAAATATTATATAAATTACTAAAATATTAATTTTTAATATTTTTAAATATACATTTGAATTTCAATTAAATTAAAAATATTTTTATTAATAATTTAATATTTCGAATTGGTTCCAAAAATCCCCATCCAAAATTCGCTTCTAATTAAATTAGGTTTGCAGACTAAACGGATAGCTCAATTCTTGAACATAACTATTCTTAATTCTCAAAGAAATCATTTGTCTTTTTTTTTTTCTTCAAAGAGTTATAACACAATTATCTTGCTGTATCTAATCTGGAAAGAAAACCCCTTAATATTATCCTTTTTAAGGTGACAAAAGGACCAAATTCATGCACTTAATCTGTACAAGAATCTGGTCCCATAGCAACAAAATGAGTTTAGCTTTAGGGATACAAAAGTTTTTTTAGTGTCTGACTGAAAAGATTTTAACAGTTTTTTGAATGCAACCAAAGTTGCCATATTCATGCATTTAGTCTTTTGATAAATGATCCTCATCCAAAAAATAATAAAAGGTGACAAACTTTGTTGGCAAAAGATATGAAACTTTTTTTTTTTTTGGTGATATGAGAAAACTTGCTGAAATCGTATGCACAGTTTTTGTCGGCTGTTATTCAACTTATCATATGTTTGTGGGGGGTCTATGAAACCTAGAGTTAAAATGGCTATGGCTTTAGGTTTCAAATTTTTGGAAATTTCTTGTAGAAAATTTTGGATTTTAATTATTACTTGCAAACATAAATTGTCTTCATACAATGACAAAAACAGGAAGTGATTTTTGTATTTATCTTTTTTTTTTTCTGTTTTAAAGTTTAAGGTAAATTGAGAAAAACATATACAATGAAAAATTTTAACAGATAGTTGCAATCAATTTCTTCTTAAGAAAAATAATTTTGATATTTGTGAAAAGCTTTTGGAATCAAGTTTAAAAATTGAATAAGCTTTTGATGAGCATATAACTATAAAATTAAATGAATAAATTAAGAAACAAAGTTATTTGACATTGATAGTCCAAATTATTGTTAATAATTAAAGATCATTTACTTGTATGCTGTTTTACTGTCACAATCTAAAAAAAAAAAAAATTCACATGTTGTATGTTACTTTTTAAAATAATTAAGATATTCTTCTATTTTTTTTATATAAAACAAAGCTAAGATTCTCTATATGCAATGGTACATTTCAGAATCATTTTTTTTCCCCAATCTAAGTATTGCCTTAAATGGAACCATATTTTGAGCTAACTTTTAATTGTACCTTCAAGTCTTTTTGCAATATTTATCTATTACCATATATGTTGTTGGCCGCCGGAGCTGATCAAATTGAGGGAGTCTGACAGTCAAATATCAACAACTACGAAGACCTTCCTTCGCATCGGTTGTTTCTTTCAAACTTTTACACATTTTTTTAATCCTAAATATGAAGCAAGTTGATATGTAAGACTTTTACTTTGTTTTATTTATTCCATTTCCTTCTTCTTTGGGAAAGTGAAAAGGAATTGGTCTAACAATTTTTTTTACCAAATAAAAGAAAAAGATCGTAACTTAAAAATTAAAAAAATATAAACATTAAAATTTTAATTTTAAATATATCAGATGTTAAATTTTAAAATTAATTATATAAATTAATTAAATTAGATTTCGAATTTGAAAAATTTTTTATGAAAAAAGTTTGTTGTAATGATGAGGCTATGTATCTAATCACTCTAATTATAGATTATGCACTAAGACAAATAAAACTTTTTTTTCAAAGACCTTGAAGAAAATGAAAATCTAAGAAGATGATACATCAAAAAAATTAATTTAATTTATAAAATTATTATGTGATCTTACAAAGAATCTAATATATATTATTTTAAGAAAAAGCCAATTTTCAAATTCGGTCATTCTGTTTGAAAATTAATTATATTTTTATTTATTCCCTCACTTAATTTTTTACTAGTTTTTAAAGTATCAAAGAGGTATGTTATATATGGATTTTGTTCTAGATATGTTTTGGAGGCAATCAAGATTTAAAAACCAAATCATCAATTTTAATTTTAATTTTAATTTTAATCAATCATATATATCTAATCTATACTATAAGATAACATATCATATGTATTTGCATGAGTAGGACCAACCCACGTGAAGACCATCTCCATATGTGTGACTTGAATGCTATGTAAGCCGCCTAGCCAGTCTCTCCATCTCTTTTCTAATTCTTCTTTCCATCCATCTTTTCATTTTTTATAGGACTTCTTCTTCAATTGCTTAATCAAACTTTCATAAGAGTATATATAGGATTATCACCCACCAAAATAATCCCAACCAAAAATCACTTTCTTTCTTCTCTAAAACTACTAAAAAACCAAAATCATGGAGTTTCAAAGCCAAAAAATATATTCTCCAAAACACAACAAAAAGAGGCTAAACCAAGAGCAAGTGAGGTTGCTAGAGAAAAGTTTCAATGCCAACAAGAAGCTGGAACCTGAGCTCAAGCTTCACCTGGCTAACCAGCTTGGTGTTCCAGCAAGACAAGTAGCAATTTGGTACCAAAACAAGCGAGCCCGGTGGAAGACACAAAGCTTGGAACTTGATTACAACACTCTCCAAGTGAAACTAGAGAATGCATTGTCTGAAAAAAGAAGGCTTGAGAAAGATGTTAAGTATCTTCAAGGAGAGTTAAGGAAAGCTCAAGAGATGATGTTTGCTATGAATAATCAAAGAGATAATCATCGTCAATATCAATATCAACATCAGCATCATCACCTTCCTAATTTTGTTTCTTGCAATTCAAAAGGGTCTAGTGAAGGAGGAAGCTCTGGCTTTCATGAAGACAATGTTCATGATCATGAAGTTTTGCAAATTGATGAACTCTATACTTGTTTGATTGGAGGACATAGGTCAACTTGGAGCTAAGGCGGTTGTGGGAAATTGTTGTTTATTGTAATATTGATGGTGTAATAACAAGTTTCTTGTTGGGTGTCTTAATTTGTAAGAAAATAGTAGAAATCAGTCGTGACTTTTTTAGGCTGTGTTTCGTCGGACGGAGGAAAAGATAAAAAGGATAAAAAATATCATTCAATGGCTAAGTTATGCAGTGAATCAAGGCTGCTGGATTTAAAAAAAAAAAAACTTATCCTTCTTTTTCCCTTCTTGCCAAACACAACTTTAGTAGGATTCTTTAGTGTTACTTTGTAGTAACCATGTTTTATCATGAAAATGTTCATGCACTCTCATATAAAAAGAAAAAAAAAATTTAATGTCTTTATTAAATGATTTGATTTGAAGAAGAAGAGATCCGAGCCCAACTGAACAGGAATATATGCATTTATCATTGAGCAATAAACGCGTAGATGCTATGTTACTTGACTTTTGAGTGATTGATAAACTTGTCCTATAACATTGGCAGAGTGATTGACCCTTCTTTTAACCTATGTAGCTTGTTTCCATCCAACTTAATGCTCGATGCAAGTGGCAAGCTTGACAGAATCCCTTCAACATTCATGCATCATTCCTTGGTAATTGCTTACTTTAATTTCTGTCTCATCTCATTTCTAACACACTTGGGATTTTTTCAGTGATTCATATTTTACCATTTTTTTTTCTAGTATATCATGCTATATCCTAAAAGTCTGATGCATAAGTGTTCTCTGCTAATGGCAAATGGAGTAACTAGATAGATAAGAATCTTTGATTTGAAAGAATATTAATTTTTTATTTACATGGTTTTAAATTTTTATGTACACCAGTAGTCCAGAACTATTGGAGTGTTAATTTTGGAATTTCCAAATACTACATTGTAACATTAAAAAAAATTAAGGTAGTTTATCAAATAAAAATTTCTATTATGTAATTACTTGCTAATTATCAATGAGAACTTATTAATCAAGAAGTGAGTTTATGTCAATTAAGTGTACTTAATTAATATATGTATGCTCAAAGATATAGTTAATTAGATCCAATATTCTAAGAAACATATAGTTAAATCGAAAGTAATTATCATTGTCACCAATTCGTATATCAAAACCAAAGTATTTAGCTTAACGATTGGTGTGTGTATTATTTCCACATAATCAAGGAATTGAGTTTATATTTACCATTATTAGTTTGTTGAATAATTTTGTTTACCTCATAATATAATCAAGTGGTATTTTTATTTCTTAATTAACAATATGATTAGAGGTTGAATTCTTATGTTTAACAGTTAAAGATGCTACTTAAGTAATCTCATTAGGTGACTCGCAGAATAAAAGAAACAATAGCAATTAATGTCGCCTGACCAAGTTGCTTGAAATTAACATCCAAGAATTTGAGAATAGAAGAATAGGTAACAGGTGAAGGGTTTGAACTTTATATCTGTTTAATTTTTATGAGTGATTATATAAATTAATTGAATTAAATCTTATATTTTAAAATTATATATGATTTCATGGATGCTGATAGTTGATATAAATATTTAATTCGTGTACTAGAATTACATGATAGCTGAATTCAACAAATATTTTTGGACTAAAAATAAAAGAAAATTTGTTTACAAGTGGAACATTAGTTTCAGCCAATGATAAGTTATAATCTGTTCAAAGTCTACAACAACTGAGCCGAAGATTTGGACAATGAAATTTTACCAAAACTTTGTAGAAAAATTAGTCAAATTATGAAGCTAATTACAAGGCCAATCACTACAAGTTTTGAAAATAATTTGGAGGCATGGGGAAGTCCCCGAAGCTTGAGGGAATTAATTTAAAAATAATCATTTAATAATAACCACTACTAATTCGAGTCAGACACGTGTTTGAAAAATTTTGTACAAAGCCCAACTTGGACCGAACCAAGCTAGTGAACCACCATTTTCGTGAACAAGTCTATTTCTTAAAAAATTCCTACATATTCTAAGCAACAATAATTTCATTTTTAAATTTGATTCCTCTCAATTAAATTTAATATTTTAACTAATTAAGGTTTTATTTAAGAGTTGATTAGAGAGTTTTCACCGAGTCGAAAAGATTATTCTATAGTTAGATTTTTAAGAGTCCAATCAACTTGTAAGTGGATTCGGGGTTCAATCGTAATATTTGTAATTTTTTTTATTTTTAGATTGTGGTTTCTGTTACAAGCCCAAATTTCAAGAATTAAAATGAAAATTTTCCATAAAGTTATAAGAAGAAGAAGATTCGGAACAAAGACATGAGAGGAAGAAGAAATAGGAAAAATAATTAAGAGAGAAAAGAAAGATTCCATAATTGCATAATCGAATGACAGTACAATGTTCCTTTACTGTTGTTTTATCCTGGTCTCACACCTTATAGTTGCATCCTGGAATTCTCGGATGACAACCTAACAATTCTCAGATGACAACCTAACAATTCTCTTAACTTCCCTCAACGGTAACACATTTTTTAAAATAAAAGGGCCTCACTCAACTTAGGCCTTATAGTAGAATAGAGAATCAATGTCCAGTAATTATAATATAGCTCAAGTCCAACCCCAATCCATTTTGGTCTGTAACAATATCTCCCCTATGAGGAGGATCCTTGTCCTCAAGGATCAAATGCAAATGCTTCTTCAATTCCAACAAGCTCATATATGCTGACATCACCGTGCTATTAGCATTATCAGCAAACTTGTCGACAACAACGTCCTCAATGGAAAGCAAGGGAGACACTCTTTCTGCCCTGTTCTTTTTAGGAAATGGTGATGCTCGACCAAGCTTGTCTTTGACACAAATGATGGTTCAACCAAATATCCTACCTTCAAAACATCTTTGGGAGGTTGTATGTGCTGAATCAACATATCAATGAAACTCAAGGCTAAATAAAAAATTGTGCTGCAAGCCAACCTTAACAAAGGCCTAACATTTAACTTGTAAACAGCATTGCTAAGAGTGACATCCAACTTTGTAAGGGTTATCTCTATGCTCTAGCTAAATAACTTATAAAGGGATTTAAGCACAAATTCAACAATTGATCATCCCTCTGCAAACAGCTCATATCTCTCTTTGTTATCAGCAATCTCATTAAATATCTCAAGGCACTGTTTAACAAGGTTCTTCCTAATCAATTTCAAAATCTTATTCTACTGTAGCATCTCATGAGAAATGTTGAGTTGCAAGTTTTCATAGTCATTAGAGTCAACAACACCTTTCACAAGTCCTAGGTATCCTTGAAGGAGTGCTTCACAGTCATCCATAATGAACACCCTATTAACATGGAACTTGATATTGTTTTTTTTCCAAGTGTCAAAGAGAACAAATGAAGCCCTCTTTAGTACAAACAGAATAGCCTTGAACTTAAGCTGACCTTCAATAAAAAAGCGCTTGAAAACAAGGTGCTCTTCCCAATCATTGGTCAAGCTCTTGTAAGATAAGATACTTCTCCTTAATTATCTCCTTTGGCTTGCACAACCAAATTGGTTTCTGCTTGTTGATGAGTTACCATTCATGAGACCTTTTCTTGATCCTCCTCTCTTCTAAATACTCCATAATCATCTGATAAAAATCCTCGCCTCCTACGTGAATGTCTGTATTTATGGAAATAACCCCGAATACACCATTGTCAACTAAAAAGATATTGGCGTCAAACGTTCCCTCACCAAGGTTAGGACAAGAATGCTATTCTCACTGGTCACATCTGGTTTCCAAGGCTGAATTTGATGAAGTGTCTTCCGTTGGCCTTGAAATTCGAATTGCATAGTCAAGGCAAAGAAGTCCCATATTATAGGTCCTAAGATTTTCAACCATTGAACCCCAAACACCACATCATAATCCTTCAAGGGGAAGGACATAAAGTCAGTTGTGAATTCTGCCTCCAATACTGACCATTGTAAATTCTGACACAAACCAGCGGTCCTAACATTTTCACCATTTGCTATGGTCACACTAGCTTGATAGTTCTATCTAGTGTGTAATCCTAATGCCTTAAGCAGTGATATGACTATAAAATTGTAGGTGCTCCCAGAATCTATCAACACAATTAATTCATTATTTTTTACCACTCCTTGTATCTACATGGTCTGGAACTCAAAAACACCAGGCATCGAGTGTAGAGAAATCATCGGTTGATCATTCCCTTCTTTTTCAGCCATTAACACTTTAAGACTGTCTATACAATCAAAAAATTCTTCCGTGTCACCCATTTTTTCATAATCATCAACAAGTAATTGATATAGTTGAGACCTCATGCACTGATGGCCCACTGTATACTTAGGTCCGCATCAATAACATAATCCCTTCTTCCTCATTTCCTCAATTTCAATTGGTGTAGTTCTTTTGGTAATGGGCTTTAAGCTGTTTATACTACCATAAAGGGTATGGTTTCTGTTTGATGGTTGGTTAAAGGTTTTTATATTGGTTGTTTGAAAAATGTTAGGTTCTGGTGGAGCCTTAGGTGTTGGTAACAAAGAAGGCGAGTTACTGGTTCTTGTGTGAGTACTGGTAGAGATGGTCTGGTATGTAGTAAAAGTTGGTTTTGAACAAGTGTAGGTTCTTTTAGTGTCAAGGTAAATAATAAACTCAATTTGTTTAGCGGAAAGTAAAGCTTGGTTCAAGGTGATAGGCCTAAAGAGTTTAATGGATCGAGAAAAGTTTTGTTTTAAGTTACTTATAAAAATGCTCAAGTCGTAAAAATCAGACAACTGTAAAATATTCAAGATACCCAAAAAATCTTCATAAAATTGCTCTACAGTGGTTGTTTGCTTTAGTTATACTAATTCAGCCATGGGATCATCATATTCTTCATAAGCAAATTTGTCTTTCGTCTCCTTAATATAATCTATCCATATCGATTTATCAAACCCACCTTGTGTCCTGGTATAGTGTTGATACCATTGCAATGCCTTCACCTCTAGACTTAATATTACAACTCTTACTTTAGCAATTTTAAGAACTTTTTTAGCCTTAAAATACTGTTCTAGTTTCATAATCCACCCTTTGAAATCCTCCCTACAAAATTTAAGACAGTCCAATTTAAAAAATCTTAGATGAATCTGGAAATAAATACTTGTTTTGAGATATTGGCAGAAAGTTGTTGAAAATTTCCTCACAATAAAATGGTTATGGAGCTTAAATGCTAGAGGCCAATTCTTTTCCCATTATTTTCTCTGGTCCGCTAACAGAAACTTAATCTCTTTCTTGCTTCTGAGATGTCAAGCTACCATCCTTAGGAGCCATTTCAAGTAGTTTCTTTAAGTGTTTCAATAGTTGAGTTTACATGATTTCAAACCTCTACTCCATCATTGCATCCAGCTGTTGAATATCATTCTGTAGCTTGGAAATATCTTGGGCATTTTGATAGATTTCCTTTTGCATCCTAGTGGTGATCCCATCTGCCATGAGTGCCGGGTCGGGGCTCTGATACCAATGTTACAAACTCAAATTTCAAGAATTAAAATGAAAAAATTTACAGAAAGTCATAAAAAAAAGAAGACTAAGAACAAAGACTTGAGAGGAAGAAGATATAGGGAAGAGAAATTCAAAGAGAAAAAGAGAGATTCCATAATTGCATAATTGAATGACAGTATAGTATTCTTTTACTTTTGTTTTATCCTGCTCTCACACCTCCTACAGCTGCATCTTGAAATTCTCGACAACCTTCCATTCCCTTCCCTCAACAATAACACATATTTTTGTAAGTAAAATGGCCTCCTTACAACAAAATAAAGAAACAAAGTCCAATAATTGTATTAATAACCAAAGGTCATGTCCAATCTATTTTGGTCTATAACATTCTAATTATACAAAAAATGTTTATGAAAAAGTTTTTGGAGGGAATTTTTTCATATAAACTCAAAGAAATTATCTTGATTCAATTAAAAAAATAAAAAACAATTTGTTTTAGGAAAGAAAAAAGGTCAATATACAACTAATGAAAAAAGAAACAATACCAGTAAACGGTGCGTTTTAATGGCATCAGGAAACGCAGCGTTTTTCACGTTAGAATTATATCTTCTTCTTCCCTCTCTTTTTCTTGCCCCTCTCCCTCCAAATCATTAAATCAGTACCCCAAAAACCCAAGCAGTTCGGGAAACCGTAAAACGACCCGATCCAGAACCCTAAATGGCGTCGACATCGGCATCTCGCTCCGACGGCGTCATTGGCAGAATCAGACGCGCCGCTTCCAATCTTTACTCCGATAATCAAACGCTTGTCACCGTAAGTTTTTTTTTTTATTATTAAAGTTTTAATTTTTGTCTATTTTCACAAAACAATTTGAATTCTTTATTTCTTTTTCAGGATATAAGAAAATCTTTGAATTTTATGAGGGAAATCGCGGTGGATTTAGAGAGAGATAATCAAACTGAGATGGTATTTAAATATTTATTTTATATGATAATATATTCTTTTTAAAGCATAAATTTTTATTTTCTTCCCCCTGTTTAGCTACTGGAAATATGTTAAAAGTAAATTTTTTTTTTTAATTTGCTTCTGTGTTGGATTTCTTGGTGTAAAAAGTAGTGGGGAAATGTGGGATTCGATTGGGTTTAGATTTTGTCCAACACCCATAAAACCCCATCTTTTCTTTGTCTTTTGGGTTTCAACTGTGTCGAGACCCATAGTCCTGGAGTCGATTCCAATAAGCTTAGTGGTAAACCCCATTTTTTAAAAACCTTTATATTTGTTTTATTAAGAAAGTGTTGAAATTTTTGAAAAAAAAAATGCATTAAAACTTTTAACTATTGCCTAACCTTTTGCTCGAGTAAAGCCTGAAACAAGATGAGATGATCAAAATGATTATGTAAATATTTATTTTGTCCGTTATCTCCCTTTGATTGATTAATAAGGATGATTAATATGGAGGTAAGTTACATGAGAGTGGTTTATTTTGTTGGTTGGGGTTTTGGTTGTAGCATTGTAACCATGTTGTGTAGTGCCAGCTCCTAGGTTTTTTAGGGTTTTGGAAAGAGTGCTTCATTTGAGTTGTAGCTTTACGGACTGGTTTGTATGTTTCAACCTCTGTTGTTACAATAGCTTCTAGAAAGAGGTCAAAAATAATGTTGAAGAATAAATGAAATAAGCAAAACAATATTTTGATATATGTTGACTTCAAAACCAAAAGTTTAAAGATAATCAGATCACAAAATCCTTTTTGGTACCGTAGATATTGATGATAGTTTGATTTGTAGGTGAAGCAGCTCGAAGATGCTGTTGTTGAACTGGTAGAAGCTCATGAAAACTGCCTACATTATTCATCAGCTATTCAATCTGTTGGAGATGCATACCAACCTGGGACTGAGGTGCATTTTTTTTTATGCATATATATATATATATATATATATATATATATATTGGTTTAGTAATAACATGATATTTAAATGTGCTAACACTTACTAAATTAATGTCATCTGCTGCTTGCATGTTTAACCACAGTTAACTGATTTTAAGAAGTTGCTTGATACCGAGTTTGAAAAGGTCAAGGCTAGTTCATCTTCAAGTCCACAGAATCATCCATTGATACATCAGTTCCGGCAAGCTGTCTGGGTATGTTTTTTAAACTCATCAAGCCATTTTTTGAAATTATTAAGATGGAAGTGTCAAGTCAGTGATTATTTTTTATCTTCTTATACTGCTAATCTGATTTTGTACTAAGGATTGTTGGTCTCCTTGACTTTCCGATTCTGAAACATTATGGGTTGCATATTATGCATGCATTTATATGCATATGTATGTATGTACGTATGTATGTATGTATGTAGACAAAATCAACATGTTTGTTTGTATAGAAATGCAAACTAGCATGGATAATTCGGTTTTGTCAGAATCATTTCCTTCTCTCTCTCTCTCTCTCTCTCTCTCTCTCTCTATATATATATATATATATATATATATATATATATATATATATGCACGGGGGAGGAAAGAAGGTGGAAGACATGAGTAATAATCTAAGAACTATAAAAATGAATGACAGAAAAATGCATAATGCTGAGCAAGTTGAGAATTTGTTCGCAAATGTTTTCTCCTGGCTGATGGTTGCCTCGTATTGTGAAAGGTTAAGCTCATTATGGCTTTGGTTATTTACTTGAAGAAAACATTATAGAATTTATAGGTGCATTATGACCAAAGAAAGCATGTCAAATAACATAGAGTTTTATTGAGATAACCTTGGCCTTTGGTTTTCATGTAGCATTTGTACTGGATATGGTTTTTGGTGGAGTTTCATGCCTTAATCTTTAATAGGAATTTTGGAACAATGGATGTCCTACCTAAGCAAAGACAATAAGTGTAGACCTTATTCTGGTTTTGATGCGTTGGCAATATGGGACCACTGATCTTCTTAAATGTTAAGATGATGTTGTGTAGCCTGGTTTATTCACTACCCCTCCTGTGCAAGTCCACCAGAATGAAAGATTGAACAAAGCATAGGTCCGTCACATACCTTGTACTCAAATTTCATTTCAATCAGAATAGAGGTAGCTATGATTAGAGTCTTGATCGCTTGGTGTAAGAAATTTTACTTACTAATGAAAGCAACAGTCGAGGGACGAGTGTGGAGGTGTGTTTGAGTTCAATAAATACATGGCATTTGAGATTATGGTCAGGGCTGCTTCCCAGTGGCATTTACAATGAAATAGGAGTCCTCATATTAGTTTGCAGTTGGTGGGCAATCTGTTGGTCTCTAAATCTACGAAGCGCTGACTTTCTCTCACTCATGCCAGAATTGAAATACTGGATGCCAAGAGATATTATGTGCCGCACTATTTACGAATGATCTTCATATTTAAGCTTTTATATTAATTGGTAATATGATTTATAACTATTTTGGCTGATCATTCAAGTGGGATTTCTTACATATCCGGTGTTCTTAAATCTTCCTCAGAATGTTCATCATGCTGGACAGCCAATGCCAGGTGAAGAGCAGGAGGATATTGTCTTGACCAGTACGGAGAGCAATATTAAGAATCTTAAATGTCCATTGACTGGAAAGCCTATTACTGAACTAACAGAACCAGTTCGCAGGTATTATGTAGTTAATTATAAACAGATCTTTCAAGTGAAAACTTGTATTTTGTTTTATCTGATTAACTTGTTTATGTTTTGAGAGATGTATTTGCTCTTAGTTGAAAATTTTCTTTATTTTATTCTGTTGTTTTAGGACAGGTGCGTATATATTAGTGTATCATTCAAAAACTTCCCAAAAAGCCAATGTGCTTGGTACAGTATCTTTTAAGTTTCAATTTGAGTGTGAATGGTAGGAAGCATGGGAGTTCCATTGCCTTTTGCTGTAAGAGATTCAGTTGGTTAGGAAAACCTGAAAATCTAACTCATAGAAAGGTGGCCTTTTGGTGTTGCCAATATGATTGAGTTGTTTAGAAACATGAGCATGCATTCGAATTTGCATTTCTGTACCTGTCGTTTTGTTTTAAATGATATCCAGGTTGTTTACCCTGATGCAGCGTGGACTGCAAGCATATTTACGAAAGGAATGCTATCCTGGACTTCATAAAATCCAAGCGTGGCAATGCTAAATGCCCCGTATCAGGTATACCATTTGATTTCATATTAGAGTTATTGTTTCTCTATAGTGCTCTCATTCCTGACCATTTCTTCTTCTATCAGCTTGCCCTAAGATGCTGCAGGCGAAAAAAGTTACCTGCGACCCATTGTTACTCTTTGAGATTGAGGAGCAGCGCTCATTGAGTGAAGAGACTGCTAGAACTGGTGTGATAGAAGATTTTACAGAGATGGAGGCCTCATGAGGAAGAGAGTCCATGATGGAAGCAGTTATGCAACATTCCCGGTTTGATATCATGATTGAGTCACTGTGGTCTCCTAGCTGATTAGATTTCCTTTGTACAGTCTTAATACATAGAAGTGTAATTATGCACCTTTCTTACCGTAATCACTTTCTTCTTTCTTCTTTTGATTTCTGAAACCATTTACTTCTCCATTTTGAAACTTGGATACTCATCATGTTCATACATTTTGCAGAATCATTCTAATTCAGTTCATGAGCGATCTGAGATTAAATTCTGGGTTAATATACTTAAATTTCGTGGAATTTTGTCATTATATTTTTAATTTTGTTAATTTTCATTCGGAATTGATGAAATTTTGTTATTTACATTACCAAAATATTTTGTGAAATTATTTTCTATAAAAAAAATCAAAGAAAATAAAAATGTAATAACAAAATTAATAAAATTAAAGAATAATAATAAATTTTAACATAAAAGATATATTAAATAAAAAATTAAGAAAAACTGAAATATGTGACACTATTAATTTTTATTATAAAATTTAAAAATCAAAACTGTTAAATGTTAATAGTGGATAATGATTTTATTTTATTTTTTTACGTATTAGGTTGGGACAAGTCATATTATTTTTGGGTTTTTGACGCCGTATAAAATTTCTTGCAAGTCTTAAGCATTTATTCTTAAGATACTAGAAAATCTTTCTCGTGGAGCAGAACTTAAGCCATTCTCGACAGCGGCTTTCATGAATAGTACTAGGTTTCCTGTTTCTCGAATCTTTTCTCTGTTCAGCCGTTCTCTTTCTCCTCCAATCATAAACCTATTATTTAATTCAACTCTACCTCATGTTCCTTCATGCAAATTTTCCATTATAGCCCAGTTCTCCTCCTCTTCTTCATCTCTTCCTCCTCCTTCTCCTTTGTATGCTGCAATGGAAACCCAAGTGGGTAGTAGTAGTAGTAGTCGTTGGAGGCCCATGTGTTTGTACTACACTCAAGGCAAGTGTACTCAGGTTTGCCTGCTAGCTTTTCCCACCCCTACTCTTTATCACAAACACTAAGAAAATGCCAACCTTTGTTGATTTTCATTGTTTATTTTCACAATTTCTCTGGTGCTTACCATCTGTTTGACTTAATTTGAAAAGCCTGATTTTTGTGTCCATTTTATATGTGGGTATATTTTTAAACATGTGCTTGTCTTTCTGGGTATACAATTTGGGTTCCACACCTCCACTTGTTATTTTTTGCTGTTTCATTTTATTTTTGAGAGTAAAATTCAAATTTAACTTTTTGAATAACAAAATAAATGACTTTAGTTTTGTATAGAATAATTAATTCTTTGGGAGCGTATTGCATTTTGGTAATATGCAACCAAATATGATTTTTTTTCTTTGTCTTTGTTTTTCCTTTTTAATATTTTTTTTTTACAAAGCATAAGCAAATAATAAGAGCAAGTAACAGAAATACTGATGGAACCAAGCCTTATTATATTAGGATTATGTGGATTTGTTTGGTATTTATTGGTTTCATTGAGGTAAAGTGCTGAAATCCAGAAAAAAAGAAAGTATCATATTTTTGTTGGGTTGTATAAATTTTCATAGTATATGATCGAATTGCATACCATTTTATAGAAAGGTTGGTTGCATAAACTTGCATTTTCCAGCTGCTTATTTTAATTCCCGTCGGACAATGTTGCCATGTCCAGAATAGCATTTTGGTTTGTTTCTTATTAGTCCTGAAATCGAGTAGAACATGTAAATTTGGTTGATTATTGTTTGTGATGTTTGAATGTGGGAAATGCTAGTCTTTTGAATCTCTTAGTCATGTTTAAGTTTTAGATATGAGTAGAAATGTTATTTTCCAAAAAAAAAAAAAGAAGATTAGGTATTGTTAGTTCTGATATCTGATTTAGTCACTCTATCATTTCAGATGGATGATTCTATCCATCTGGAGAAGTTTAATCATGATTGCTCCAGGGATCTTCAAGTTAATGCCACTGACAGTGATAAAAAATGCTCTCAAGATGTGGATTTTCTCTTGGTGCTGGATTTAGAAGGGAAAGTTGAGATACTTGAGTTTCCTGTGCTGCTGATGGATGCAAAATCATTGGGTTTAGTGGATTTCTTCCACAGGTTCCTTTATTTTTTCTTTACAGTATGTTTGGCACCAGTGCAATTCATTTTTAATGATAGTATAATTTTGAAAATTTTGCTTAGATAAAATATATGAGTGTGCTGAAATGTAAAAAAAAAAAGTTTATATTAATTTTGATTCAAGATTTATTAATTAATGTAATTTATATTTTGTACAATAAAAAACTTAGAGTTTAAAAGACTAAATTAAAAGTGAAAAGAAGGCAAGCAAAATTTTGGGGTCATGAATGTAAAACTTAAAAGCTTTGTCCTTCAATAAAAGAAAAAAAAATTCACCCAGTTTTGCAAGTGACTGGTTTTGCCTCCAAAAGTTTGTGGCAAATGATGGACCATTACCTAAGTAATGCCCATTTTGATAGTAGTGTAACTTAGTTGCAACTGAGTTTAGTTCTTTTTCAAAACTGTATATCTAACTTATAAAAAAAAATTGTTACAGGTTTGTGAGGCCCTCTAAGATGAGTGAGCAAGCAATAAACAAATATATTGAAGGAAAATATGGTGAAATTGGGGTTGACAGGTAATACTGAAGCTACTTTTGTTCTATCTTATCAGTGATATTAGCAGCTGCCACTTTGCTGGCTAATTCCTTGCTACGATAATTGGTAGTATTTTGGGCTAATGAAATTTGTTTTCTTGCTAAAATTAACTTGATTGTAGAGTCTGGCATGATACAGCTCTGCCATTTATGGAAGTTATTCAGCAGTTTGAAGCTTGGTTGACTCAACATAACCTATGGAAAAAGGAAGAGGGTGGCTGCCTTGCTTGTGCAGCATTTGTAACTTGGTGAGTCTTGAAATCTATTTGATATTTATTTGTTTTTTGTCTACTGAAGAATGTTCATTTCTTTGATATCAGTGGAAACTGGGATTTGAAGACAAAAATCCCTCAGCAATGCATAGTTTCCGGGATCAAGCTCCCTCCATATTTTATGGAATGGATCAATCTAAAGGATGTTTATCTAAATTTTTATGGGCGTGAGGTAACTACGAGCTTTAATGAGACTGAGCCCCTGTTTTCATCTTTCTTCGATTTGATGCATCTTGGAGCTTTAAATGGATAGTGCATGACAAATACTCATGTCTTGAAATGATAAATTTGATTTTGTGCTTAAATCATTTGTACTCGATTCAATCCCGGGTGAACCTGTTTCCTTCCTGATTAAGATTAAGTTCTTTTGGTTCTATAACTGGTTGTAAAGCCATAATTTTCTAAGCCTTAAGGAAATAATCTCTTTTCTTTTCTTTTGTTTTTAGTTTAAAAGGGTACTGAAGTGTAGGCGGAAAAACTGAAATAGTGATCTTGATGGAAGGCTAGGCACAAGCATAACAGTCATGAACATGTTTGTACTTATTTATTATATCCAACCTTGCATTATCACTCCTTTCTCATCAACAATAACAACAACAACAAAAAAGATCAAAGTTTCATTTGATTTTACTTTTAATTATGTCTTCATATAATTGTTTCTTTAAGGATGCTTGTCTTCTTTGTTCTTATGTGATATGAATTGCTTGACCATGGATAACAGGCCAGAGGAATGATGTCCATGATGAAGCAGCTTGAAATTCCAGCATTGGGTAGTCACCATCTAGGTATTGATGACTCAAAAAATATAGCAAGGGTATTACAACACATGCTTGCTGATGGTGCTCTTATGCAAATTACTGCAAGGAGGCATCCTGAATCTCAAAAAGTTGAATTTCACTATGAGAATCGCATTAGGGCTCCTCAAAGAAGAGAAAGGCGGCTTTAAGCTAAATCTAAACCTTCCAGTGATACTACGGTAGCTGTAAAATTTGGGGAATAGAAACTTGCATTCTTTGGTTTTGACATTTGATGCTATCTTTTTAATCCAGATAATGCTTAGTCAAATTCTTCCTTGGAAGGTTTTGAGTAGTGAGTACTCTATGAGCAGGCTGTGGTTTGGAAACTTGTCTCATTTGCTATATTTGTTGTAGAGCAATATCCAACTGATAGGGATTAAATTTTGTTATCCCAATAATGTAATGGAGATTCACTTTAAGAACATAGTTGTATTTTGTATTTCGTATTTGAGGATGTCAAGAATCAAATCTTAATCATTAAAACTAAAAATTTACCATCAAATCAACATACTGTAGAATGTTGGTAAACTTCGAATTGAGGCAGAAACAGTAATAGCGTGTGAATGATAGCACCATAGAAGATGAATTCAATGTTAAGGTTACACTTAACTTTTGTTTGGTAGTGTGGTAAGATGGGTTCAATGCCAAAACGACATGCAAATGGTGCAATCAAACTCTCTCTAAATCGCTTAACAACCTCAAAATCAACAATGATAGAATCATTAGATATGAACCGAGTGACTCCAATTGACAACATTTTACCAAAATTACTTTGGTAGATAACTGGGTATCTCTCCTCCTCTAAAGAGCCGTTGTACCTTCAAATCTCATTCCTAATAGGCCAATACACTCCGCAATAACTTTATGATATTTTCCCCAACTTTATGATATTTTCATCGACAACAAATCCAGGATATTTGGCGGCAACTTTCGCCTTTTTGGTACGAAAAATGAAGAAAATTCACTCATCTTAGCGACATACCCACTCTTCCATTGAGCGCGTTCCTCTCACTCCCCTCATTTAAGTTGCAACTCACCCTAACAACCTCTAATCAAGTTATCAAGCCCCTAACCCTCAGGCCCCAAAATCAACAACTCCCAAAAAATATATCATTCTAAGTCACGTGTTTTCAACGAGCGTGAAGATGAACAGAAAAATTATCGGAATAAAATGCCTTGGTTAGTATTTTCAGTTTCTCTGAAACCTTATGCCCTAGTATCCTTTTTCACCTGATTTAAAAAAAAAAAAAAAACCCAAAACTTGAAGCAACTCAAAATCCGAACTTTTTTCTCCTAAATTGATTTCTAAGCGATTTTGCTTCATGGGTTTCTCATAATTTTCGATTTCCAATTCGGAACGATCCAACTCAGCGTTTCTCTGGTGAGTTAAGTACTGAGTTCGATCGATTTTTATGTATCTGTAAAAACCATTGCTCTATTGAAGCACCCCATTGAGAAAATTGAAAGATGGATCGTTAGTTGAATACCCATTTGCCTAAAGCTTTGAATTAAAATGATATGCGATAGTTTGTGAAGCTTTAGAAGAAATTTGATATATAAGTTAGTGGTTTTCATATATATTTTGTGGGGGGTTTTGGTCATGCAACTATCACCTTCCTCAGTTTCTTCATCGAAACGGAGGGATTCTTGGCAACAATCGGGTACTAGGCTTCGAAAGAAGCATAAGAGATTAGACGCAATATGTGAGGAAGAGTATAATAGGAACCATGGAGAGGGAAATGAGGGGGATGGTGTTGATGGGTCGGGGAGTGTGGATGTGGAGCTCCGTAGGAGCTTACGGGTCAGGAAGGCACCTGTTATTTTGGATGTGTCGCCTCCGCCTCCGAAGAAAAGGCGGAAGATTGGGAAGAATGGGAGATTTTGTCGGGGGAGGAGGAGCTTAGGGAGTGTGAAGGAGGAGAAAGAGGAGGAGGAGGAGGAGGAGACGAGGGAGGTGCTGACTCTGGGGAGTTGGAGGTCAAGGTTGAGGACGAGGGGAAGGGATGTGAGTCTTGAAGTGAAGATGGAGGAGAGAGTTTTGTCCAGTAGGAGGAGGAAGCTTTTTGAGGATACAGGTGGGAATGAGGAGGAGGATGAGGATGTGGATGCAGATGAGGTTGAGGATGAGGATGAGGATGAGGATGAGAATGAGGAGAAGGAGAAGGAGACGGAAGAGGAGGGTGAAATGGATGGTGGGGAAATGAAGGCTGCAAAATCCAAGAGGCCGAGGAGTATTAAGGCAGCAAGTGGTAGAGAGAGTGAAGAAAAGGCTGAGATTTGTGGCATGGAAGAAGAAAGGGAGCTGGAAAAAGAGGAAATTAAAGGGGAAGGGCTAGTGGAGGGTGCTCCTGTTTTAGACAGAGAAATAAGTCATGGAAATAATAGGAAGGATGAGGTTGTGGAGGGTCCAGCAGTATTAGAGAACGTAATGAGTCATGGAAATGAGGAGAGGATAGATGGTAATGTGGTTGAGTTGGTTAAAGAAGAAGATAGAGAGGTATCAAATTGTATACAATCAGAGGAGGGGTGCATTGGCCATGAAAATATTGAGGTAACTGAAACAATTGAAAGAGTGGAACTGAGGGAAGAACAAGTGCAACAGTTAGAATGTCAGAATGAAAGAGAAAATGAAGACGATGTTGTAGAAGTCGAAAATGTTCCAGAGGAAGTTGAAGATGTTGGTGTTCATGATGCAAAAGATGATGGATTGGTGAAGATTGATGAAAAACCTTCAGAATATCAGAGTGATATGAAGGTACAGGAGTCAAATCAAGCAGCTGCTGATACAATTGGCAAGCCACGTATCAAACAAGGGAGAAGGTGTGGTTTGTGTGGTGGTGGAACTGATGGAAAACCCCCAAAGAAGCTGGTCCATGATGCAGGTGATAGCGAAAATGAAGCATACAGCTTTTCAGCTTCAGAGGAACCAAACTATGACATTTGGGATGGGTTTGGTGACGAACCTGGGTGGCTTGGTCGTCTCCTGGGTCCTATAAATGATCGTTATGGTATTGCTGGAATCTGGGTTCATCAACACTGTGCTGTATGGAGTCCTGAGGTGCAGTTCTGTTTTTTTCCCATTTTATTTTCCACTTTTTCAAACTTAACTTTTTAATTGCCTCTCTCCTTGTGTTGGTGGATATATATGTATAAGTATTCATTATATACATATGCATGCTGATTTTTATCAACTATTATTTCTTCCTTTGTCAGCTTTAGGATTTTATATGCATTTTGGATGTCCACTGTCATTACCATAGCTTGTTTTGGGCTTTTGACACACCCTGGTCTTTTCCCATAGCCTCTTGACCATTATAGTTTTCTTCATGCCTTGTATATCTTGAAATTTCTCTTTTAACAACATTCATTTTTCTATATGCCAACCATAATATAATTTTAGGCAATTAAAGAATTGGTTCTGGACGTTTACAGTATCTATCACTCTTTCATCTCCCCTTTAATTCATCCTTATTCTGCTATATATCCCCTTTCATTGATGTTCATGCCTGTAGGTTTATTTTGCTGGCTTGGGTTGCTTAAAAAATGTTAGGGCAGCGCTTTGCAGAGGAAGAGCATTAAAATGCAGTATATGCGGGCGGCCAGGAGCAACAATTGGTTGCCGTGTTGATCGGTGTCCAAAAACATACCACTTGGTTTGTTTCTTGATATCTTTTGCTCAAAAAAATCTCCCTTAATGCACCCTCCCCTTCTTCTCTACTTCAATTTTTGTTCGGGAAAAAGGAAGAGGTTATATTACTTTCTAATTGATGACATTCCATTTTTTTCAGCCTTGTGCAAGGGCTAATGGATGTATCTTTGATCATCGCAAATTTCTCATAGCCTGCACTGATCATCGGTATCTCTTCCAACCACATGGTACTCAATATTTAGCCCGGATAAAGAAAATGGAAGCTAAGAAAATGAAGTTGGAAATGAGGAAGGTATCAAATGATGCATGGAGAAAGGATATTGAAGCTGAAGAAAAATGGTTGGAGCATTGTGGTGAGGATGAAGAGTTCTTGAAACGTGAGGGCAAGAGACTTCATCGGGATTTGTTAAGAATAGCACCTGTCTATATTGGAGGCTCAGAATCTGAGAGTGGGAAATCTTTTGAGGGTTGGGAATCTGTTGCTGGCTTGCAGGATGTTATCCGATGCATGAAGGAAGTTGTCATCTTACCACTATTATATCCTGAGTTCTTTGACAATCTGGGGCTTACACCTCCCAGAGGTGTTCTTTTGCATGGCTATCCTGGAACAGGTAAAACTCTTGTAGTGCGAGCATTGATTGGTTCTTGTGCTCGCGGCAATAAACGGATTGCATATTTTGCCCGCAAAGGTGCTGACTGCTTAGGAAAATATGTTGGTGATGCTGAACGGCAGCTTAGGCTCTTGTTCCAGGTTGCTGAGAGATGTCAACCTTCTATAATATTCTTTGATGAGATAGATGGCTTAGCACCTCGGCGGACAAGGCAGCAAGATCAGACACATAGTTCAGTTGTGTCCACATTGCTGGCTCTGTTAGATGGTTTAAAGTCCCGAGGTTCAGTGGTGGTGATAGGGGCAACTAATCGCCCTGATGCTGTTGATCCCGCATTGAGGAGGCCAGGGAGATTTGATCGAGAGATTTATTTTCCACTGCCATCATTGGAGGACAGGGCTGCAATCCTTGAACTTCATACTAAAAAATGGCCAAAACCAGTTGCTGGATCTTTGCTCAAATGGGTTGCAAGAAAGACAGTAGGGTTTGCTGGTGCAGATTTGCAGGCTCTTTGTACTCAAGCAGCTATTATTTCTTTGAAGAGGAATTTTCCTTTGCAGGATATGTTGTCTGCTGCTGAAGAGAAAAGTCCTGGTGCTAAACGTGTTCCTCTCCCTATTGTTAGAGTTGAGGAAAGGGATTGGTTGGAGGCTTTGTCATGTTCCCCACCTCCTTGCTCACGTAGAGAGGCAGGAATGGCTGCTCAAGATTTAGTTGCCTCTCCTCTTCCTACCCATCTCATTCCTTGTCTATTGGAACCATTATCCACCTTGCTTGTTTCTCTTCATTTGGATGAACGCCTCTGGTTGCCACCCCTTCTTTCTAAAGGTGGTGCAGTGATTGAGAGTGTGCTTGTTTCCACATTGCATGACAAGAGACTGCCCAAGGATCATTGGTGGTCCCATCTTAATGACCTTCTTCAAGAAGGAGAGGTTGCTAAGGAGATAGAGAGAAAGCTGTCACGTGCTGGAATGTTAATTGGAGAGACTAGCTTTGCTGATTATGATGCTTTCATAGGTGATATTAGTGATGATGGTGCTAAGTTTGAACCCTCAATAGTGCGTAATGGAAGCACATTCTCTAGTTTGTCACGAAATACCTGTTTTACTTCAACAAGGAAAACAGGGTTTCAGATATTAGTTGCTGGAAGTCCCAGGTCTGGCCAAAAGCATCTTGCTTCTTGTCTTCTTCACTGTTTCATCGGGAATGTTGAAATACAGAAAGTTGATTTAGCTACAATTGCACAAGAAGGACATGGTGACTTAATTCACGGAGTGACTCAAATTTTAAGTATGTTCCTCATACTTTATCTTTTTTCTTTTGTAGGTAGCATTAGTTCTTTGGTATACCTGTTTACTTTTTGAGCAACATGAGATAGATTATAAATGCTGACTTCTATCCTTTCACACCATGTGTTTCCCCGCCTCCTTTTGCCTTCTATGCTTCTTGGATCATGTTTAAGCTGCTTGGTACTTCAATTGTTTAGGAATATTTCTTGTCTCTTCTATCTAGGTTAGTTGGAAATATGAGTTAAAGAACCATTAAAGGCCTAACTAAAAGAACAACTTATTTGGCATGGAGTATTTATCTCTTGAAAATGAAGCTAGTGGACCATAGATACTACCCTATGTCAAAAGTTGGAATTCACTGTATGCAATGGCTTCTGGTAAGTTTCATTATGAAGTCAGTAGTGCTAGCTCACATATAATTTGACTAAAAGGGGACTGGCATTATGGAGATTCCTATAGATACCTCAGTGAAACTTAAATAATTGGATTTATTTGTTTCTTGGGCTTGCTTTTTTTTTTTTAATCCTCTTGTGCTCAGTAGCTTAATGGTGAGTGAGAGGTTTGTTGAACATGTATGACAATGACTAAGCACCTTGGTTCATGTTTTAAGCTTTTTATTCTATCCATTCACACCATGTGTTTTGAGGTCAAAAGAAATTTCTTGTGTGAATGTTACATTAAAGGGTTAGGGTTGCTAGATCTAATTCATCTGAAATATCCTTACAAACTATTCAAATTCCATGGCAGTGAAATGTGCAAGCTTGGGGTCAACTGTGGTTTTTATGCCAAGAATAGATTTGTGGGCTGTGGAGACAATTGATCAAGCTGCTGAGGAGAGCAATTCATCTTCAACATTCCATCAAGCTCCTATGGTGGAAGATCCTGAAGTTGTTGAAAAGGAAAATGAATCCTCTCTGCAGCAATCTGAATTGGCAGAGACGGTGGAGGCTACAGTAGCTGTTCAAAGCGTCTCACATGCCTGGAGCTCATTTGTTGAGCAAGTGGAATCTATTTGTGTGACTACATCCTTGATAATTCTGGTATGAATTATTTCATTTACTTATTTGCATTTCAAGATCTAATAGTTTAGTTTATTTTGTTGCTTGAGTAGCTAGGCTCTACTTGTGGAGCTTAGAAATGAAAGTTGTTTTTGCTTTGATCAAAGCAAATTCATATGCTTGATCTAATCAGGGTATCTTTTTTTTTTTTTCTCCAACTGTTCCTTGGGTTGCTTTGATTTGGCTAGTGTCAGGGGGGAACATTGTTGCACTTGCTTGACAATATTTAGATCTAAGTGCTTGGACATTTATTACTATCTAGTTAAATTTCTGTCATTTGACAGTAAAGGTTAATTTGACAGTTGCTGATTAGCAGCTTGTTGGGTAGAATCAGAGAATTGATTGACCTGCATTTGAGAAGCTCTAGGTTAGAGCTTCTTTTATGCAAACATGAACTCAAAGTAGATTGACTGATCAAAATAATGTACAAACTTGAAACTTCATGATCTGGTCCTTAATCTTAAGTTATGACATTGTGAAGTCAATTGTTAAAAACGTGTCAGTGTTTCAGTCTGATCCCTTATTCAATCGGAAATTTCTCTATTAAGATCAAAGTCCCATCCCCCTCTTTCTCCGCCGAACTCTTTCTCTTACTGCCTTAACATGTCTTGCACGCATGTCTAAGTCTTAATGCTTCTTATCTCCCAACAGGCTACTTCTGAAGTTCCATATCTGGAACTCCCTGATAGAATAAGGCAATTTTTTAAGGGTGATCTACCAAATTGCAGTCAGAAAACTACATTAGAGCACATTGTACCCAGATTCACTGTTCATGTTGGTGGGAATTTTAACCATGATATGGCTATCAAACTATCTGCTTCAGAGTTATCAAGGGATATCCTTCAATTGTTTGTTCATTTAATTCATCAAAGATCTCATGTCCATGAAGATTCCAAAACAAAAAATTCTGTCCAAACCTATGGAGCTGCAGAAAATGACAATATATCTCATGGTTTGGCCTGTGAAGTGGGGGTTGGATCACAATTGCATGGTGATTTGTCTGTCATAGCGGCAGCACTACCAGTCAACAGTAGAAATTTGAAGATGAAATCAAGCTTGATGCTGGCAATAACTTCATTTGGCTATCAAATTTTGCGATATCCTCATTTTGCAGAGCTTTGCTGGGTGACATCAAAACTTAAAGAAGGTCCTTCTGCAGATATAGGTGGTCCCTGGAAGGGCTGGCCATTCAACTCTTGTATCATTCGTCCCACCAACTCATTAGACAAGGGAGCTGTTGCTTGTGGCTCCAGCAACATTAAAAACAAAGAGATATTTGGTTTGGTCAGAGGTCTTGTTGCTGTTGGTTTATCAGCATACAGAGGTGTGTACACATCACTTAGAGAAGTTTCATCTGAGGTACGGAAGGTTCTTGAGCTCCTAGTTGGGTGGATTAATGCAAAAGTTAACACTGGAAAAGACAGATATCAGTATGTTCGTATTTTATCTCAAGTTGCTTATATGGAAGATATGGTTTACAGTTGGGTGTATTCACTGCAGAGGTACCCTCTTTCTCATTGCTTATATACTTGTTGGTTCATATATGTATATGGATTATCATCTAACAAGAGACTTGATTCATTTGCAGTTTAGATCAGGATGTTCAAATAAAAGCAGCGAGCTCCAAACCATATGCTTTGGGGTCTCCAGATAATCATTTTACATGTGTGAATGATACAGATCAAACTAAGGAATACAAGTCTCGAAGTTGCCCTGAATCAGAAGGTCTGGGTGCTAACACCAAGGAATTCCCTGTGAAGAATATTGATTTCATTGACTTAAACAAAATGGACGATGATTTTGCTCCTAATCACGAGGAAAAAGCTGAACTTTTTGAAGAAGCTGCACAGGGGATTGGCCTTGACGGTAATACCACTTCCGAGGAGCATCTTAATTCTTCTCTGCTCAACCAACCAATTGTTCATGTAGAAAAGCAGAATGTAACAAATCCTGGACCTTGTGGGTCAGAAAGCACTAGAACTCCTATGGTGGAGGTAGAATTAACTGTGCAAAATATAGACTGCATTGACTTGAACAAGATGGATGATGATTGTGCTCCTAGTCAGCAGGGAAAAGTTGCTGCTGTGGAAGAAAATGTAGAGCAAAAAGGTCTCAGCGATAATTCTACTATGGTGGAGCATCATAACTGTTCTGTGGCTAAGCATCCAGTTCTTGGAGACAAGCAGAATGGGGCAAATCCAGGACCGAGTGGGTTAGAAAGTACTAGAAATCCTATGGTTGAGGGAGATCCTGGGTCCTCAATACAATCTAATGGATTTGCACTGAGTGAATCCGTTCTTTCTGGGAATGGATTCTGTAATTCAGATGAACTGAATGGTGCAAAGTTCTATGGCTCTGGGAAAGCTTGCAACCAGATTAATGCTTCTGAAACAGAGATCACTATCACATCTGAAGATGGCAAGCCCAAAAACAATGAACATAAAGAAGATCCCAATTTCTCTTCAAGCGAAACTGCTCTTCCAACTGAATCAGGGGTCACGTGCTTTTATCGTTGCTGCTCTGGTTGCCTACATACCCTCCTTAGTTTAATGCAAAAAGTTCTGCTTAAACAATGGAAATCAGATGGGAGCCATTGGACGGTAGATGATGTTCATGATACAGTTGCATTATTGTCTGTGGATCTTCTTTCAACAGTTAGGAAAGTTTATGCTGCTGGATGTAGCAGCAATAAATTTGATGGCAACCTGAGAAATGAAAATCATAGAAACTTATCTAACTGTCCAGAATGGAGCCCATGCCGTTGCAAAAGCTCAGAAAATAGTTTAGTTATTCCAATGCAGTGTAGCTGTCACTCTGTAGGCACCCCCTCTCCAAGTATCCAAATCGGGTTTGATCCAAAATTTGTTTACAGAGATGGAGTGATGGTTCCTATGGATTCTAACAAAGAAGTTTCTTTTCACTGTAAATTCGATACATTGTGCCTTTGTTCTCTTATAGAGTCTATTAATGACAAAGCAGCCTTTTGATTGATTTTGTTTTACAGCTTAGATTGTCTGGCTGTGGCAAGGTGAGTTTCTTTGGAGATTAAAATCAAATTTTGTTGGCTGAGTGTTTGCTTAAGGCAGTATCGAATCTTCGCCCACAAGGCATACTAGGATGGTCTTGCTTTCTTTCCTACTCAAACTGCTTCCCCAAATTTTGGTTCTCCTGGGTAGAAGCTAACCTATATACCATGTACATATCATCTGAGTTTATTGCACCTCTGAGTACTGTAAGTATGTTTTCTTATGGCCATTACATAATAATATATATTCCTATTGAGGTTTATTGTTCTGGTGTTTGTCGTCTTTTGCATTCTTTTGTGTTCTGACTAATAATCCATTGATCTGTACTCTATGACTGCAACTGTTGATTTCAATGAGAGGGGAATCCTAAATGCTGCAATTTAAAGGATCAAATTTTGAGATTATGAATGTTGGAAGTTTTATTTTATATCATAGACATTGCCTCTCCAAGTGTGCTTAATATTTAGGCTCCCTGTATTCCCTGAAAATGATATTTATGGTGACATTTCGATGGGGTTTCCTTTGGGACTCTAGCTATGGGATGGAACTATGTTTTGATGCTTGCCTTGCCTTGCCTGTAAGAGCAATAGAAAATTCCTTAGCCTGTTCATAGCTGCTGCTGCTGGATAAATATATTGCAGCATTGTTTCGGACAAGGTTCATCAAAGCTGCTTCATGATTGAGCATGTCTTTTTGGCAATTGGCAATGGTTCCAAAAATTCGTTCTGGACAATTTCAAGAAAAAATAAATGAACAAAATAAAATTTGTGAATGAACCAAAAGGAAAGACCAGAAACGGGTTCCGTTCAGTATAGTATGTGAACAGCTAGCCAAAATGCATCAATCAAAAAAAATGATGTTCTTCCAGCAATCCCATTTGCCAAAAACCCTACAAATTTCAATCCAAACTCACTCTCAAAGAATGAACAAGAAGAGATCAATCTCTTTTTAGAATCTTTCTACAACTGCTAATTACAGCTTAATTATAGAAGAGACAAGAAAGAGTGATAACAACTTATCTTATCAGGCTGGAATATTTTTGGTTTCGCCTAATTAATATTTTAATATTTCAATCAAATAATAATTGTTTCGGTCGTGCCTGTCTGGTGCTTAGAAATTAATTTGATTCTTCATTCAAATCTTTGAAGTATTGTTCTCAAATTGTAATTCACAAATAATATAGCCATTTTTGTGTCATTACTGTCCCTATTGACAGAATTTTTATCTTACTAGTTTTTAACATGTGCATGATTCACGTGTAATTTTTATCTCTAAAAATTCATATCAATAAATTTTTTTTAATATTATGATAACAATGATAAATAATATTAATTTAATTTTGATTTTGATATAATATAAGTAAATTTTGATAACTTTTGATATAATTTTGATTTTGAAAATTTTTTTATAAAATTTTAATAACTTTCAATATAATTTTGGTAATCATTGATAAAATTTTAATAAGTAATTTTAATAATTAACCTTTTAGTAACTTATGATATACTTTTACTAATCATTGATAAAATTCAAGTTATTACATATTTAATAATAGATTCCCGTAAGAAAACTCAAATTTAATTCTAGTATAAAATAATTTTTTATATAATAACAATATTGTTTCATTCAAATTTAGAATTTTTTTATTAAATTTTTTATTGAATAGGCTCGTGATAGGTTTATTCAAGTCTCCCAAAATAAATTTCAAGTTTCATTTTTGCTAATAATCAAAATTTAATTCCTAACCACTTTAAGTCCCAAAAGTTTATCAATGATTAACAATTAAGTTATCATTAATTTATTATTATATTATCATAGATTTATTACTAAGTTATCAGTGATATATTATTAAATTATCAATAATTTACTACTAAATTAATATTAATTTACTACTAACTTGTGAATGATTTATTACTAAATTATGAATTATTTACTATTAAATTATTAATGATTTACTACCAAATTATTGATGATTGTAATAAAGTTATAATTGATTTACTATTAATTTATTGATGATTTACTACAAAGATATAAATAATTAACTAATTTACGATTAAATTATCACTAATTTACGATTAAATTATCACTAATTTACTACTAAATTATCAATAATATACATATAAATTATCAATGATTTACTATTATGTTATTATGCATTTATTATTTTGTTATCCTTAATTTACTATTTAGTTTTTGATTATTTACTACAAAATAATCATAGAATTATTCCAAAATTAACCATGATTTATTATCAAGTTATCACTAATTTATATTAAATTATCTATAATTTACTATTAAGTTATTAATGATTAACTACTACTAAGTTATATTGATTTACTTTTAAATTTCAATAATAAACTACTAAATTATCATTGATTTACTATTAAGTTATTTATAATTTATTACTATAATTATCAATTAACTACTACTAAATTGAAATTTACTTACTATTAAGTTATCACTAATTTACTATTAAATTATAATTGATTTTTTATTAAGTTATTAATAATTAACAACTAAATTATCACTTGTTTTTATTAACCTATCACTGATTTATTAATATGCTGTTATACTTTTAAAACCATGAAACATGAAATTTAAACAACCTACTAATAATATATGAGATAATTTTCTTTTTATATAATAACATTATTGTTTTATTTAAATTTAGAATTTTTTTCACTAATTCTTTTTATTAAATAAGTTTGTGGTAAGTTTATCCTAGTTGTCAAAATAAAAGTTTTGACTTCATTTCTATTAGTAACAAGGGTTCAATCACAGGCAACTTCAAATATAAAAAAAATTATCAATGATTGATAATTAATTTATCAATTATTTACCAGTAAATTATCAAAAATTTATTATTAAATTATCAATGATATTTACTTCTAATTTATGAATGATTTACCATTAAGTTATAAAATATTTATCATTAAGTTGTGAATGATTTCTATTAAATTATTAGTGATTTATTATTAAGTTATCGATGATTTGTTATAAAGTTATATTTAATTTACTACTAATTTATCGATAATTCACTAAAAAGTTATCAATGATTAACTAATATATTATTGAATTATCATTGATTTACAATTAAGTTATTAATAATTTACTATTATATTATTAGTGATATTCTACTAAATTATTAATTTACTATTAAATTACCAATGATTTATTATTATATTTTTATATATTTACTGTTAGAGTATCATTGACTTACTACTTAATTTTTTATTATTTACTACAAAATTACCGATTTATCACTAAATTATCTATAATTCAAGATCAAGTTATTACTAATTTATATTAAATTATGCATGATTTATTATTAAGTTATTATTGATTTACTTTTAAGTTTTCAATGATTAACTACTAAGTTATCAATTATTTACTATTAATTTATCATTGATTTGCTATCAATTAATTATTTTAAATTGAAATTGATTTACTAATAAATTATTACTAATTTACTATTAAATTATCATTGATTTATTACTAAGTTATCAATAATTAACCGCTAAATTATTTTTTATTAAGTTATCCTGGATTTAGTATCATTTTAGTGTACATTTACGTATAATAATATTATAATTGATTTATCATTAAGGTATTATCATAAATTATTATATTATTATTGATATGCTAAAAAGTTATCAATTATTTATCACTAAATTATCATTCATTTATTATTAAGTTATCATTAATTTACTACTAAATTATCGATGATTATTATTATATTATACTGATTACATTTAAGTTCTCACTGATTAATTACTAACTTATTAATTATCTACTACTATATTATCATTGATTTATGTACATCTAAAAAGAAAGTAATCATAATGTACGCAAAATTATATAATTTGTAAGATAAAAAAAGAAAGAAGAAAAAGTTCAAGTTTAAATGATTTGAAAAGTATGAGTAAATGCTCTTAATTTACTCCATAGCTTAACATGTAATAATAAGTTAAAATCATAACTTTTTATACTAATATAAGTATTAAAACTAAATTAAATAAATATATACAAAATATATTAAGTCAATATTTTTAAGATTTTCTTCAAATTTTTTAGTTCATGGTAAAATAGTAGATATTAAGATAAGCATTATTGATAATTTGAATAAATTATTAGTGTATATATTTTCATACTTTTTAATGAAGTAAAATTGTATATAAAAGATTGAAAGTTTTGAAGTGTTCTATTATCAATGGAAGTAATAACTTTACCTTATGTTTCTATTTTTAAGCATATAATTTTAATTAAAGATTTTGTTATATATATGATAAAAGCAATATAAACTTGTTTACTAAATAAATTTTATAAAAATTAAGCAGACAATAATTTTAAAAAATATTAGAATCATAATAATTACTTTCGCATTCTTCATAAATTTTGTTTTTACTAAACAAAAACATGGTATATTTTTAATTGTTACTTCATTCTAATTACCACCATTTAAAATAACTTCTTTGATATTTTAATGCCAATCAATTTCTCCATTTAAAAAGAGTAAAGAATATTTCACATTCTCCATAAAAAATTTCTTCTACCAAATGAAAAGATAATATATTTTTAATTGTTACTTCATTCTTAATACTATCATTCAAAATGGCTTTTTTGATATTTTGATGTCAATTAACTTCTTCATTTGAAAAGAATAAAAAATATTATAAAGGGTCATAACAACTAAAATAATGCTTAATTATATGCTATCTTTATAAATAAGTTTGAACTATGATATGATCTCTTTCAAATGAAATGTTTGAATTGTCTTCTTTAACCTATATAGCTATAACATGATTAATAAATAAACAATTATAAATTCATTGATTTATATTAACATTTTTATAATACAAATTTCAAAATCCTAAAAAAAAAGAAGTATCCTTTAATCTCTGCAAAATTTGGGCAGAAGGATTTTTTTTTCTAAAATTATTATCTAAAACTCTATAACTTTGTACTTAAATTTTTATTATATTGTATTCTTATTTTATTTTGAAATTTATTACAGGTGTCGTAAAAGTATAATTAAAATAGCATAGATTAATAAACTCAAACTTGAAACAATTCAAAACTCAAATTAAATATAAATAAATTTTTTACTTATTTTAAATTTTAATTTAATTAAAAATAATATAATACACATTATTATAAAAATGAACTAACTTAACTCGATTTCAATTGATTTTAAAACATTAACAACTTAGTAATTAATTAAAATCTGAAATGATTGAATATAATCAAAATCTAAATTGAAATAATAGCCTAATTAAAATCCAATATTAGTGATTCACCTTCTGTAATAATTTAAAAGTTTTTTTTATTTAAGTTTCATTTCCCTTCATCTTCAACATTTCATTTTTATTGTTTTTGTGGTTGAATTAGTTAATTAATTTTAAGAGAATTTCTAAATTGCAATTAAAATTATAAGTAATTCATTATACTTATTTTTAATTTAAATTTATGATGATTTAAATCCACCTTTTTAAATAAAAAAAAGTATGTACCAATTATTGAGTCAAATGAGCCCAGATGTATAAGTGAATAATTGAATACACTATAAATAGAAGTATATGATAAAACTTAACTTAACCTAATTGATTTCTAATCCTAAGTTTAAATTTTAACTCAAAATTATAAAAAGTTAAAATTAAAAATAATTGAAATATTAAATACACAATCAAATAAATATTTATCAAATAAATTTTGATAATAAATACCTTTAAATCACTTTTAAATTTAGTTAAATTATAATTTATAATAATTTTTTATTTTAGATGTAAAGGGATAATTAATTTGATAAATTTCAATTCTTTTGAACAAATATTACCTAATATGATAACCTCAAAAAATTTTATATAATAGTTAATATTCTTCAACTAATATAAAAGGGATAATGAGTATATAATATTTCACCAAATAAAAAAGTTTCATATTAATCATAAAAAAATTTGAAATCAATGTATTTGTATATTTTTTATTGAAATATCATATAACACTAATATTTTTTATTATATAGGGATGATAGAGTTATGCATAATCAATCAATTTTTTATTTCTTTTTTCTGTTTAAAATAATCTTCCATTAGTACTTTTATTAATTGAATATAATTGTACGATCTATCAACTAAAAACTTAAATTTTTTTATTTTAAAAATTTTATTATACATAAATTTTTATTATATAAAATATTAAAATACATAATTTTAAAAAATAAAACAAAATAAAATCTTACATTGAAAGAATTCACAAAAAACAATTAATTTTATTTCACTTAGATAATTTTTTACTTAGAATAATTCACATTAGATCATTCAACCACCTAAATTTTTTTATGTGAAAAATCATTTTACTTATAAAAAGAGTCTAATAATAATAAAAAAAGTCATTTAAATTAAAATTTCTAAAAAAATTACTAATGACATTTTGATCGATTACTTTTTAGATTTTTTAAAATTAAAATTTATTAAGAGTATTTTAATTAATCACTTTTAGTATTTTTTTAGTCTAATTATAAAAAGAAAGAGTCTAATAATAAAAAATTCATATAAAAACATTTAGTAAGAATATTTTAGGCAATCATTTTTAATACTTTTAGAATTAAATTTTTAAAATTTTAAATAATTTAATTTTACATCATTTTAATTTTAGTTTATTATAATTAAATTTTAATAAATTAATAGAATTTATACATATTTAAGGATAAATTTATTAATTTAAAATTTATAAAAGTATTTAAGTCGTTTATTATTAATAGTTTTGGAGTTCACACTTTTCTATATAGATAGATGATAGATTATATGCTTACAATATTTTATCCAATATTCTGAAATCAGACATGATCAAACTCGTAAATTCTATTATTCTCTAAATTATAGAGATATTCAATGATTGAACATGAGTTGGCATTTGAGGCTCAACTTCTTTTTATTAAATGAGGTTTTTTAGTTTTATCCAATTTATTTTTTTTTAAGTTGATTCAAATAAATTTATTTATATTAAATCTAACAAAATCATGAAAAATTATTTTTTTACATAGCACATTTTCTTTATTTTTGTCATGAAGGTTAACCATCCGTTGGTAATTTATAATTTGAGGCTAGTTTAAATTTATACTATGGGTTTAGAAAAGATTATATATTTAAATTAACTTAATGGTATGCATACTTTAAAATAAGTGTATATATATATGAAGAGAAAATTGTGAGAAATGTCAAACCCTGCTGACAATCAATGCCAGAAATCAAGGTCGGTGGCTTCAATTTCTAGCCCATGATTGAAGGAGGTTCTACCAAAAAAATAATACAACTCGAACCCTCTTGAACTTCTAACCAACAGCCAAAGAAAAACACCTAAATCTGCAGTTTCGATTGGCAATGACTTGTTTTCATACTTGTCCAAAAACATTTAACATTAGCTGTCAAAACCATATTTTATATGTAATAATAAACGACTGTCACATGGGCAATGTGCTGGCAATGACAGAAATCATAGCATATGAAAAGTAACACTTCCCCCATATTTCTTAGTTGTTAGAATTAAATTTCAGACATTTCACTTCAATTTCTAGCTCATCTTTCTAGTTCTAAGCATCAAATTTGGCTACCAAGTCTTTCCTTCAATATAATATTTGGTTGTGACCTTGAAGCACATGGTATCCTTACCCCACTTGACTTTTCCTAATCAGTTTCATTCAATAGATGACAGAATAAAAAGAAGAAGATACTAAGAATCCTCCCATGTGGGTCTTTCTTATCAGTTTGTTAGGGGTTAGAAGCTTGTGGTTGCAGCAATGGAGAATAGTCATGACCATCATGACATTTGTGAGTCTTCTTCCGGTGAAGCTGATCAGAAAGTGGAAGTTCTTGATCTTTTGGAGGAGTCTTGGTTTTTTGAGAACTTGTTCAATAGGAGAAGAAGGATGTTAAGATGTTATTCTGATCCTTGTACTTCATCAAACTTTAGCCAAGAGGTTTTGGCAAAAGATTCATGTATCCAAAACTCTGAATCAACAAAGAAATTCCAGGATAAAGGTTCAGCACATTGTAGTTTGATAGGGAGGGAGGAACAGGTTCAAGAAAGGAAAAGCAATGATGGGAGGAGCAAATTGAATAGGCAATTATCTCTTCAAGCATCAGAAACAACTTGTACAGAGAAGATACATGAGATTCAAGAAAAGAAAACTGATAGGAAGAGCCAATTGAGTGGACAATCATCGCGAATTAATCTGCTGAGGACACCTTCCTTGCCAACTTCTAAGGGGAGGAGAGAGTTAATTCAAGATAATGACAGTGATATTAGAATGAGCAAATTGATTCGACAAGCATTGGCTAACTCTTCTGACACCTTGCCCCCAAGGCACAGTCCTAGTAAGGTACTGGTACTATAGAATCTTCTGCAATTTCATAATGCATACTTGAATTGATTCATTTGATCCTTATATGTTCAGTATAATTTATGTAATGAGCTAAAGCTAGCAAAATTCCGCTGAATTCTGATATATGTGGCTTGAATGATATGGAAATGAGAATTGCACATGTATCTGTCATCTTTTTTACAAAGAAAGCTGCGGCCTAAAAATAAGGGAAGAGACTACAGGTACTGAGATTTAATCTTTAGACCTGCTAAATTCCACTTATAAAGGTTGACTATATAAACCGACTGAACTAAGATTCGAGTTTGTCATTTTTCATTTCATTATCTAATGTTCAAACATTGCATTTGCAGGCCATGACACAAAGTTGCAGCATGCAAAGATGTAGACGACCAAGAAATCTAGAAATGGAAACGACTAACAATACCAATGTGGTTCAGGAAATGAGACGACGGTATTCAAATCAGAAGATACTGCAAAAAAGCCAAAGTGATCTTGCATTCCAGGAACTGCAAGGGTTCAAGGATTTAGGATTCACATTTGACAAGGAAGACCTGAGCCCCGGTGTTGTGAGCATACTCCCAGGCCTGCAGGAAAACAAGATAGAGGACTCGAAACAAGATAACGTGAGGAGGCCTTATTTGTCTGAGGCATGGCTTGTACAAAGCCATCCACCTCCCATTCCAAATTGTGTATCTAAGGATTCAGCAGAAGATATGAAAGAACAACTCAAGTTTTGGGCCAGAGCTGTGGCAACTAATGTTCGACAAGAGTGCTGAAAAATCGTTAAACATTAACAATTTCTTCTACCAAAGAAAGAGGTGATTCTTTCCTCAGTGTTCAAGTTCAGAAGGCAAAGATGGAAGGGAAGTTCTTGTCTGATAGTAGTTTGAATTTTTTATGTGAACAATTTTGTGGTGCCTGTAACTCTTATGTTGATAAACTAACGTGGATATTAATAACAATAATTCGTTCTTGTAATCACAATAATCCATTGATTAGCTCCATAGAGTAAATTATAGAAGTTTGAGAGGAGAAAGAGGTAGGAGAAATCAAAATGATATTCAGTTCAAGATTTTATTTTCTTTTTCAAGTTTGTTCACTTTTCTTTTTTTTTCATTTGCAGATCTTCAAATTCAAAAGTTTTTTTTAAAAGAAAATGCAGAATGATGATTTGACACAAATTATTCACATATCAAAAAATTATAAAAAAGTTAGAAAAAACATTGAATTAAGGGTGCTTCTAAAAGCACCTCTTTTTTTTTTTTACATTTCATTTTTCTAAAAAATTTTTATAAATGAAATTATTTAATTATCATTTTTTATAAGTTTTCGAATATTTATATCCCATAATTTTTATAATTTATCGAAAATTGATTTTTGAAGAAGAAGAGAATGAAAATTTAAGGGAAATTACAAAAAAATAAAATTTTATTAAAAATTTTTATTAATTAGTGTAATTAAAAAAGTTATTATTAAAAAAATTATAAATTTTTAAATTAATAAAAAAGTTAATTTTATTATTTTAACCTTAAAATAAATAAAATCTTATGAGGTGTTAATTAAACTAAGGATAAAAATAGTAAATACAACTTTTTTCTTATAAATTTAAAATTTATTATTTCTTTTTTAATAATTTTTTATATCGATTATTAAAATTTTATAATAACTCTAATTAAATTGAACTTTATGAAAAAGTCTCTTCATTTTTTTATCACAATGAATTTTTTTAATTAACATATTAAATTTTGATAAAATTATGTAGTATCCAATAATATTATTTATTCTTATTCAGCTTTCAAAATTTTCAATTTTTATATGTTAGATTAGACCTAATAGTTTTTTTATCATCTTTCATAACATTAAAAAACAAAATATTTAATTAAGATTTCATAAGAATTTTTTAATTCCAAAATAGTAAAATCAACTTTTTTTTTTATTAATTTTAAATTTTATAAGTTTTTCAATAATAGTTTTTTTATTACATTAATTAATAAAAATTTTTCCTAAAATTTTTTTTTATAATTTTTCTTAAATTTTTACTACTTTACCCTCCAAAAATAAATTTTCGATAACCTAGCAATTAGAATTTTCCTTGAATTAATTTACATACTTTAAAAGAAAAGAATTGAGAATAAATAAACCCATTTCCATTCTAACTGACACAACAACAATATCCAACAGATATTTTACACACACTTCAGCGTTCAGCTTCACTTCAATTCCCATTTGAATCAACAAAAACCAGAATCCATAAAAGATTTTGATGACAAACAAACCAAAATAGCCCCAGAAAAAGACTCATCCTTTTCCATCCTTCTCTGAAACTAAAACCTTTGCTGCAAATGCTTCAATCTCTCCATCTCCTTTCCTCCCCTTCCCCTCTCTCTTTCCCTACCCCCCACTGCCCATCTTCTTCCCCACTCTTCTCTCTCCGAAAACCCAGCTTTTTCTCTCCTTTCTCTTTACACCCCAAAGTCCTCCTTGGGCCATTGTTTGCTCAAGCTCGAAAACCTATCACCACCATTGCAGAAGCAGAAGAAGAAGAGGGTCCCTTTGAGTTGCCACCATCTTCTAATTCTTCTTCAATCTTTGCTACAAGTGATGACCCCACTCCTCTCCAAACTGCCACCGGTGTTTTGCTTACTGGTGCCATTGGGGTCTTCCTGTTTCGGTCCCTTAGACGCCGTGCTAAGCGTGCTAAAGAGCTGGTGAGTGAGTATATCCACCTAGCTGTAAAGAAAACTTTTCTCTTGTCTGTTTTGGTTGCTTGTGTCAAATTTTCAATTTGGAGAATTGGGTTTTCTTTTAATCTCCCATTAAAAATTAAAACTCTATTGATATTGGGTTTCAGCGTTCTATTCTTATTGTTGATTTTGTTTTGGTTTTTCCTATTCACTCTTATCAAACTTCTTCAATTATATCTAGGCCTTCCTGTGTTTTCATTAGTCTTACTTCGTTGCAAATGTAAATTAGACCAAAGTATCTGTTCTTTTATTTTGCAGTTTTATTTCAATTTTCTGTGTGTTTTCCTTTTCTTTTTCAATTTATGTCTTATTATGTCTGGAGTTGGATATTAAAGAAAAGATTTTTGTTGTCTCTAGAGATTGAGGTCATCAGGGATAAAGAAATCATTGAAGGAAGAGGCACTAGATAACTTGAAAGCAATGGCGTCAGCTTCAATTGAAACCAAGTCGTCCACACCCTCACCAGTTCAGGCATTGTTGGGAAGCATAGCTGCGGGTGTCATTGCTCTTATTCTTTATAAGTTCACCACTACTATTGAAGCAGCTTTTAGTCGCCAGACAGTTTCTGATAATTTCTCGGTTGGTCCTTTTAGTGCCCTTATCTGTGCCTGTATTTAGTATTTCTTTTTTATTTGGTTTAGTTGCTTGATTCTTTGATTTTGTGAGTAGTTACCTCTACTGTTCACAATATTTTTTACATGATGGAAAAACTATCACAATGCTCATGAAAGATGAGGGATAGTGACTTCATGTATATCCCATGTGAATAAGGATATCATTAAATCTGTTTGATGTGACTTTGGATTTGATCATAGGTGACTATTGATAGCACATATGCAATATATATTTTGCATGGTAAAATCTGGTGTGTGTTGATTCACTTTGAATATGGAAGCATACCTTAATGTCCTTGTTTTAAGATTTTATACAAGGTTAGATAGGAGCAGCTACTTAGGAAGCCCCTGGGAGTATACAACACCAGACTTTACACTCTTTATCGTGCCTCGTAGGAAAATGATATTCAGGTAGAGAATTTCAAGGGTTTCATATTTTGACAATTAATAAGTATGGACCGTATAAGACCTCATACAGTATCTTTTATGTAGTACATGGTGCCATTTCCAGTTCGAGAGTAGTTACTTAAACAGTGTCATTTTTCTCAAACATTTTCATCTTTATCATCCTATCCTATCCATCTTTTTATGCACCAAGCATGACCATTATGTAGTACATGGTAGTATGGTACCAGTTCCAGTTCGAGAATGGTTACTTAAGCAGTGTCATTTTTCTCAAACATTTTCATCTTTATGCTTTGCAGGTTCGTCAGATATCGATAACTATCAGGTAGCTCTCACTAGTGCTTCATTTAACTCCTGGCTGTAAATCTTTTTGGTTTTCATCCCTCGTACAATTGCTTGCAGGACTATCGTGAACGGATTGTGCTACCTTGCAACTTTTGTTTTTGGCATCAATTCTCTTGGCTTATTCCTTTATTCGGGTCAACTTGCCATAAGTTCCTTCATGGACGGTTCCACACGTAAAGAAAATGAGAGTAAAGGTGAGGAGAATGTTGGCTCACTAAGTTCTGTGAAAGAAAATGCTGTAGAGGGGACAGAATTGACGAGCAGCAGGGAGGATCAGAGTCCAGGTGGTAAACAATAGTGCTAGAGGTTATCAACAGATAGTGGAAGAAATAGGCATTACGTACACTTTACTCATTTGCAAGGAGGAAATGTAAATGTTTTGCCACATTGTTTCATATATATGACTTTTCTTTCTTGATAGCTATGCTGTTTCATAGTCACAACCTCCCATTTTTTATATGAATGATCAATCCTCCAGGCAGTTGGTACCTTATTGCTATAAACTGTAATTCGGGACAGCTTAAAAAGAGTAATGGCAAGGTATAATCCATGCGGCAGTCCCCTCATAGTGGGAAAAGTTTTGCTTCTTCTTGTTGATTGTAAAATGTGATGAACTTCGTAACTGCTGCTGCAGAGATGCACAATATTCAAGGTTGATCAATCTCCATTCTCTTTTCTTCAAACCTAATATCCATGACTCAATTCTACTTATTTTTAATCGATTGGTACATTATATGGAAATGCAGGCATCTGAATAAGGAAGACTTGGTAGGCAGACATGAATGATAAACTGTTAGAAAAAATAATTTCAGCTTTGAGACGTGAAGAATATTGTTTTAAAGGTAATTAACCTTCTAAAATACGACAAATTCTCAGATTCTCCAAACAAAAATAATAAAAGTGGTTATGCATAAATTTATTTATAATTGATGAACAAATATGTCTTTTTGATAAATAATCATACCAATTTATTTAAATAGTTAAAACTTTTTTTGTTATATAATTATTATAAACGAATATTTCTATTCAAACATAATCATTCATTTAATAGTTCTAACTCTTTTGTTACATAACTATTTTTAACAAATATTTCTTATTCAAACATAATTAGTCAAACTATAAATAATTAAAACAAATGTTAAATCTATTCACCACCAAACAACATTCTAAACTACCAACATAACCACTTGGGACCAAAACAACATCCAAGTATTCCTTCTTTCAAACTATTTTCTTTGTCTGTCAGCACTTAGGATTCATAATTCATAAGCTTTTATTATTATGACTAGGCTTTGAGTTTATATTTTATACTGATTGTTTGACTAATGCCGCTGTCATATTGTCTTATTTGCATTAATTATAGAGAATTATGAAAAAAATGTGACTTACACATATGCATTACACTTTTCTTTCCCTCTCATGTTTTCTTTTCCTCTCATTTACATGGAGAGGGGAAGAAAATTGTTATTATTATTTATTGATTATTGATTACTTGTTATGGTACTCACTATCTGCATGGGAGAAAATTGAAGGAAAAAAAAAAAGTAATAAAAGCAATTCGCATGTCAGACCTTAACTTCACTTTTTTTCGAGTAGAAAACATTATTTTGATATAATTCTTTGATTGTTTAATTTAAGCAATTCATTTTCTCTCAAATTTGGTGAAGACCAACTCAACTGGTAACTTGATATATTAACATATCAGTTTAACTCTTCCTACAATCTGTCTATTGAGACCAAACATTCACTTTGTTTAAGACTAAAGATTCAATGTTGTCCTACTTTCTAAGCAAGCTGTTTAGTTTATATACACAAAGAAATTGGGCTTTTAATGGTGTTTTTTTTTTTTTCAACCGATGTTTGTAACAGTTAACAGCATTTTTAAAATACGCCGCAAAAAACGTTGGCTATTCACATGTTAGGAAATTTTGGGCGTTTTTGGAAGTGTACATATAGCATATATGTGCTATATGTACTATGAAGTTGATTCAGATCAAAGATTATTGTTAACAGTGTTACATTAACAAAGAAGGATATGGAGGCTAAACATGTAATTGGTACATAATGATGAGTGGAAAGTTTGTCAGGAACTTGAAACTTTACGGTACATACGCAGATTAATGCAGCACTTGCTCATGATTTTGTTAAAGCTAGCCACGAAGAGATCCCAAACAAAATGAGTTTTGGAAACAGAAACACAGAATGTTGCTTCTTTGAAGCTGGATGTTTTGCTAAAATCAATTCAAGGTGGAAATGGTGGACTAACCAGCTGTTGCTTTTGAACTTAATAACTCGATCCACTCGGTTTGTTGTGCACCTTATCTGTCATGATGCTCAATAACTGTACTAGCTACCGCAGCTAACTCCCCACGGATCTTTGTAAACTGGTTATGAGAGTTGGCTGGTTCAAACTTATGTAATGGGGTCGCGTTTCTGTCAAGCATGTGCAAAATCACCACCATAATCACTGAAGCAGCAAACATTGGAATTGGACCAAAAATCCACAGCAGCAAGGTGGTGGCAAGGTATATTGCTCGTAAGCCGATTGACCAACAAGCACTGCCTCTTATCACTGCCTTCTGGACATAACTTGCTGGAATATCTGCATTTGGCATGCTGATAAGGAAACTAGCATGGACAAAGTTCGTAACACATTGAAGAAACGAACCGAAAGCCACCATGAAACAGATAAGAAGGCTGACCTATTTGACAGAGATGATTGATGAGTTTGTATTGCCATAATTAAGACTGTTTCTGAAGAGATTATGAGAAGAATCAGCAAGCCATGTTCCAATGAGAGAACTCAAAGTTAGAGATACTGTTGCCAGGAAAGTTGATGCTGAGATTGTGCTGTTGATTGTTGTTAATGCTAAGCCTATATCCTTCGCCTCAACCTGAAAAACATTCAACAAAATTACTGATTAAATAATAATCAAAGCTGAATTTTGTTTATATTGAAGAAGAGGAGCTGACCTGCAACATTCTCTCAACCCATGCTTTCCTGCAGTGGTTTTCATAGCCAATGACAGTGGTTTGCGGTAATTTGAGACATCTATACAGAAGAAAGACATGGTAAGCAGACATGATCAACAACCCACTTGGGACCAAAACTAAATCCAAGTATTCCTTGGTCCAAGCCATGATTTTTTGTCTTTCAAATTAACTGTAGAGGAGAATCAATGTCCAGTATTAATAAGCCTTTGCTATTACTGCCAGGGTGTGATTAATTTCATGGTGGATTAGTTTAACTGATAAAGTTCATTGCTCTATCACATTGTCTTATTTGGACTAAATTATAGACGATGACATAGAATGCAGCTTTTCCTTCAAAGAAATGCAACTTAGCATAGTTTGTTTTTTGTTAGCAAAACATGGAATAGCATTAAAACCTTTTTTAAAAAATTACTACATTGATCTTATTTGATTTTGAGTACACTAAATTCGAAACTTAATTTAATTCATACAATTATATTTAAAAGATGATTTATATTATTAAAAATTCATTTCATGTATCAATTAGACTTTATTTAATGATAAAAGAGATTTATATTTTATATATTATCAAGATGCTATATACTATTAGAACATCATAAGTCACAACATAATTAATTTATTTTAAAATAATTAAATATTTAAATTTTAAAGATTTTATAATTTTAAAATTTTAACAATAATGCAATAATTTGTGGTGAACTAATAGTATATAGCACTATAAACCTAGAGTTTACCAAATATAAACTTTTAAAAAATTTATACATATGATTTGATATGCAAATATTCTAATATTATTTTACTCAAAGGCTTTAAGCAAATATAAACTCATAAAGAAGAATAAAATTTTAACATATATATTTGATCAACATTAAGAAACCAAAATAAATATGAAATGTGGATGTTGACCGATGGGCATAAATAAATGTTCTAGATTTGTAAGGAAAAAAAAAATGTTTCAACTAGGCAGCATAGAATAATAGAGAGCATATTTGGTTGGAAATTTGGTAGTGATCAAGATAATTTGTCCAACTTAAATTAGTGTGGTTTTTTTTTTTTTTTTGGTCAATTAAAATTATTATGTTTATCATCAAAATTTAATCGCCAAAAATTTCGATCATAAAATTATTTTTAGATTTTTTTTTTTGTAAAAAAATTGTTGGCGTTGTCAATATTTATTTATTTATAATGGGAAGCAATGATTGGTAGAGGTTTAAAAAGTTAGAAGAATATAAATTGCTTTTTGCTGTATGAAGTACAAAGATATTGTAACTAAATCCTGAAAGGTTCCATTGTCAATTCTATTACCTCATTCAATCCCTGAATCCTGATGGGCTGTTACTCCCATCTTCTCTTCAATTGAATTTAGAAAAACATTATCAATATCGAAATTAACCTCATCTATCTGTCTGATTTCCATAACTACATCTCGTATCATTATGAATTTGATCTGTTGAAAAATTGCAATCAAAATCAGCATGGGATTGCTGTAATTGTATGCATTGATTGATTGTTAAATGATAAGCCCAATGAAAAAGCCCATTATCATAGTTTCAGACAGGAACAAAACTCAAAGCAAGAACACACTTGAAAGAGCAACCTTAAAAGGACAAATGTAGATCAAAACCCTAGTTAAATCCTCCTCCTCTGTGTCACTTTCTTGTTTCGTCTCTCTCTTCACTCTAAACAGCGGCGGCTGCGGCCACCCTAAACAACTTTAAAATCCCAACGATGAACTGCTGCAAAAACTTCTCTTCTTCTTCCACTTCCCATTTCTCTGCTTTTTCCAAGCCTTTCCTTCCCAAATCCTTCAGCTTCCCTGTTTTCTTCTTTTTCTCTTCCACGACCCCTAAACAATACCCCAAATCTTTCTACCTCCGTTCATGTCCACCGCAACGCCGCCTTTCTGGTACGGTGGCGGCCAAGGGGCGACCAATCCAAGCATATTCCACCGCCAACACCGAAGAAAAGGGTCCCAAAGTAGACAAACGAACGGATTTGAAAAAGATAATGATCCTTGGAGCCGGTCCAATTGTCATCGGCCAAGCTTGTGAATTTGATTACTCGGGTACCCAAGCTTGCAAAGCGTTAAGAGAAGAAGGGTACGAGGTAGTTTTGATAAATTCTAATCCTGCAACGATCATGACCGACCCGGAAATGGCGAACCGGACTTACATAACTCCGATGACACCCGATTTAGTCGAACAAGTCCTCGAAAAAGAACGTCCCGACGCGCTCTTACCCACAATGGGTGGCCAAACCGCCTTAAACCTCGCTGTGGCGTTAGCAGAATCCGGGGTTTTAGACAGATACGGCGTGGAATTAATAGGAGCAAAGCTGGACGCCATTAAAAAAGCCGAGGATCGTGAGTTGTTCAAGCAAGCTATGAAAAATATAGGTATAAAAACTCCACCTTCTGGGATAGGGAATACGTTAGATGAATGTATCGAAATAGCCAAAGAAATTGGGGAGTTCCCATTGATCATTAGGCCTGCGTTTACTTTAGGAGGGACTGGAGGCGGGATAGCTTATAATAAGGAAGAGTTTGAGGCCATTTGTAAGGCGGGTTTGGCTGCGAGTTTGACTTCGCAGGTTTTAGTTGAGAAATCATTGTTAGGATGGAAAGAATATGAGTTGGAGGTTATGAGGGACTTGGCTGATAATGTTGTGATCATTTGTTCAATTGAGAATATTGATCCAATGGGAGTGCATACAGGGGATTCGATTACTGTGGCGCCTGCACAGACTTTGACTGATAAGGAGTATCAGAGGTTGAGGGATTATAGTGTTAAGATTATTAGGGAGATTGGTGTGGAGTGTGGAGGTTCGAATGTGCAATTTGCTGTTAATCCTGTTGATGGTGAAGTTATGGTCATTGAGATGAATCCAAGGGTTTCAAGGAGTTCTGCTTTGGCTTCTAAAGCTACGGGGTTTCCTATTGCGAAAATGGCTGCTAAGTTGTCAGTTGGTTATACGTTGGATCAGATTCCAAATGATATTACCAAGAAGACTCCTGCTAGTTTTGAGCCTTCTATTGATTATGTGGTGACTAAGGTAAGAACTTCGTATTTGCCTTGTTCTTTGTATGCTTTTGTTTTGCTTTCAGAGTAGTTCAGATGAAGCAAGGAGTAGATTGTTTATCAACTATAAAACCTGACTGTATTGAGGCATCTGTGTTTAATGGTTATGAATAGTTATTTACAACTGATGATTCATCTCATAGAAGGAACAATACGTTAGGGTCTCTATCTGTGTTTTAATTGCCTTTTTTATATAAATAACTTTTTGCCTAGATTGAGATAGCATTTAATATTTTATTTACTTGCATGTGAATTTATATCATCAGCTTATGAATTTCTTATTTTTCCAAAATCTTTCATCTATACAAATGTTGCAGATCCCACGGTTTGCATTCGAGAAATTCCCTGGTTCTCAGCCAATGTTGACAACCCAGATGAAATCTGTTGGGGAATCCATGGCTCTAGGCCGCACATTTCAAGAATCCTTTCAGAAGGCAGTTCGATCACTAGAATGTGGCTACTCTGGATGGGGTTGTGCAAAAGTTAAAGAACTTGACTGGGATTGGGACCAATTGAAGTACAGTCTCAGAGTCCCCAGCCCAGATCGAATCCATGCTTTATATGCTGTAATGAAGAAGGGGATGAAAGTGGATGATATATACGAGCTGAGTTTCATTGACAAATGGTTCCTCACTCAGCTTAAAGAATTAGTAGATGTGGAGCAATATCTTCTGTCTCGAAGTTTGTCTGATCTGACAAAGGATGAATTTTATGAAGTCAAAAAGAGAGGCTTTAGTGATAAGCAGATAGCCTTTGCAACTAAGTCATCAGAGAAAGAAGTCCGGGAAAAGCGAATATTGATGGGAGTAACTCCAGCATATAAGAGGGTAGATACCTGTGCTGCTGAATTCGAGGCCAATACCCCTTATATGTACTCCTCATACGATTTTGAGTGTGAATCCACTCCTACTGAAAAGAAGAAGGTTTTGATTTTGGGTGGAGGACCAAATCGTATCGGTCAGGGGATTGAGTTTGACTACTGCTGTTGCCATACATCTTTTGCCCTTCAGGTTTGAGTTACCTTCTTCCTGTTTATGCTTCCATAGATTTAATATGGTGAAGCTGCTTGTATTTGGCATTTTCACCCTTCCGCATAAATTTGCTGATTTTTTCTGTCCCCCTTTTTTTTTTTTTTTTGCATTTTTTTCCCTTTGCAGAAAGCTGGATTTGAGACAATCATGATGAATTCAAATCCTGAAACTGTATCCACAGATTATGATACCAGTGATCGTCTTTATTTTGAACCCCTGACGGTTGAAGATGTTCTAAATGTTATTGATTTAGAAAGACCTGATGGCATCATTGTCCAGTTTGGAGGTCAAACACCCCTTAAGTTGGCTCTGCCCATCCAGCATTACTTAGATGAGAACAGGCCTTTGTGTGCCAGTGGGGCTGGACATGTTCGTATATGGGGTACATCACCAGATTCCATCGATGCTGCTGAGGACAGAGAGAGGTTCAATGCTATGCTTAAGGAATTAAAGATTGAGCAGCCAAAAGGAGGGATTGCGAAGAGTGAGGATGATGCTCTTGCCATTGCAACAGATATAGGTTACCCAGTTGTTGTCCGGCCCTCCTATGTGTTGGGTGGCCGAGCGATGGAGATTGTATATAGTGATGACAAGCTGGTGACTTATCTAGAGAATGCTGTTGAGGTGGACCCAGAACGGCCTGTACTGGTTGACAAGTATTTATCTGATGCGATCGAGATTGATGTAGATGCACTTGCTGATTCTCATGGTAATGTGGTGATTGGAGGGATAATGGAGCACATTGAGCAGGCTGGGGTCCATTCTGGTGATTCTGCCTGCTCAATCCCCACACAAACTATCCCATCTTCTTGCTTGGATACTATAAGGTCATGGACTACAAAATTGGCTATGAGGCTAAATGTCTGCGGGCTTATGAACTGTCAGTTTGCCATCACAGCTTCTGCTGATGTTTTCTTACTTGAGGCAAATCCCCGTGCTTCTCGTACTGTACCATTTGTTTCCAAGGCTATTGGGCACCCACTGGCTAAATATGCTGCCCTTGTTATGTCGGGGAAGTCACTTAATGATCTAGGTTTCACGAAAGAGGTGACACCACAACATGTGTCAGTTAAGGAAGCTGTTCTTCCATTTGAGAAGTTCCAAGGCTGTGATGTGTTGTTAGGTCCTGAAATGAAAAGCACCGGAGAGGTGATGGGTATTGATTTTGAGTTTGCAATAGCATTTGCAAAAGCTCAGATTGCTGCTGGGCAGAAGCTACCACTTTCTGGGACTGTTTTCCTGAGCTTAAATGACTTCACAAAGCCCTATCTTGAAAGAATTGCAAATGCTTTCTTGGGGCTGGGATTCAAGATTGTATCAACTTCTGGGACAGCTCACTTTCTAGAACTAAAAGGTATCCATGTGGAACAAGTGTTGAAAATGCACGAGGGGCGGCCACATGCTGGTGATATGATTGCGAATGGTCAGATCCAGTTGATGGTTATAACAAGCTCTGGCGATGCACTTGATCAGATTGATGGCCGGCAGTTGAGGAGAATGGCTCTTGCTTACAAGATTCCTATAATAACGACCGTTGAAGGAGCCTTGGCTACTGCAGAGGCAATTAGGAGCTTGAAGTCATGTACTATTAACATGATTGCACTTCAGGACTTCTTTGATGCTGAGGTAGAAGCAGGAAGGAGCGCAATTTTGATGTCCACCTCTTCCTCTCTATAGATTGAGTAAGCATTTTAGGCATGCACTCTAATTTTTTTTCCCTTCATATGATGTTCTTTTAATTTGTTTTCATTAGCCTTGCCATTTTCTTTCCTTTATTTGATGTTCTTGTAATAAGTTTTCATTAGCCTTGCCTGGGACAGAATTTCTTCTCAGTTGCTTTTTCTTCCCTGATTTCTTGCTGTCTCGTCTCTTCTTCTGTCATATGGTTGATGATGACGAATTTTGAAAACAATGTAAGGTAGGGAATATTTAAGCACTGCAAAATGTATTATATTATAATAATGTGATGATGCAATTTTCTGGTACTTGTACCTATGAACTATCTTATGCAACAGAGTTGTTGTTGGTCAATAATGTGATGATGCAATTTTCTGGTGCTTGTACCTATGAACTATCTTATGCAACAGAGTTGTTGTTGGTCAAGAATTTGCTTTGTCCATTACAACAATATGGTAACCAAGAGAAACTGAATGCTGAAAACTATAGCTGAATCAGTATCAGTTTATGAACTATGATAAATATGATGTCTATTCTTAAGTAGTTTAGAAACATTAAACAACAATTCTTCACATGTTGGACAAGAATATTGCTGTACTGGTCTGCTTTTCAGATAACTCCAATGACCTGGTCTAGAATATATGACAGGAATTTGGATTCGTTGCTGCACAAATCAGTGTTTTTGTCTCTTTCGGGAGCCGTATGGGCTAATGAGGCGTGGGGATCATATTGGAATTGGGACCCAAAGGAAACTGTGGGCATTTATTACTTGGACGGAATCACGATTTATTTCCAAAACCAAAGAAATAAATTTGGAAGGTATAAATTCCACGTTTGTGGCTTCTATGAGATTTTTTATAATTTGGATATGCTATTTTGGGGTCGATTTAGAGGGAATAGGTTTACATAGTTATGGTTCATTTACTTTAACACCTAATTGAATTAAAAAGTCTATCCTAATTACAAATACTAATATAGGACGGCTACTATATAAGAAAACTTATCCAGATGCCATTACCATCACATCATTCTTGAAAGTCCAAAATTTGCAATCAAATCATTATTAGAGTCCAAGGTAAAAGTATTTGTTGAACTTGGAATTTGGTTCAATTAGTTTATAAATCATCTTTAAAATGTAAAGATGTAATATTTAATGTCTGAAGTTTAAATTTTAACATTTGCAATTTTTTTTTTTGAAAACTTGGCTTGAAGTCACCTTTAAAAGTGCAAGCTAATGTCAATAGAAGTTTGTAGCTTGCTCATGTAATTTTCCTTGAAAATTTATTTACTGATAACTCTTTTGAATTAAAGTCAAATGGTTAAAGAATTTGAGTCGTTTTTGGAATTTTTAGGAAGGCAAGGTCATTAGTGGGTTGATTTTCTCCTATGCCATTGGGCTATAATCTTGACAATTCCATTCAAAAGTTATCCACTGCAAATGACAATCAAAAGGATAGAAATAATTTGAATCCAAAACAAAGTAAATGCCAATGAGTTATAATGATTGAAATTTATCATTATACTATTGATTGTAAAAGATAGTTTAAATTAATATGTTGACAGAATACTGAATTTTTAATTTTAATGATTAAAGTTTAAATTTTAATGTTTTAAATACAAAAAAGAAAAGAAAAAACTCAATTTATCATAAACAAACTTCTCAAAAAATTAACAATTTAAGTTCAAATCTTGAATTCAACATAAGTTAAAATTTAAGTGTGTGCTGGGTCTTACATTGAACGTGTGTTAAGAATGATCTTTTGGGTTGAGGCTTAACACCGTGACTCTTGCACGAGCCGACACCCAACAAGCCATCTCTTTTTGGGGTAATGTAATAAAGCATGTAACCCATGTCCCATATCTGTAAATTTTCTTTTTTTTTTTTTTAATCTTTCAGCAATCGTTTAGCTCAATGACAAATAAACGTATCATTTGTTCAAATAAGTAGATTTAAGGATGATAATAGGTCATGATTTTTACTCATCTCAAATTCATTTCGATTTTATATTTATAATATTTAAATTTAATTTGACCTGATGATTTTTTATTTTTTTATATTTGAATTTTATCTGATTTAATATTATATTAAATTATATCCAATTCAATACAATCTAAAATTAATAATTTATCTAAAAATTAATTTAATCTAAAATTTAATTTTTTTAAAAAATAAATCAATCTTAAAATATCAAATCAAAATTCAAGTGAAGCTGCCATCCTTAGGTGAATTTAATTCATATAAGAGACTAGAGCTCGAACCATTGAAAATGTGTATGAAAGTCGTGCTATGGCCAGAGGCCTAATTGCCTAACTTTAGGCTTTGTACCTAATTCCCTAGGGCCTAATCACATGGTTTTGTACATATATTGGTAGTATCACTCAAAAAGTATGCAGATTTGGGTTCTTCATATGATTAAATAAAAGTAAGACAAAAAGGAGTTAAAAAAAAAAAAAAAAAGGTGGGGGAGGATCCATTATTCAAAAGCATTTCATACACATTGTTTGACAATGTTTAGCATCTTTTCCAGGTTTTGGCTCCTTTATTTGGGGATTTAAAGTTGAAACGAGATGAAGTTGGATACAGAGTAAGACCCCACTCACTGGCTCAATTTCAGAACAAAAGAAAAGCTATAATCAACAGAAAAAGCCTTGTTTTCCTATGAAGGCCTCCACTCAATAGCCTTTTGTCTCTAAGCATATCTTCTCTTTTAAGCTGCTTTTCATGTTAAATTTAGTTAAACATGTTATTTTCTTCTACTTTCTTTTTGGTCAAAGAAAATAATTCAATTTTTGGATTGTAGAAAACTACAATTAACTTATTATTTTGAATAAATTTTTCTTTGATTTTTATTTTATTTGTAAAATGAAAGACTCAAACATACCCATTGAACACGAAAATATGCATCAACTATTAAATCAAATGCTCTAAACATACTCCTTTTCTTTCAACTATTTTGTTCTTCTATTCTCCCTTGTGACTCTGTCTTTTACCAGCACCATGTAGCACAAGCTTAAGAAAGAAGAAAGGCATTCACAAATGTTTGAGTAGCCAGTTATGAGATTTTTCTTTTCAAATTGAATCTTTTAATGGCTACAATGTCTTTGCCCAAATGCAGACATGCAACAAGGCAAAAAGAAACTGCATAAGAATAAAAAAATAAAAATAAAAACATACAATCCCACTTAGGCAAATATGCTACTTCCACTTTAACCTTTTTTTTTTCTTTATTTTAACTTTGTTTTAGATTTGACAATTTTAAAACATAATAAAATAATTCAATACAAAAATAATAAGAATTTTTAAAATTTAATAAAAATTATACGAAATTTACACCTACTTTATCTTTGTCCTTACCTTAAAAACAACAACAAGATACAAAGTTGAGCTCATGCTGGAAAAAAAAAAAAAATTGGGTCTGGGAAAAGGCAGAAAATCTCTGTTCAAAAAAATGAGAAAGATGAGCACTAATTTTGTTGTCTTGAAACTTGATAATGACATTGCGTGGTATGATTGACATGTGGATATCTTACTTTCAGAAACTAAGCAAAGGTTTCACTCAGCCATGATTCAGTGCCAGGACAATTATTTCATCTGTTGAAGTTCATAATATGAAATCATGTGCTGCTCAGGTAAAAAAATCGAACATTTCCTAGCTGCCATGATAAGAAATCATGCGCAAGCAATGTGAACAATCAAGTAATTTCCTAGCTGCCGGCGTAAGCAAGTTTAGAGAAGTTTAATTCAAAGCTAAATTCAATTAAAAATTAATATTGGATAACTCGATTTTTATTTTGATTTATTCATCTGTCTTATAATTTAATTAATTCATTAAATTATTATCACAAATCATAACATTTTCTCTTGCTTATAAAAAAACCATCCAATTAATGACTAACATGATTCACGAATTGTAAAATTAATCAAACTAATACATATTCTACCATGAAAATAACTTTGTACAAGATTATAACAACAGCTCGTAAACAACAACATCAAAGTTAAGTTCATAAACTCAAAGTGGTTTAAAGACTTATCCACAAAAAATAGACCAATTGGGGACCTTGAATGGCCCTAATTTGACAAGATCTTCCCCCAACTGTCAATCATTTAGAGACTTGAAAGCATCCTTAACCGAACCAAAACATCAAAAAGCTTTAATAATGTTATTCCCATCAAATCATGACCCTGACCATGTTTTCATTGTTCACCTATCAAACCAATCTAACGGCTCAGAATTGACCTTTGGTGGACCCTTTGGCAGCCCATTGGTAACATGCAATTTTTCATTCATCAGCGTCAAGCTTCTTTGAAAATCAGAACCACTCATTTTTTCCTGCTACCACTGAAAAGTTACCCCAAACTGAAAAACTAATGACAGCAGATATGACTGTTTTACAGCTTTTACAGTTTTTATTATACCTAAAATAAGGGAGAAAAAACAAAATGAACTGCTTCAAATAAAAGTAATTTACAAAGCAAAGCTGGAGCAGTAAAAAAAAAAAAAAAAAACAACCCCAAAATATTTTACTATCCAAAACGACCGAAAGCTACAACATTTCCTGATTTACTCACTTGCCACAAATATTTTTTAACCTTTAATTGCATTTTTACCAAACTCGGCTCATCAAAAGCCAACTCCAGCCGCGCCAACTCCAAGTGACGTCGGCTCGAGCTTCCTATTCTTCCAAAAGCAAGCATCCTGTGCAAGCTTAGTGGATGATCTCCTCGGCTCTGACTTGCAGCGCGTGAGCACAAACGGCTCATACCCTTTACCCCCAACATGCTTCTGCTCGACCATGGTAGCTTTAGACCCACCGCCGACAGCTACATTAGCAGCAGCAGCCGCCGTAGCCATTGGTGGAGCGGCCGGGAAAGAGCAAGAAGACCTAGGTGGCTGCAAGAAAATTGGAGCGGGATTAGAGTCAATGCTGATTCTTCTTTTGGGTTCACCTTTACCGTCCTTTTGTTTGACCGCTGGTTGCTTTTTCTTCTCTGGTACCCACCTGATGAAATCCGTGCTACGAACCCAAGTTTCCTTGGATACCTCCATTGACAGCTTTGGCTCGCACATCATTAACAGCAAACAATCTGGCAGTAAGTTCTGTTGAGTTTCACTCTTCTTTGACTTATCTTCCTGGTCGGGTTCTCGGGTTTCATGGCATTCAAGTTCGGGTCTTTCTCGAGTTGGCTCCGTTTCTTCCCCCTCTACTGTTGAAGTTGAATCCCCTTCTTCATCTTCAGCTTCTTCAACTACTGCTTGATCTTCCCCTTCCTCCTTTGCTTTGCCACTAACAGTTTCCTCTTCAGCTTCTTCTTCAAGGCCATCTTCATTTTCTTGTTCTATTTCTGGTGTATTTTCTTCATCCTGCAGCTTGCCAAGATCAAATGAAACAAGTTCTGTCAAAATTTCTTCTTTTATTGTTGATTCTTGCTGGTCTTCTTCTACTTGATTTTCTTGTTCTTGATCTTGACATGCTACACTTGTTTCTTCTACTACTTCAGTTTCATCCCCTACCAAAACAGATTCTGGCTCTGTTTCAGCTTCAGCTTCTGCTTCTGGGATTCCTTGTTCCTCGGTTGCTTCACAAGAAACAAACATTTCACTAACTTCACTCACTCCTTGATGTTCCATTTCTTGCTCAAATTTTACTTGCCTTTCTTCTGTTTCCACTTCCAAAGCATCCTCTTGCACCAGCTCTTGTTCTTCCTCTTTCTCTCCACTTTCATTTTCATTTTCAGCTTCTTCCTCTTCTTCTTCTTCTTCAACATCATCTTTAGGCACTGGAGTTTCCCAAAACTTATTAGCAAGAGCAGCCATTTTAACAGGATCAGATCTGCACCTCATCAACAACAAAGCATTCTTAGGTGGTATACAAATACTCACCCTAGCTTCTTCTTCTTCATCACCCATATTTTCATTGCCAAAATCATTTATTTCAATATCCTCAAAAACATGTCTCCTTTGACTACTTCTCATCATCTCACTACTTCCCCTTCTCTCATCATCTTCGCCACCAACAACCAATTCAATCTCCCTCTCTTTCCCTTCCCCTTCTTGCACTGCCACAAGCCACCTGGAAAAAACAGCCCCACAAGAAGAAGAACTCCCATTTCCATTACCATTATTCCCTCCAGATCCTCCTGTTTTCTCTTCTTTGTCCCTTTGGTTAGCCATACACGAAGACCTGCAAGGCAAAAAGCAGTTAAATTCAGCCCCAAATGCCCTCAATGCTTCACAAATACTCAATGGCAGATGCACCCATTTCTTGCATTCTTGTTGCTGTTGTTGCTGCTGATGATGATGACTGCTATTGCTCAAAAAATGACCCATATTGTAATCCTGACAGCTACTTGTATCAAGACTGTTGCTTCCATTGTTGACATTGTTATGATCCACTTTCCTGAAACTAACTTCCCCTCTTCTTTTAGATTTACAAGCTCTAAACTTTTTGCCCTGTTTCTTAGTCTTGACTCTAACTTGACCTATACAAGTAACCTTAGGGGAAGAAGGCTCAGGATTTTCAAAAGCACAGCCTCTTTTTTTGCCATTTGTAGGGAACATTGGTGAAGCATGACCACCTTTCATGCTACCATTACTCCTCAATCTCCTACTAAGGGATGAAGAAAGAGAGATTTGTGAAGGTTCCCTATTACGACCAGGACTAAGGATAGATTTTGAAGAGATTTTCATTGATGAAGAAGAAAGGCATGAAGTGAAACAAATGAAGAGCTCACTCGTGGTGCTTGTTGTGTTGCTGCTACTGCTACTGTTGTTGATGCTAGTACTTCGATGGGGTCTGTCCGGATCCATTATTTTTTTTCTTGGTTCACTGTGATATGACCATTTCCATGGAAAGAAGAACAAACCCAACAGAAAAAGTTAAGATTTTGAGAGATTTTTTTTTTGTGGATAGTCAAAGAAAGAACATAAGAAACAATGGGTTTTTGCTTGTTTGATTGTGCAGCGGTGGGCTGCAAAGATTTACAGATCGAAAAGATTAATGGAAGAGAGAGAGAAATGAAAAGCAAAGCAAAGGAAATGAAATGAAAAAAAGGAAATAATGGAGGTTTTAATGGAAGGTGACGAAATGCTATTTTGTCTTTAGCAAATTGTAAGCTTTTCTTTCTGGTTCCCATGGACCATAGCTGTTAGTGTGTGTATGTTTTTTTAATCTTTTGGTTTTATGATATGACCATTTTAGCCTTGAAGTTTCTTCATGACATTTCTGTGTATTGGTGCATAATATATTTTACATGAAATACACGTAAAAATATATAAAAAAAATTATATCATTATAATTTGTGTTAAATATAAAATAATTTTTTTAATTTTTATCAAAATTATATAATTTTCATTAAATTTAAAAGGTATTATTTTTATATATTTTTGCATTTATCCTTTCCAAAAACTTTTTCTTTTGAGTTTTGGGTCATTAAAAGTGGACCAAGAAACCTTCCACAAGTGGTGGGCTGAGGGTGAAATCCCAGCAAACTGTTGACACAAAAAGTTAGCCTAAGGTTTGATCAATTATCTTTAATAGGTGAAAACGAAGGGAAGTGAAGTTAAAAAAGGAGAAAGGGATGTTTTTGAGATTTTTTTTTTTTTTTTGAAAGAAGAGATTGGGGAAGATGGGAATTTTGCCATTTGTTTTGATGTGTTTAGAATCTTTATTGGCACTACATGAAAATTGGTAAATCTATCCAACATGTTTTAACTTATTCAATGTAGTATTATTTTGTTCTGACATTTTGATTACTCAACTGCTCACAAAATTGAAAATAGTATGAAAGTAGTGATATTTTTATTATTATTTTTAGTTTTTATGTTTAAATATTAAAATATTAAAAAGTTAAAAAATAATCATCATAATATTATTAAAATATTATTTTTATTTTATATTTACAAATTTGAGATAAAGTTTATTTTATCACCAAATTAAAAACATGTTTTTATCATTAGCTGGTATCTCATCCCTCTTTTTTGTGCCCCGTCAACTACAAGCCATGTGAATGATTTTGATTGTAGGGGTGCACCTCTTTCTAACGGAAAAAAGATGGCTTAATAGCAAAAGCTACTTGATTGATTTGACAACATAACAACATATTGGTTCATGCCTAAACTTGCAAGACTCATCTATCAATCTTGAAACATTGAATATTAGTTCAAATTCAATTATGATTCAATTATGTAATGAAGCACTGAGAAATTTAAAATTTGCGATTTAAGAAAGTTTGATTACAAGTGTTTGTCTTGTTGCTCATGGCATTATATTAGAGCAATATAGACAAATAAGATAAATGATACTCTAATTATTCTTATAACATGCATGCTATTATAAATCTAAGAATAAGGTTAAGATAAGTCGCCAATTAACAAATGAAATTTATAAATTTTTTTTAGATTTTTCAAATTTATAGATCGTCTACCAACAAAAAATCGTAAGATACGAACTTGAGTTTTTTTTTTTTTTTTAATATCATAAATCTTAACCACGTACAACAATCTCAATTCAAGGCATTTAGGATTTTACTTTTGAATTGTTCATCACAAAAACCAAATCTTAATTGATAAGAAATTGAAGTTTCTCTCTTTGCTAAGTGGAGTAACTTGTCTTTGAGTAAGGAATACATGCAACTGCCATTAAAACAAAATGCTCCATTGGTACCTTAAAATTTTCGAAAACAAGCATTTTAGTGATCAATTTCTTTTCAGCCTTAAAAACCTAATAAACCATCCATTTGAGATGAAAAATGAAAGAAAGTTGGACCATGTTATCCCAAGGGAAGGCTTTCCCTACCATGTTACAACGTGCACCATAAAAAACGTGGCCAGATTGCTAATGGTGGACAATAGAAACAAGACGAGGATTGACAAAAGAGATATGGGGGGAAAGTGTCTTGGGAATGTCAATCGCCATCCGTGTGCCCTCTTTTTTCTTGCCTTACTTTCTTTAGTTCAAGCCAACACAACAAAGAAAGTAGCTGTTTTGGTTGTAGAAAAAAGGACAAAAAAAAAGTGATAATATTGGAAAATATGTGGGGGATTTTAGGATTTTGCAGGGAGAAGCACATGGGAGGAGGGGGGGGGGTTTGGAGTGAGATTAAATTTAATAATTTATGTATTTATATTACATAAAATATTAATAATTTTTATATTTATATCATATTTTATATAAAAATTATATATTATAATTTATATGAAAATATAAAATATTTTTTTAATTTATCAAATTTATTTATAATTTTTATTAATATTTTATTTTATTTTTAATTCTCGTATGGTATATCCACATATCTAGAGGAGATAGAGACGAGGTGAAAACAAAAGAGAATCCTAAGGGGTGCACGTGACCGGACTTCGAGAGATAGGATGAAATGATGATGGGAACGGCAATGCATGCATTAAACGCTCCCATTTTGATAATCAATTTTAATCATCATGTACAAATGTTTTACCCCACTCGCCTTCATGTTGTTTGTGCATAACTTTCCTCAACCCTACATCAGAATTAAATTTCTTTACGATAACAATAATTGTTTTACGTAGATTTATTCTTGACTATGAGTTGTCTCAATGATAAAAAAAAAAAAAAAAAGATGTTCTAAATTCAATTGCAATTTTTACTTATATTTGCTTATGTGGTAATATTTATCTAAGTTGTAAAAGAATTCTAGTTTTTTTTTTCAAAGTAATTGATAATATATTGATATTGAATCTAAGGTTAAACTTATTTTATTTACATAATTATTTTTAATAAATAAAGTTAATAAAATTTAAATTTAAATCTTAATATTTATAAAATTTTTATTTTTGTATTATGATTTTTTTATAAAAAATAATATATTATTACTTGGGCCAACAAAAATAAAATATCACATGTCAATATTGAACATAATATTTTTACTTGATCATGGTATTTAAAAAATAAAAAAAAACCATCAACCTAATGTTAACCTAATTGCTTATTGTTGCCCACAATGTCCACATAACAGACTAGTTGGTAGTTATTTATGCCAAACAAAACCCAAAGTTCCTTTTTTTTTTTTCTCATGTAATGAATAATAATTGGCAAGCGCGTGGGCAAAAAACAAGAAAAACTTGTGGGTACGGAAACATGAGCAGTTGAAAGAATCAGAGGAGCAAAAGCTTGGTTGTCGTTTGGCGGAGGGCCAGAGGGCCGCCCCCACGCATTACATTGAGAGTCGCACTTAAAAGCGCGTGAGTGTAATTATCATCCAATCTCCTATCTGGTGTGGACAGAATCATCCTTACTTTTAAAGTGCTCGCCGTGAATTGTCATGTCAAATATTATTCATTACTAAATAAATTTAATGATTTATATATATTTATATTTATTTTATATTAAATATATGTAAAATATAAAAATTAATTTATATCGCACAATAAACATAATTTTTTTATTTTTTCAAATTTATGTATAATTTTATTAAAATTTTAATTTATATTTCTTATTTTTTTCTTATGATTCTTGTTTAAAATTGTAGATCTAATCTATTTGCCTACCCACATGTCATTTTCGCTTAATTTATTTAGGAAGCCAGGCTGCCAACAAGGTTTTTTTTTTTTTAAACTAACTTCAAAGTGAAATGATAGAGAAATAGTGAGATAGTCAAGGGTTTCACTTGAAAATGAGTGTGGTTTTTGACCAAGACAATGACTCAAGAACAAGACAAAAGAAGTACTGAAAGTTAAAGGTTAAGATTCTTTAATAAAAAAAAAGTTCGGATTAAAGTAGATGATTTGGCATTCTAAATCAAACCCAAATTGAAGGTCAAGCCAACTGTAATGTCACAAAAGAAGGGGGCATACGACATTTGAGGATTTTGATCCAAAATCATGATGCCATCCATGTTAGTGGGGAGTCAAGTCAATCTTTCAGCATATGGTTCAAGATTAAGTGGTCCAAGCTTGGAGTTGGCTAGTCGAGGTTAGGGTTATGAGGCATGATTGGACCGGATCGATCCCATTATTCATGACCATAAGGTTTGGTGTATTGACTATGACACATCTATCTGAGCCTTAGTTGGGCTAAGCTGCATTATTTCGGACATTCATAAGTTAAATACTCGCAGGAAGTGAGATAAAAAAAAACCAAAGAGGATTGGTTCAACAGGTAAGTTTATTGTGTTCAATGTTAAGTGATTTTAGGTTGTAATTCAATTGGCTATCATTTGTTGGTACTATCATATAATATACTATTTTTGTGGGAGTACAACGCATTTAATTTTGATTTGACAGATGTAACATTTATAATTCCTTTTGCCAATAATCATATGGATATTTATATTTTCCTTCTTTTGAACTAATTAAAGGATAAATTCTGCCTATTGATTCTTGGAGGGTATATTATCTAGATATTTAATGATGACATGATTTGGATTCTCACCCATTGTTTGATTTATTATGAAGGGTATATTTTTCTTAGCACATAAAAACTTTCATTTCTCTTTATTCAGGTTGCTGGAGGTGCTATAATTATAATCTACGAGGTGCATAGAAACTCCAGGGCAGAAGTACAGTGTAAGCAAGAAATAGAGGTCAAAAGTCAGAACTCGTTAGCTAATAATAAGCTGGGGGCCTGTGCTGTTTTCCTACAGCAATATCTTCTTACATTTCAGAAGATTTTTGGTATTATCTTTGGACCAGTGGTGTGATTGTTTCTGCCACGCACCGACTCAGAAAAGCAGAAATTTAGAGAAAGAGGTGGAGAACTTGAGGCAAAAGATAGATGAACTTTCAAAGAGATGAAGCTTTCTGGGTTATTTCAAAGTTCCCTGATTGGATAACCCATACTTTTCTTTCCCAGGCTTTTGATTGGTACATCCCAGTTTGACAGAAATTCTGCATTTTTAGAAATTGAGATGACCAAACCATTTTACAGAAGCTTTCATAATAATTATAGATGGTTCAATCAAGTAACACATTCAAATGAATTTCATTTTTTGATTCAAAATGCTTAAACTATAAAATTTCAGCAAAATGAAGGAAAAAATTTATGCTCAAGCGATTTACAGATTCTGACAGGACACTGAAGGCTTGCACTCCAAAATTCCCATATTATATACAACATCCTAGTATGTAGGGGGCAAGCCAAGAAAAGAAAACCATATCCTAACTGTTGAAAGATCGAATTACAAAAATTCGAAGTTATTTTCATGCTTTTAGAATTAACTTCAATCAAGTTCCAGCACTACTTTACCTAGGATTTGCTTCTTGTCTTTAGCTTCATGAGCCTCTCTTACTTGAGTTATGGGAAATGTTTTTTCTACAGGTATATGCAGCTTTCCAGCTTCTGATAATCGACGTATTTCATGTAAACCTTCCGAGTCAGCCCTCATGTATATCCATGAATATTCTGTACCACCAAAAGAGTAGGGAATGATGTAGTGATCATAAGATTCAGCAACAGATCTTTAACATCATGAAACATTAATCCATCTTCCCGGCATGGATTTATTGATATCATCAAACTCTTAAACACACAAGAATAAAAATATTTAAGAAAGGAGAAAATCTAGACAAAAAAAGAGTCTTTCATTAACATTCATGATTAAAATGATTAATGCTCCAACAAGCTGGTATATAAGGAAAAAAAAATGGATGATGCCGTAACCTATAAAACAAGAGGCGGAGATCCTTTATGGAAGTATAGATAACAGACTTGTTACTATCTTTTCAGAATTGCAGACCTAATTTTGTTATGAGCTACACATACATAAGAAACATCAGCAAAGCTCAACAAAATGGGAACTTACTAATGAGACAGTAACAAGCTGAAAAGTTTCAACATGCTCATATTATTCCTAATTGGACCCTCTCTTGTATGGCTTTTAACTAGAGAAACAAGAGTAGAACTGTTCTTAACGAACAATATGTATATAAAGCATAAGATGACAGATAATCAATGTACCTATTCCATGAGAATACTGGTATTGAATCCTTTTCTTCAGTAAAACAGCTGTAGCCATAGGGAGCCCAATTGGTAGTCCATACCTGTCACTCAGAGCTGCTGCCTCCCCCTACAATAATAGAGTAATTGACAACTAAACATTCAATAATTCCATCAAAGCATTCATAACATATGCATTTAAAATTCCCTTTGGAGGTTCCCAGCTAGCAAAGATGGTACAAGTTCCTTGAGGACTTGCACCATGCACAGGATAAAGTTCCAGGCAATGCCAAAGGGTCGAAAGAGTCCTAGCTCACGTTATTTACTCAAAGTATTGAACCAGTAGAGGTAAGGAAATAGAAGGAAGTTCCCTTCTAAGAACAACAATAATTACAAGCTTCCTTCTCTTACCTGAAGTGTCATATAGTGTCCACCTCTATTCAAAAGATTGATGCCTATTCTTTCTGTCTCTGGTACACCAATGGTGTCCAGAACAGCATCAAATTTTCCCTTAATTACCACTTCAAGGTCCTGTAAGTAAGCATGTAAACACAAATTATTGATCTACCTAAGATATATCACTCCAAACAACTAAAATCATGGGGTGAAACTAATTAATAACTCTGTAAATTATCAATTCACCACCTCAGCAGTGTAGTCAACAGCCTGCTCAGCACCTGCTGCCATTACTCGATTAATACTTTGATTTCCACATGTAGTTGTAACATGGCACCCTGCAGCTACTGCAAGCTGTATTGCAGCAAAACCAACTGCACCTCCACCACCTACTACTAACAGCTTTTGCCTGTTGAATGGGAATTCAATCATGGGAATATGAATTGCAACAGTTTCCAGAAAATTTAGTGCTATATTTCAGTTGGAAGATTGTATTGAAGATGAGGCACAGAAATGAGATGACATACTTCATCAATATCCTTATGTAGTTACTTTAATTTGAAATGCATAACAGGAGATTCATCTTTGGACAAATATAAATAGATAAACAAAATGAAATAAATTAAGTTGAAGCCAAAGACTTAGAGCCTAAAAACTAATTAAGAAAAGTGGGATGGATTAGAATTTATAATCCCAGTAAAACAATGTTCATTTGCCAGATCTACCTTGAAACCTACTGATCTACAATGATGAATATTATGTACCTCAAAGATGATCATACCATTCCATGAATATACCCAAATAACTTATGGTTAGTTAAACATTATTAATAGTTAAAATATTTGACAATAATTTGCCAAAGAAGATCAAATTTTCAGACACACAAACCTACCCTTCAGTTATCCTAGCAGTACTTTTTAAGGCACGCCATGCGGTCAATGCAGCAAAAGGAATGGCACTTGCTTCCTACAACAACCAAAAGTGCTTCTTAAATTCAATTTACATAACTAAAAAGTAAAAAGATGAAAACAACAATATTGTCTGAACTATGAAATTAAATATTGTGAAACGAAAAGCTAGGGAACCATAAATCAACCTAGTTGATGATAACAGAGTGCGAGAATGGTGAAAAAAAGTTTAACTAGCAACACAACTACGCACTCAAGAAGTCACCAAGGTAAACAGAAATTACCATCCACCTAGAGTCAACCAGAATGGATGAAGAAAACAAATAATCAAAAGTCATATAAATCTATTCTTAAGAAAAGCAACCAAAAGTAACATAAATTTATTAACTTTTACCACATGAGTAACCGATGCTGGTTTTGGAGAAAGCTCATCTTCTGAAAGAATTGCATAGTCAGCATATGTGCCCCTCACAGCAGTTGGGTGCAAAGCACCAAAAACTTCCTGCCCTACAGTCAGTGACTTCACAGAAGCTCCAACAGCAGCAACTACGCCACTAACATCACGTCCCAAAATCAGAGGCAGAAGCGGTTCAGATATGGAACGACCATAACCTGATCGCATCTGAACAAACAGAAATCCAGAAAATTAAAGCTACACAATTTAGGTGCATGACTTTAAATGTAATTCAAAATATTTGCTCCTTTCGATTTAATTTACTCTTTTAGCAACTTTGGGTAACAAAAAGTAAAAACCATAGATCAATTCCACCAAATTTATAGAATTTCAAATTTCCACAACTCAGAAACGCCTTAATAAAGGGAAAAAATCCAGCGCCACCCAACATTTTCATAGCATCCAAATAACCAATTCATGAATGCATTAAGAAAATTAAACAAATTAAACAAGGAATTCAATAAAAAAAGACACTTTACATGCATCAAGGAGATTGATTCATATAGCTAGTAAATCAACGAAATAAAACCTTTTTTTTTAAAGAACTCGTTTCCATCCCATTTCATTTTTCTCGCACTTTCACAGGAACCAAACAATCCACTCTAAGACAAATAACAACAAACTTATAACTGTTACATTAAACAAGAAAAAAAATTGACCCAAAAAAGGGGGGACTTACTCTGGTATCAAGGTGATTAATAGAGACAGCTCGTGCTCGAACGAGGACTTCATTGGGCTTAAGATCAGGAACTCGAACATCGGGTCGCAGCTCCAACACCTCAGGTCCACCGAACCGAGGCAACAACACTGCCCTACAACTACTAACGTAGCATCGAATCGAACCCACTTTCATCAATAACTCTGAAATGGGTCTGGGTTTTACGCTTTGGGATTTCAAAACTCTCATTCTTTTTCTTTTCTTTTTCTTGAGTTTTTCTGGGTTTCAGCTTCTTTTTCTATATATGAAGGGGACAGTAAGAGTGAAGAAAGCAATGGGGAGACGTGGAAGCGTTATAGTCCGCAGAGGAAGTAGTTAGTGAGTTTGGGGCAGGGAAGGACCTGTATAAACAATTGTTACTTTCATATATTACAATGTTCTAACCTAATCTATTTATTCAAGCTTAGGATTTGCATTTGATTTAAAAATATTTTTTTAATAAATGTAATAACATATTATGGCAATAACGTTCATAAATATAGTTTTATAATAAAAATCTTATAAGATAAATCCCTTATTACTCATTATTAATGAAAATTTATTATTATAATCTATTCGGATTCTTTAATTTTCTTAAAACATCGTTGTAAAACATGAATATAAAAATCCGACTCTTCAAATATATATAAAAAAACTTTTAAAAAATTTAGTACATCCTTGTTTAACAAAAACTTATGTCCAATACTCTCTCAAGTCTGAATAACATACTATTATAATGTTTGGACAATCTCTGCTATTAAATTTCTTTTAGAAAAGAAAAATATTTTTCTAAAAGGTACTAGTAATAAAATTTAGAGTGAAATATTAACTAAATTTCAATCAAGATAAAGTTAAAACTTCTTAAAACTTGTAATAATTACATAATATTATCCAAAAATTTTAGAATTTCAGTGGGGAACTTTGCCCCATTGTCCATCCCTCTCTGAACCTACTAGTTTCCTTCCTGCATGTTTTGACCAGGGCCACTGGAAGCAGTAACCACAGCACCACTGGGGGAAATTCCAGGATTGGTTGCTACTAGATTGGCTATAGAAACTTTAGCATGTGAAACTGGGGCTGTCCTGGATAGATCTGGATTCTGCTGCTTCTGCATTGCTTCAGTTGGTGCAGGGAATGTAGAAGGATCTGTGCTAGTTTTCTGCTGATCGGTAGATGTCAAGTTACTTGAGGCATGCAGTTGCTGCAACCTGTAATCAGTTTCAGGCCGACGGCAAACCTTCCTCAAAGGTACAATTTCCTAAGGGATGAAAGTTAATGTCATTATAGTGAAGATCTTAAGAGTCATCAAAAGGCAGGAGTTAAACAATGCAATACATAGGTAATCATTTAACATGCTAGTTCCTTTCTTTTTCAGGTGAGTGTGTGTGGGGTGTGTGAGTGGTAAAGGGGATGTCTCCAGCGCTGATGTCAGGTGTTCCCTCCATAATAGGAAAAACCCATGCCAGAACAGCTGATAGACATGGACAGACTAACACATTTTTTTTTTCTTTGATAAGAGACAGTCCTAACACATTTATTTAGTATAAGGAGGGGAAAAAAAGAAAGAAAATGGTGTTTCCTTTTTTGCCCAGGCGAGGGACAAAAGCCAAAACAATTTAAAACAATAATAGAGTAATCAACTAATACCTCAGACTGGTCATGATCGTAGCGCACCAGAAATCTACAACGGCAACCTCTGACATCATGCCTCCGCCTTTGCGCATCAAGGACATGGGCATCAAAGTAAAGAGCCTGATCTTTACCTTCCTGAAAATTTTGAAAGCATTGAGAAAATGAATTCTAAGAAAAAGTTTGATTAAAAGAAATATATATTCTCTCAAGGATTTCTTGCATGCCATCATTGATTGGAAATCATAAGTGGAACTCCACCTGAAAACAAAGTATAAGGTCCCCCGGTAGAACTGCAACACACTCAGATGCTTCACATGGGAGGGACCGTTGCCTGACATGCTTGCGAACGTTAACCCACTCATCCTCCTCTGGTCCAAAACCAGCAAACCGAACCTGTACTTCCTGCAAAAGACAGCAAAATATTTTGCTATTTCTTTTTCTTAGATGGCAAATTGTGGTATTCTTGAGTTCTGCATAAACCATTAGAAAAATTAAAGAAGAAAACCATCAAAATATTTCAACAGAAAGTGAAACAGAAAAAGACGTGATGATGATAAATTTCAAAAGTATGTAACCAGTTTCAGGTCAAAAATAAAAAGATGCGGTCAGGTAAACATAAGAAATTAGAAAGAGAATAATTAGAGTGGCTAATTTATGCAACTGATGAAACAGTAGATCAGTACTTGCACCAGCATATGCAGTGATATTGGGCTAAAAAATTACCGGATCACCTGTGTCCAAATGTCTATGGGCCAAAAAGGTTGCAACATCATACCTGCAATAAGGAGATTAAGAGAATTGGGCTGACTGCAAATGATTTGTTTATCAGAGAAGCAAAATGTAGATAAAGATGAAGGCAAGCATCAGCCTCCAAACTTTCAACTCTGAATTGAAAACTTACCAAGCACCATCCCTTGAAGATTTAGCTTCAAATTCCATATAAGATTCTGACATATGTCTTCCTGCACCAGGAACTGGGCACCGAAAATGAAGGCTATTAATCTAAAATGGGATGACAAAAAGAGGATAATTAACACTGGGAGGCATGGAAGCCTCAAAGTGAAGTAGTAACTCTAGTTTCTTTGTTTCTTAATCACATTTTTATGCTATGATGCTTTCCTCCCCTTAACCTCCTAGAATTGATTGGAACTTTTGCAAACCAGTGCACTCTCCTATAAGACAATGTAAGTGATTTCCAATTTGTGGCTAATTAATTCATCTATAGATGTCAAATCTAATGTTGAACCAGTTGAGTATTCATTTGGGTCATATCTCATGCATAGAAGCTAGTTTTTAATGTGTCCATTGATCATCACCCAAAGAGAATCGACATCATCCACTAGAATTTTATATTAAACATTGTGCTTTTAGCAGAAGTTAAACTGTTGATTTGATTCATGCAGTAAACAAGTTCATCTTTTCATATAGACATAATGTCCATACACAACTAAATGATGCATTTGGATAACTATAGGTTCATAACATGTGAAATGAGTCAATTATTGAGTTTATCTTTTCTAGCACAGTCCTTTTCATAAGAAACAAATTTGTACAGTAGAGATTACTAAAATCCCTCCCTCAAAAGTAAACCATCAACATATAATTAGAGAAGAAAAAGAACACAGCCAAAAGTAGAAAAAACAGCATCCTCTCTGCTTTCGTTTTGTGGGAGGGCAGGTGCCTGCCCTTAAAGTATCCTAAATAGTTAACCTAATAATCATCTTAATTAACTTGTAATAAACAGCTTAACAAACTGTTAAACTAACATTTATGATGGGAAAATATATAGTAGTATTTTTTTTTTTTAAGAATATATAGTGGCAATATAATGCATTACATTTAAAGACCTATCATCACAATACTACAGACAATTGCAACATAAGAACACATCCACACACAAAGTGCCCAATTGGATTCTTCAATCTCACATAAATAACTATATGGACGGCGAAGCATCTGATTAGTAACCCCAAATTTAGGAGAAAGAAAGGGGGCCTTCAAGACTATAAAGACAGAATCAGAATCTGTTATACCTGTGGAAGCAGGCATAGCAGCAGACATTGGAGCAGTTATAGGGGGAGGCAGGGGAGCAGCAACAGGTTGAGGCACATTTCTAGCAGGATTTGAATCATCCTGAGGCACAGATGTAATATTTAACTTCCCAGGAACCTTACTCAATTTTGCCCTTATTGCATAGCGCCTATTTTGGAACCAATTCCATACCTATACAAAAGTTTTCCAGAGTAAAGGACAGCAAACATTTCCTCATACAAAAAAATGAAATCAAGTTCTTACTTGCTTAAATTGCACAACAATCTTCCCTTTCCGATCTGCTGACTCACTACAACCAAAGAAAATTTCCTTAAAGTTTTGATTGCTTACAACGAGGTAAGAATAATATATCATGCTACATAATGTTCTTTAAGGAAATTAATGCATACCTTAACTTATCCGCAAGACTTACAAGGATCTCCCGAACCGGCATTTGATTATGGTGCTCTTGGAGAACAGTCTCCATCTCCGCAACCTTATGTAAAGATTATTTTACAAACTCATTGTTTAGAGAATTAAAACAGGGAGAAAAAATCAGATGCTAAACAAAAAACTATACTACGATATTTCACATACACAATGATTCTTTATTGCCTAGAGCTATAACCAAAGAAGCAGCAGATTAAAAATTACATTGCATCATAGTCTTACACACCTCGCACAGACAAAGAAACTGATAGTTATACCAAATTCCGTTTGCAATCACTTTCTTTTCTTAAATATTTAGAAGTAAATGCAGTGAGGAGGCATATTCTCAGAGTCTCATGTTTCCCATCCATATTTTTATTAAAAGGGCATTACCCCTCTAACTCAGAAAAATATGACTTTACCAAAATTGCATCTTTTGATTTTGCCCGGACATATCCCCTTCCCGGGAAATCTTAAAGGCAGAAGTATAGCACTAAGGTTATTTACCAAAAATACTAAAATTAGATTAAGAAAGGCAAAACAACCTTGAAGGAGACTAAGCATTTAAAACATAATAATAATTCCTAGCAATAACTAATAACATTAACAAAGAACAGGATTTGCTCGGGCATATTCCCTTCCCGGGCAATCTTAACTGCGCGAGAAAACAACTATGATTATTTACCAAAAATACTAAATTTAGATTAACAAAGTAAAAACAAACTTGAAGAAGTCTAAGCATTTAAAACATAACAACAATTCCTAGCAATAATTAACACCATTAACAAAGAACAGGCTTTGCAGGGCCTATCCCCTTCCCGGAGAATCTTAAGGGCCCGAGCATAGCACTATGATTATTTTCCAAAATTACTATAATTAGATTAAAAAGGGTAAAACTTAGAACAAGCCAAAGCATTTAAAACATAAGAATAATTCCTAGCAATAACTAATACAATCGTTAACAAAGAACAACAATATCTAACTAACTATGAACCAACCTGTCAAAAAAACCCAATCAGTCAAAGTAATCAAAGACAGAAAATTCGCAGATAAACTTTAAACCAAAAAACCCAGAAATAAATTGCATAAAACAAGCAATCTAACTGACCCATTTGACATTTTGAACTAAAAAATCCAAACCATTAACATCCACAGCATTCATATTCAAATAAATCGAATGTAACACTAAATTAAAAAAGGAAAAATGGTACCTCAGTTTGGGTGAAACGAAAGGCAGGGCCACCGTTACTCGGAGGCCGACCCATCTATTCCAACTCTCTCTTGCGCGGGCTTCTTTTCTTTTTTTGTCTTTCTTGAGAATTAAAATTTTGGTTAATGTTTTGGGTTTTGGGTTTCAGTAAGTGCAGTGTTTTTTTTTTTTTTTTTTAATCTTTTATTGGGTGTGTTTATGAGGCAGAGAAAGGTGGGCGAGGGACAAGATTTTGTTTTGACAATGGTTTGTGAAATTCTGATATCAGAACAAGAAAAAGAGATGTTTTATTTTATTTTATTTTTGGTAGGTATCTTCGACGCTAATTTTGTCGCCAAATCGGGTTAGTCCCGTGCGTTTTATAATTATCGTTTCGTCGGGTAATAAATTAGAGTTATACTAAATGGTCTGAATTTTGAAAAGGAAAGACAAAATTAATAATTTGATAAATAAGTTGTATTAATAATATAGTAATTTTTAAAAGAATAAAAATTGTTAAAGTATTTTTTTAAAGTTGCTTAAAATATCATATTTAAAATCATATTTGACTTAAATTAGATATATTATTTTATGTAAATTTAATAATTTAAACAAGACACAAATATAATGTAAATAAAAAATATAAAAGTGATATGATTTAAAATTTTAATAATTGTTATAGATGAATTTAATTAAATTAAAAAATATATATTTTATATTTTTATATCGATATAAATTATAATATATAATTTTTATATAAAATATGATATAAATATATAAATTTTAATATATTATATAACATAAATATATGAATCGTTAAATTTAAATGTTTATATTTTATTATATTTTTTTATTAAAATTTCAAATTCATTATTTTATGATTTTATCATTTAAATTTAGTTTAGTTGATGATTTTACTTTTTGTTTTTTTATTTTTTTTATTATTTGTTTCTTTTTTTTAATTTTTTTAAAAGGGGTATGTAAGTACAAATTGACCAAGATTTACTCAAATCACACCCAACAATAAAAAAAGAATGAATTGTGTGTAAGGGGGAATAACTACAAAAGGTAAGAGGAAACCTACCCAAATTAGATAAGTCAGCCATTGAATAAGAAAAAGATCTAAAACTACACAAATGTTTCCATCTTTAACTCCAATTAGATCTGTTGAGCAACTGTTAGTACGAAAACAGTGCATTACACATTCAAGTTTAACCCTTTATCAAAACAAAACACATGACATGCAGCACATGATGCAGTAGAGTGCAAAGTAAAGTCATTCCATAAGAAAAACATTCTTTTTGATGGAAGCAAAAGGATACGTTCTGTAACATAAACATTGATGTCATGGCCTTCTTCAGCAGTGCAGTAAAAGCATAACCATCCCATTGCTTCTTACTAAGCACCATCATCTTCAAGGTTGTTCACCCTTTCACATTCATTAATCCATTCACTGTATCTGAAGTCAATCGAGGCCAAGTTAGATAAAACTTATTGAATGATAATTAATATGCTCAATTTCCAACACAGTTCACATGGGTTTTTAACTTACATGTCTATTGGTTCTGTTAAAGCTGCAGAAACAGAAGAGAAGAAAGATTAGTTCAACGTGGATGATATCTTAATAGTCACTAAAAATTACAACAATGGAATCCAATGTAAACAAACAAATATAAAAGAATCCATTCCCTACTCCTTAGAGGCCCCATCCTAACATTCTCAAGATAAATTTCATTCGCATATAATCTAAAGATCAACTTCGCAAAATGAAAAATCATCAATGACTTAACTCTGCTACAGCTAAAGACAATAAAACCCATTTACCTTCTTCTACGCAAATTTTAATGCGGTAACTTAATGTAGTTATTTTTTGATAAAAATAATTTAAGGTGAGAAGAGGCTTCCATTCCAAGGCCAAGGCAAATTGTAGACTTCATATAGGACTTACATTGGATTTATTAATTACCATCAATGAAATTGAACTTAAATCTTAGAAACAAAGTATTTGATTGTTACCAACTCAACCAACCCTATCCACAACTTTATGTAGTTCTATTTACAGCAATTAGCTTCCTCTGCCGTGTTCCATTAACCTATCATGTCTCATAAACCTACTAGATCCCACAAGCAATTTCTTTCTTACCAGTCATCATTAACTCTGACAACCACAAATCTACAACTTCTAAACTAGTAAAATTTTAAGACTTATTATTCCACCAAACAAATCATGGATCCATTCCAAATTTTCACTTTTTCTCTATTATTAGGAGTACTTTCTTATCAAAAGGGTATGATAGTATTTTTCAAGAGAGTAACTTACTATCAAATTAAGGACATTTTGATTATTATAATTAAGCTGACATCTCAAGCTAATCAAAATTATCGGAGTCCACATCAGCTCGACTAACTCTTCAAATTCACCTGAAAGCTCATAGATATACTGACTTTTCATTCTTTTATTGGATTTTTTCCTACCATGTCAGGTCAAGTTGACCCCGTCAGCTATAAACTCGACTTCTATAGCTTGGGTCACTTATATAAAAACTTCTCCTTTCAAATGTAAATACTCTATCATAGATCGACTAATAAATGACAATTTTGTTCTTTAGTTTTATGGATACATATTTTGACTATAATCAGATTAAAATGAAAAAAGAAGATGAGAAAAAAAATACCTTTGTGACCGCGAAGGGTTTTTATTACCACAGAGTGATGCCATTTGATTTGAAAATGTGAGCACGACCTATTAGAGATAGGTTAATAAAGTGTTCAAATACTAGATCGATCCCAACATATGAAAGTGTGTGTGGATGACATGATAGTTAAGAACAAAAAATCAAATGAACACCTGAAGGACTTAGAAGAAACTTTCAACATTACAAGAAAATATAACATGAATCTCAATCTAAGCAGATATGTTTTTAAAGTCACCGCGAGCCAATTCCTAGGTATGTGATACACTAAAGAAGCATAAAGGCTAATCTTGAAAAAATATAGGCCATCCCAGATACCAAACCACCAATCTCAATGAAAGAAGTGTAAAGGTTTACCAAAAGGATAACAGCCTTCAGTAAGTTCATGTCTAAGTTGACTGATCAATGTTTACCTTTCTTTAAGATATTCAAAAATATCTAGGGTTTTTAGTGAACACCAAAACGTCAACAGGCTTTTATAAAGTTTAAAAAGTTCTTCTTCACACCCCATATATTGTCAAAACGAAGACCAAATAAGCCACTATACTTATATATAGCAATGACTGACCAAGCCGTCAACTCAGTACTTAAAAGGGGAATATGGAAAGCAGAGACCGGTGTACTTTATTAGTAAAGTCTTAACATGAACCAAGCTAAATTAGCAGAAGATAAAGAAATTAGCTTATGTAATGGTGGCATCACCTAGGAAATTAAGAATATACTTTCAATCTCACACAATAAATGTACCGATCAATTAACTTCTCAGATAAATTTTATAGAAACCCAAGCAAACAGGAAGATTAATCAAGTGGGCCATAAAACTCAATAAATTTTACCTACATATATTACTTAAAACGGCTCTTAAATCATAAGTTGTAACGGATTTCATTGTTAAGTGTATCTCAACTAAAACTTCCAACCATATTACCTCGATACAAGAACTAAAGGACAAGAAAGCATTGGAACTTTACATGACAATGTAAATACCTAATTTTGTCTGGGTAAATTTCAATCAGTCAAGAGGCTTTTAAAATCCAACCCAGTTGAAATCTAACATTTATTGAATTTTGACAAGTTTTCAAATTTGATGTAGGACCAATTTGACCCAAAATGTCTAAGGATCAAACTTTGTCAAACCTTGTCGAACAAAGTCAAACTTAATCAAAATGGATTAAAATTAGTCAAATTGGAGGTCAATTTTTCAAAATTCAGAATCAAATGGGACTAACAAGGCTTAAAAATGATATTTGTGATTTTAACGCATCGAAAACCCTGATTGTACTTTAAAAATGATAAAATTATCGAATTGCTCTTCAAAGGTATTCTTGTGATTTGACTTTCTCATAGTTGGATTTTTTTGAAAACTTTGAAATCACATTTAAATATTATTTTATGATTTTTTGTGCATTAAAAACCCTTATTGCACTCCAGGTGATGTGGAATTACTAAAATACCTTTAGGGGTATTTTTGTAATTTGACCTTTCAGAGGTTATTTTATACAAAACGCTCCAAATCATGATTTTATATTATTTCATGATTTTTAGTGCATTAAAAACCTTAATTACAGCTCTGAATGTATGAAATTATCAAAATACCCTTTGTGTATTTTCATAATTTGATATTTTCAAAATCGATTTTTCACAAAACTCTCTAATTTATATTTTCATATTATTTGATGATTTTTTGTGCATTAAAAACTTTAAGTACACATTAAAAGGTGTGAAATTACTAAAATACCCTAAATAGGTAATTTTGTAATTTGATTTTTCCAAGATTAGTTTTTTCCTTTGCATTTTCATAAGCATCCCATAACATTGTCCATATTTTATATCACTTAGCCTTTAATTTTTTTATTTTTATTGAGAAAATACATAGTTTTTCATCTCTTTTAATCCAAGCTTGGATCTAAATTTCATCCAACTAAATAATAGTTTTGACTAAAACCAAAATAATCAAACAACAAAAAACTAATCCACCATTAAAATGCTTATGGGGGATTTGGCTAACCTTTATTCCTCCTATGGTCGAACCTTTCTTAGTTTGTTTTGGATGATTTCCTTGCTTTAGATTCTGTATATGAATATTTGGATTATTAGTTTACTTGTTATTTGCATGTATGTTGGTTAGTTTAGTGGTTTGTGTATAGTATTTGGCTAATGTTCTTGTTTTTATGGATTCTTCTTTGTTTAGATATTTACATGTTTAATAAAATTTCTCTCATGATATAAATGCCTTCATATAATAATTTTACAAATTTTTCATGCGTGCTTTAGCTAAATATAAATGGTAGCATATTGTGGGTTGCAATGGAAGTGTTCAGCTAAGCTTCCCAATGCTTTGGCCAAACTTTCTTTCCTTGCTTATGTCTAAATGTTGCTCCTATCTTATTTGTTTATCAAGTTTTCTATGTGTTTCATCAAATTTTTAATGAATAAAAGTATTGAATTAGTAGACTTTTAGTGATTTTTCTTGTTAATTACATAAGTTTCAAAACAAAAAAAAAAATGGTAGAACATGTCTTTAAAATTTTGAAATCTTTGATTTTTGATTCATTTTGACCATGTTGTTACATGCATATCTAGTTTGTAACAAATTTGTAAATATGCCTAAGTTTGTAATATGTTTGTTTTCATACATGGTCCATGCATTAAAATTTGCATTTTCATTAGTGGTATTTTGATAATTTTTGTCACATTGTTCCCATGCATCAAAGTTTACATTATTATCAATGGCCTAATAGTAATTTTGTTATATACATCAAATTTGACATTTTTATCAATGGCATTTTAATAATTTTGTTTCATACATTCCAAAACCTTAAATCCCAAATCCTAAACCCCTAACCTAAACCTTAAATTATCCTCAAACCCTAAACTAATTCTCAAACCCTAAAACCAACTTATACCCTTCATGTATTTACATTTTATTTTATTTTATTATCACATGCATTCTTTAATTATCAAGCACTTATATTTTATCATTCATATTTAATTATCATGCATTCATGATATATTATTATGTTCATGAATATTACATAAGTTTTATAAATAAAGTTTTTTAAAAGAAAACGTTTTAAAATAAGATAATATTTTAAATAAATATAACTTTTGAGAATCTGACCTAAATATAAAAGAACTTGCAACAATTATTATTTATATGAGGTATTATTTCGATTTTATGAGGCAATTTGAAAATTTCTAAGCTAAAGCTATTTTTAAAGCATTATACCTAAATATAAAATAGTGAAAAAGATATGTTGTTATTTAAGATATTTTCATATTGATCCAAAAATAAAATGTTTTGCTTTAGAAAAAAATTAAAAATTATTTGCCTCAAAAGAAAAAAATATTTAATTTTTGGAGTAAACAAAAAAATTAATTTTTAAACATTCAAAATAAGACTATTTTTATCAAAATTTAAAGATAACATGCAATTAATTGGTATAATTTTTGACAAGCATTGTAAGGATGTTAATTTTTTTCACACGTAATTGACTTTTAGACTTAATTTTATTTTCGCAGACCACCAAATATTTTTTCATAAAACTTTAAATTCGTTTTAAATATTTCATTAAAATGATGAAATTTTTAGGTGATCAATTATATATAAAAAATATCAGTAGTAACTCTTTATTTTGATTTTTATTGAAAATATTTTTCAGCCTCATTTTTTCGTTATTCCTCAAATTCGACGATCAAATTCTCAGAACTCGCACATTTCGACAAATAGATCGATCACGAGTGATAAAAGTGGAGCTACATTAATTCTTGTCAACTCTAAAAACATACAACTACAATATACTTTTAGATTTAAGTTCAAGACCTCGAAAATTGAATATAAAACATTAATTGTAGGGTTAAAATTAGCTATTGATCTGAATATTAACAAACTCATCATTTATAGTGACTCACGACTAGCGATTAACCAAGTGAATGGGAAATTTGAAGCCAATGAAAAAGGAATGAAGAAGTACCTAGAAAGAGTAAAAGCATGCTTACCAGCATTTCAAAAAGCCAAGTGAGGAGAATATACAGGTCAACGAATCCCTTAACTAATGCCACATCTAAACTAGCAACCAGCACTACGTCAAACAACTCGGATGGTGTCTTAATGGAAGACATACTTGAAAAAAGCACAAACAAAAAACAAATCAACCAAATCAATCGAAAGAATCTTGGATGATGCCGATCAAAGCTTATTTAACATCAGCGAAATTGCCCGAGGATAAGATCAAAGCTAAGGCATTAATAAGAAAAGTGCATTGGTACACTTTTATCAAAGAGAAGTTATATAGGAGATCGTTCAATTTGTCATACTTGAGGAGTGTGGATGAAGAAAAAGCAGACAATGTCCTCGAAGAAATTTAGCAAGTGATACGTGGAAGGCAAATTAGTCCTCGACTCTAGCTTATAAAGTGCTGAGACAATGATACTATTAGCCTACTATCAGAAAGGACGTGACCGATCAGTTTAAAAATACGATAGATGTCAAAGATTCACTCACATTCAACATTTACCATCAACTAAGCTCACTTTCATAATAAGTTCACGACCTTATTTATGCAATGAGGAATGGATGTGATTGCCTCTTTCACCTCAACTCCAAGGCAAAAGAAGTTTGTACTGGTGGCAATATACAACTTTGCCAAATGGTTAGAGGCCGAGACATTAGACACTAGTATAGAGACACAAGTTGAAAAGCTTGTTTCTAAAAAACATCATCTACCAATTTAGGCTACCTCTGTCACTGATAACAGATAATGAGAAATAGTTTAACAACCCAAAATTTAAGAAATGGTGTTCTAACCCCAAGTATTGACCTAAGGTTTACCTCGATAACCCATATTCAGCCTAAAGGATAGGCCGAACAGCCAACAAAACTAATTTAGAAGCTTTGAAAAAAAGGTTAGGCAATGCTAAAAGAGCATGGACCGAGGAGCTTTTCGCGATACTATGGGCACTAAGTGCCACCATAAAGTTCCTACATTAACCTAGCTTTCGGAATGGAAGTTGTAGTTCCCGTAAAGATCAATCTGCCGAGCTTCCATATTGAACTAATCAATGATAAAGGAAATAAAGAAGCCCCAAGAACAAACTTAGATGTGACCGAGGAACAGAGAGATGCAACCTTGACTAGGATAACTACTTATCAACAAAAGGTTTCGAGCTACAACAATAGAAGAGTCTAACATAAAGATATACATGGGGAAGACCTAGTATTTAGAAAAGTTGAAACCTCAGATAAATATGACCAAGGTGGGAAATTGGCACCAAGCTGAAAAGGGCCATACATTGGAAATGAAGTTGCCCGACTTGGTACTTAGAGATTGTAAGACTTAAATGAAAACCTTATCCGAACACATAAAACTTAGATAATTTAAAGATTTATTATCAATAAGTGGCAAATGTATCTGTATATCCGAGTGTCATGGGCCGAGACTTAAGTTCCGACTCGCGCAACTCCAAAATCCGAACATCCACTCATCTGACATCCCAAATCAACCTATTTATCACGATTCACACCATTGTGAGGTATTGTCTGCTCTGACCCTCATGACCTCACAGTTTTGTTCTACAAAAAACACCTCACAAGGAGAAGGCGATGTGAACCTATATATACCCCAATGACCCTCTTTTTATGTCCGATGTGAGATTCAGGACTCTTCCTTAGGTCTGTGACATTCTTTCCCACCGAACTTCGTGACGCCCTCGTCACAAAGGCTGACCACCCTACTTACCTCCCTCGAATGGTTTTATGTCCGATGTGAGATTCAAAACTCTTCCTTAGGTCTGTGACATTCTCCCCCACCCAACCTCATGAGACCCTTATCACTGAGGCTGACCACCTTATCTACCTCCCTCGAAGGGCTTGACGTGAATCAAACAGTTTAAAGCTAGCTCTGATACTACTTGTCACGGGTCGAGACTTAAGCTCCGACCCGCATGGCTCCAAGACCCGAACATCCATTCATCCAACGTCCCAAATCAACCTACCTACCACGGTTCACACTCTTGTGAGATATTATCCACTCTGACCGCACGGCTCCAGGACCGGAACATCTATTCATTTGACGTCCCAGATCAACCTATCTACCACGGTTCACACCCTTGTGAGGTATTATCCACTTTTGCTTCCATGACCTCACGGTTTTGTCTTACAAAAAGCGCCTCATAAGAAAAAGACGATGTGAACCCTTATATACCCCAGTAACTCTCTTTTTATGTCCGATGTGAGATTCATGACTCTTCCTTAGGTCCGTGACACGAACTCGTTCATGATTTGTAAGTCTAAGCTAAGAAATGAATAAAGTTCTTTGGTGATTATTCCCATTAATAACTTATGAAAATTGTTCAATTTGAGGATATTACCGATCTAATTCTTATCTAATTTATGAAACAATTCGTCCAATTCAAGTTTTAAATGCTAACCTAAGAAACTTAATTTCTACAATAGAACACTTCATTCTGAGCTCAAAGAAAAAATTAGAAAGAAGATATAAACTGTAATTCTATTGATATAAATTTGAAAATTACAAAAAAAAAAAAAAAAAAGAAAACACAACAAAATACAATTACAGAAATTCTAAAGGGCAGATCAGGTCCCAACCTTAGCCTGAGCTTCCGCAGTGGGCGCCTCAGCTTCCTCAAATTGAATATCTTTCTCGAGTTGAACCTCAGTAAAAGTCTCTGTGACAGTCCCCACCTCTGCAGTCGTAATAGCCAATTCAGCAACTACTTGATCAATCTTCATGTCATCCTTATCCTGTTGCTGCTCTTCCTCCCCTTTTTCTCCACCATCATCTTTCACAGTCCTCAGATTTTTTACATCAATCATGGAAAGGTCAAGGTCTTTGTAAATGAACTTGACCTCCCTTAGAGCCAAGTCAAAGGAACCAAACACCTGGCTTCTGGCAAACTCTGTCTGCCTGTTGTAGTAATCCTCGGATAATAGGAAGTTCTCTACAGCCTTTGGTTCAGCGTCTTTGGATGCCTGAAGATCTCTTTTTAGACTCTCCACTTCGGCCAAAGTGTTGTTAAGACGAAGCTCATACTGTCGGAGGAGAAAGTCTGTTGCGGCTTTCTGTAAAGATATATCCTCAAGCCGCTGAGTCAATTCCTCCACCTTTTTACCCAGCTTATCATTAGTACTCTTAAACTCAATGTTGGAGTCCTTGAGCTTCTTATTCTTGTCTAAAAGAGAGGTGATCTGTGTGGTGTACTTTTTCATATCCTGCTCAACCTTGATGAGATGAGCAAAGGCTTTGTAAGAGTGCAAGATAGTTTGGCTCATGTTCTTAGACGCAGACTTGGGAAGCCGATCAAAATCTACAAACAAAATCAAGCTCAAACTTGGATAAAAATAAAGATAACAACTAGATATTTTATCTAAAAAATTACAAAGAACTGAGTAAAACTTACCCTTCTTTATCATAGTATACTGGCCGATCTTCTTTGCAACCTCAGGGTTGTCAAAAGCACTGTCCTCAACCTTAAACTCCACGGCCAAGGAATACTTGCCCCCAGCAGGGTGGACCTCGGGAGGGATATCAGTTGATAAAGACTCAACCCTTGGCCTCTTATATGACTTCTCTACAGCCACCATCTTCTCCTTCAACTTAGCCATGTCTACTGTATTCTTACCCCCAGTCTGAGAGTGCTGAGGTGGCTTCTCGACTATCCTGGTATCCGAGATAGGGGGCTGCATATCAAATTGTGGAGCCTTCCCTTTTTCTTTCCCCTGTGTCACTGGCTGAGTGAAACGGGCCATGTTGAAACCTGAGGACTTCTTCAAAGCTGAGGAACCTGGTGGACCTGCCATCTCTGAAAACCAAACTAAGAGTTAGAGAATAATCTATAAAAACAGGTAATGGGTTAGAAGTAGCTAAAGTAGATAGGGAACAATCTATAAAAACAGGTAATGGGTTAGAAATAGCTAAAGCAGTTACCCCAAATCAAATCTCCTTAAGGACACTAGAGGAGGTCAGCACACAGACATCTATAACTAACCCCGTGCTTAAGGAAATCATTTATTGTGTCACAAGGCCCGAGCTCACAATTAGTCAGTGGCCCTACACTGGCATCCTTAAAAAGCTCAGGGCATTATTCACCTCCCACACTCCGCTGACCTTCTTTATGCAGAGGAAGAGGGCCTAACAGGTCTTTATAGAGCCTAGGCCAGTTGGCAAAAATCTTCTTTGAGGGTCGAGCTGCTACAAAGTACCAGCTCTTCTCATAGATATATTTTTTACTGCAAAAAAATTTCTCACATAAACCTATGATGGGAAGAAGACCTACTTCTTGGCAAATAATTATAAAACCTACTATTTACCTAAAAGAATTTGGGGTAGGCTGAGTGATAGTTAAATTATAAGCAAGTAAAACTTCATCAATAAAAAAATGTAAAAGAAACCTAAGACCTGCTAAAATAAATTCCCAGCGGACCCAAATCCCATCAAACTCTACTAGATTGGTTACCCAATCATTAGAGCTCGGGTCATTTACCCCAAATTCCTCCTTGGAAAGACCAAAATTGGTTTCTAGGGTGACTACATAATGGGCAAAACACAGGTTTGGACAATCTTCAGGAGAGCTCGACCCTTTAAAGGTTTTCATGACCTCCTTTGGGCTAATCCCTAGGACAGGAGTACATAGAGGAAGAGAAGGATCTACAACCATGACATCGGCCTCAAACTGCGCAGGCTCCTCATCACCTTCCTCTTCCTCCTTAACCTGCTAGGATTCCATGGCTTGCTCAGGTTTTTCAACCTCCTCGGAACCAAGAATCTTCATAACTTTAGAAATAAAAAAAGGAAGATGATGGCTCGAATTTAGAATCTGAGTCTAGTCTGACAACGACCCTGAATCATAATTTGAGACCGGACCTATGGTCGTATGGGCACTATGAAGGATCATTAGGGGTTTTGACGATAACAGAAATTTGATTTGTAGGACGACTAAGGAGGAAGGAGCTAAAAAGGAAGAGACCAAACGGAAGGGAAAAATAGGAGGAACAAAAGTGGTTAGGTTGGTAGGGGGATTATGGATATCCGCATCTATGGCTGCTACGAACTCATCTAAACTATGGGTGACCCTCTCACCCTGAACTTGCATGCTGTCTTCAACTTCAATCTTTTTATGCAATAACAGAAGGAACCTCATCATCTAAAGGAATTTCTATCCAGATCGGCTGACCTAGGTGTCCCTAACCTCTATCCTAAAGTAACTGCCAAAATTCATTAAAAGCTTCTCTCTCTTCATTAGAAGCCAATTCAGATGAATCTGGAACCATTCTTCAAGAAATATCCCAAGTGTCACCTCGGATTCATTATAATACGACAAAACTTGGATGAAAAAAATTTCACAAGATCAGATATTTAGATCACCTTGGCTATAGTCATAATGCAAGCAAGTAAAGCCTGGATCATTGAAAACCTTAGCAGATACCCACATTGATTGGATCACAACCACTACCTTAACACGTTGGAACTCAGACCACTTAAAAGTCCTAGCTTAGATGTAATCTTAACCAATCTCAAGCTAGGTCGGGCACCTCTACCATACCCTCATCTAAACCATTAGACAGTTTGTTAAAGAAACGTAATGTTAGGGAAATAGAATGTTAGAGGCATTTTTTTTGTCAAAAAGGCATAATAATATTTTCCAACTATGAGGGTGACTCACTATCAAACCACAGACACTTTGGTCATTAGAGCCATGCTAACGTGTTAGGCCAACCTGAATTATAAGATTTCACGCCAGGTCAGTCAGCTCTGCAAACCCACTCGAAAGTTCATGGATATGCTTTCTTGTCATTCTTCTATTGGATTTCTTCCTGCCATGTCAGGTCAGCCCCGTTAGCCTTAAACCCGACTCCCAGAGCTCGGGTTACCTAGATTCGGAAACTTCCCCTCCCAAGTATAAATAACCCCTCTCATCCCAAGTATGGGCAATCGACTTCCTATACTCTCTTTCTCTAGATTTCCCTCTTTCTCTTTCTTTCGAGCACTGACTAAAATGACAAAACACAAATGCGGGAGACACCTCTGGCCTTTATTCCTAATTGATCCCCAATCTCTCGTAATTTCAAGTTTTTGCCATCCTCATAAAGCTCGGCACCAACACCTATGCTTCCAAATTTTTGCTACCTTTTTCATATTTCCTTATGCTTCCAAATTTTTTCTTGGACGTCTATGCATGTCCTTATTAAAACTAATAAACAGGAACAATCATATATGCAATAGTTTGGCTGAATCAAAATTTTTCGAATGTAATGACCAAATAACAAACTCTAGCAAAAGACACACATGCAAATTATAGAGTGAAAGCAGCAGCAAATCAACATACCTGTAATGGTTGTGCTAAAGCTCTCCTGACAAATACTACACGCCGCCTCACCAATCAAGTTCTTCATTTCCCTACAACCAAATCAAACCCTTAAGTTCCCAAAAGAACAGCACATAAATTCTAGAAACTAAATCTCACTTAGCACCATAAACCGATCGAATACGATAAAAAATGTACACAATTCCACAAATAAATATACCATATCGGTTGATTATCAAGGTTAAATAGGACGAAAATCCAGGTACAATGCAATCGATGAAAGTAAAATCAACAAAGAGTAAAAAGGAAAATTCACAGGCGGCATTCGACGCCGGTTCCATGGTTGCAAAGGGGGCAACTGGAAACAGTACCGAGCTTGTCCATTCTCTTGTCAGGTGCTGGTTTTGCCCTTGACTTCCTTTTTCTCATTTATTCCCAAAAAAAAAAAAAAAAAAAACCTAAACCTGTTATCAACTACCAATAACTGAAGCAATTAGTTCCCCCCCCCCCCAAAAAAAAAAAACCCAGAAAAGAAAAACCCTAACAAAACTATTTCTCTGTTAAGGTGATCAAAACGAAAAGGCGGAAGACTTGATTCTTGTCAAACTGTTCTTCGAAAAAAAGGTAAACAGTACTAATAGAATTGTGAGATTGAAAGCCCAAAAGGACGGAAAAAAAAAAAGGAATTACCTGAATCGGAGGAGCGATGAGTAAAGATTCGACGAGAAGACAGCCCTTTTTTAGTGGAGAGAAAGGTCTGGAAGCTTACGAGAAAATTATGATTAACGCGGGCCATAAACGAAGACAAATCTTTTTGAAATTTGTAAACTTATTTCTTAATAATAATTAGTAAAAATTTAAATTAATAAATTGATAGAATTTAATGAAAAAAGTAATAATATATAAAAAATTATTAAAAATATTATTTATGATTTAAATTTAATCTATATTTATTTTAAAAAAATTTTATCAAATTTTTATTAAAAGTATCTATTTAAAAATATATAGATATCAAAATTTATTAAAATTTTACACATTTATTTTATTTAACGAGATATTTTTATTTTTTATTTTTATTTAACCGTTTCTAGTGAAAACTTTAAAAAATTCACTTAAAAAATTTAATGAAATTTCTTTTCAAAAAAAGGGTAAACTCCTTTTAGTTTTTAATAGCATATTAAACGACGACGTTTTTTTCCTTGTCAATGCGTATAAAATTGAAAGTCAAATAGAACAACCTTTGATTGATTATTGAGGTTTATGATTGATTGAATTTGGAATGGAGGATTTGATAACCAAATTCAAGTGCTATGATAATCCAAAATTCTTTCACTTAGCAACAAATCTGGTAATAGATGAAAATAAAAACAATGTTTAATGAATGGCCAAAATAAACAAGTTCTTTTCATCATACTAACAAGTTGACAATGTTGCTTTGGTATGGGAGTCACTAGCTAAAGAGGTTAGCCATGGCTGCTTATCGCTGTCTGATGATGCATCCTGGTTTTTTCCGGTCCGGTTTCATGGCAAGAAAAGAATTCTGTAAATCCCTGTGAAGGTGATTCTACTGGAAGATTCTGGAATATTAAGTACAACAATTAAGCAGAAAGACACCACTAAGATGCAATTGGACCATGGTTGCTGTGTGACTTTGGTTTCTTTCTCTGCTTGCGTTTCTTCTGCTTTGCTTTGAGCCTTATTTGATCCTTAGCACTCTTCTCCCATTCCTTTCTGTTTTTCTGGTAAAGGAGCATAGCAGCACGAGCATCGTCTACCTGAAAAACGAGAATACATATTAGTTTGAAAAGGTAGCATCATAATTTCGGGGCAAAAATAAGGAAAGCAGGCCCTCTGTTTGCCCTTTAACACATTTGAGCTCATTAACACTAGCAAAATGAGTGGTAATTCATGACCAACCCGAATATGCTTCAGATAAGACCATAATTCCCTTATCACAGAGCAATGATTTAGTTGGTTGATGCTTTCTGCATCTTCTTGCATATTAGCTCTATAAAAACAAAAGAGCAAACCCCACATACACCCTCTGTGCTATAGGCTGCATCATAGTTTCAGGGTAAAAATATGGAAAGCAGTCCCTTTGTTTGCCCCCGAACACATTAGAGCTCACCAACACTAGCAAAATGATTGGTAATTCATGACCGACCCGAATATGCCTCAGATAAAACCATAATTCCCTTATCACTGAGCAATGATTTAGTTGGTTCATGCTTTCTGATCTTCTAGCAAATTAGCTCTATAAAAACAAGAGTAAACCCCACATGCACCCCCTGTGGTACTCGCAAATACCACAAAGGGTGTAAGTGGGGGTTACCCAAAACAAAAATAGCCCTATCAATTAAGTTATCCACAGTAAGGATCCTTTGACAGTTTGACTGAGGAGCAGCAGCCTAGAAAAAAAGGGACACTTGAGAAGGAACTTTCCTGCCCCAAGTATTCTTCCAAAGTAAACTGCCCTCTTTCTCTTGTGATAAATTATGGATGATACAACATACTAGTGCCACTTTATTGCTGTGCCATATTGACAGCATACTTGGCACTTTGGTCCTTCAAGAATGAAATATTAGATCCTCAAGAAATGCTTTAAATGAACATAAAACATCACCCTTAAATAAGATTATAACCACCAACTCCAAAGTCCAAACACTGACAAACCTGCAACTTTCAACATCTTGGATTTGGACTAGAAATGTCAAAAACAAGTTTAGAAAATAGCAAATCAATCAACCAACAGGTCTTTATACATAATTTCAATGTAATTATTCACTTTTTAGTAAGTTTATGGATAACAAGTGCATAATGAACGTTTTACTTACAGGGCAGTGCTCCCCATTCTGGATCTCAACACCTAAAACCTCTGCTGCAAGATGCCGAAGTGCCTTTCTGCGTCCTTCCCTGTTGCAACAATAACGCTTGTTCAAAGAAGGAATAGAAAGTAAAGGACAGTCAACTATAATGCAACCATCTAGGCCATAGTAGCTAAGGGAGGAAAGACTGGTACTTTAGAAAGGGCTGATACTCCGACGTATCCCGCATATTCTTCTTAGGATGCGTTAGAAGTAATGCCTATTGAAAAAAAACAATCCATATTAATACCTCAGGGCCAGTTTTATGCTTCAATCAACCAACAAAATGACAAAGCAGATATGGAAAACCTTAAGGTCATTGTGCAAGGCATGACCCACGAGAGTCCTTCCCTCAATCAACTCTGCCACTTTCTTCTGAACAACCTGAAAATCCTTTGCTGCAGGGCAAGAAAAACATGCATTATGGCCAAATATTCTTCCCTAAGCAATCATACCCTGTAATGCAAATGTTTCTAAACCTGAAATTGATTTTTTTTCCAGGGTAGCAAGTTGAGTTTCAACTCTCACGTTTATAACATCAAATGCTAAACTCTTGATATTTTAGAAATCTATCGCATTATATAGTTTCCAGCTTTTTAAAAAAAGTATATACTTTCCTGAATCAAAAGGAAAATCTTTTCTCCGCTATAAGGGTACGCATATGGCATAGCTCAGTAGATATTTAACACAAATGATAATGCATCTTCACTCAGCATTACAAAGGATTACCCCTTTTCACATGACATTTACGTTTTAAAGAAAGATTTGCTTGAAAAGGCGTTGATTCATGAATGGAAAAGGACATTCCATCTATGAAAGAGGCACATCACAAGTATGCCAAAAACACATATTCAGCGTATATACAATAGAAAAAAAAACCAAATTAAGCCAATTGCCTTCTCAGGAGATTATACTCCGAGTTTCAGAGCATTCTATTAACTAGCAAAACAAATTAAACCAACCTTTCCTCAAGTCTCGAGGTCTAATGCCACTAATTCGTGTGCGGAAGTCAACAACGCGTTCTACTGGCCGCACAAATTCATCATATATGACATTTCCCCATTTATTTACCTGTCATTTACTGAAGTACTAAGTAATCAATGACCCTAAAAAGAATAATATATTAAACACAAAATCTTATTAAACCGGGAACGTTTAAATTAACCCACAACATATCACTCATTTGAAAGTAAATCAACTCACAAAAGATTAGAAAGAATAAATAAAGAACTTGGGAAAGCAACACATTACAAGTGCAATTAACCCCTAAAGCAAGAGGAATACACTGCATCATATATTGTTTATTCTTCAACTATAAGAATAATAATTTCAAACAAAACAGGGAACGAGAGATATTTCTTTAACATATTTTTATCCCAACATAGCATTTCACTATGGGTAATATAAGATCATAATATGGGAAAAGCAAGATTCAAAGATGTAGGGAGAGCTAAAATTACCAGTGTAACTCGTCCAAGAGCACTTTTGTTCCCCAGACCAACACCAACCATTTCACAGTCCATGGCTAGCACATCTGTCACACTGTCAAACAGTTGATAAGTCATTGAAAGTGGCAGCATAGAGATAGACCATAAGAACCACTTCAAATCAACTCAAATGAAGGCAGAATGGAGCTTCTAGCAGCATTCTTGCACATCAAAATCAAATTTCACATTAAAACACCATAAAGCGGCCCTACTATCCTATGCATTAAAGTTAGTGGAACATCTCTACTCCTCAATAAAACCACAAAATAAGAACCAAATAGATCTACTTCTACTTCCTTGCTTTGATAACTAAAGCCTATGCAACATAAGTTTCTTCTTGCATAAAACCCCACGTGTAATCAAACAAGATGGATAGACGTTCTACAATCGACCCATATTTGTAATTTGTTTTACTAAACATTATATTTAAACCGACCCCATTGCTCCCCATTTCCAGTTGAATAACCATTTTAATCAAGTAAAAAAGCAAAATTCAAGTTAAATTGGTACACTTGCAGATGTTGGAGCATGCCCTATTTGTCAGCAGAATCACTACTAATCAAGAAAATAAATAAACAAGGGAAAATTCACAATGCTTTGATTGATATTGAACAATCAGATAACAAATAAAGCACCTGGAATCATCATTTGATGGGATCAGAGGATTAGGCTTAGCATCTTCAGACTCTGAAGTTGGCCTGTCCTTACGTTTTCCTATTAGAAAAAATCCGACCCAATATCAACAAACTGTCAAAAGTAACAAAAAAATAATCAAAATTTAATCTTCTCACCATTCACCCCTCCCTTAAAAAAAAAAAAAAAAACCCATTCGTTAATTCTTCTGCAAAGCAAAAAAAGAGAAAAATATATAGCAAAACTGCTAGTAATTTTACCTAATACGGAATTTGGGGTTTCTGATTGTGGGTTTTTGGAGTGCCTTAAAGGCTTCACTGACGACTGCAGTTTCTGCAATATTTAAACCAAAGAGAAAAAGAGTAAAAATCTTTTCAAAGAAAAAAAATTAAGATAGAGTCTTCTTAGAGAAAAGAAAAATGTACTTGTTGGAGTTGAGCCCAGTTTGGATTTAGCTGAAATTGCTTTGGGTTCTTCTTCACTTCACTGCCCATCTTATTCTTCTTCTTCTGCTAAGGCTTTGCCAATTTCAGGGACATGAAGTGGAGTAACCTAATGACGCTTTCCTAGGTCGATGTCGTGTTGGAACAGAATTGTCCAGGGTTTTAGACGAGTATTTAGGGCTTAGGGTATGCTTGGTTTTTGGTTTTATAAAAGAAAAATGGTGTAAATTGAAAAAAAAAATACTATTGAAGTATAAAAAGTTGTGGAAAGTATTATTTCGGGGGTTAAAAAATAGATAAGACACTCTAGTGTAGTTGTGTAAATAAACGGAGATATATATAAAGGCTATTGAAATTTATTAAAACGAAAAAAAAAAGTGTGGGGGCATTAGCAGAGGTGTTTATGTCTTGGATCCGGTTGAATTTAAAATAGATTTATATTTGGTATTAATAATTTATATATTTATTTAAATTTGGTTAAATCTTAAAATTTTTTTAACTTTAATTTAAATTAAAAAAATTTAAAACATATTTATTAAATTTAATTTTATATAATAAAAAATTAAAAATATTATTAAATTAAGTTTAATGAGGTTATATTTAATTCATATATACATAAAAATTAAATTTTAAAATTTTATATATAAATAAAACTTATATAAAAATTATATAACAATTAAAATTAAGTTTAATAAAATATATATAATTTTTATTTTTAATGTATATATATATATGTGAATTAATTTTTATATAATTTATGTATACGTAAAAATAAAAATTTTATATATATGTAAATTTGAGTTAGATCAAGCCAAATTTAGGTTTTAAATATTTTGTTTAAGACTTAATCCAAAATTTAAACAGATCTAAAATTATGTACAAATTCATTTAACAAGTTTTGATTTTTAGTTTAAATCTTTTAAAATTCGAACAAACTTTTGAATTTAGACAAGTAATCTGACTCTTGAACAAATCTAAGCATTAACTTCATTTAAATGCACTCGAGCGAAGCAAAGTAAATATAATATCATACTTGAATGAAACTAAATAAAATGACAGGAGGCTTAAAGCTAAATAATCTTGTGTTAAAAAAATAGTCTATCTATTTTAATTTAGTCATCTACATTTAGCATTATCAAATGGATCATGCTAGGCTGGTATATTTCATTTAAATATTAATTTATATGTTAATAGATCATATTGGTTCAACATTATTTTTTTAACGTAGTATGTTGATATAGCCCACAAAACTTAAAGGTGTGGCCCAATGCATCACATGATCCGTAATTTTCATGGATCGTATCATGCTAAGCACGATATTATTTTTTGTGTCAAGCTAAACTAAACATAATCCATTAATTTTTTTTCAAAATTCTAATTATTTTTTAAAAAATATTTATCTATTATTATTAAAAATAACATGTGAGAGAGTTTAATTTATGTGAGAGATCATATACATGTACATGGAACGATTTGTAAACTAATTTGATATAATTTATATATTAATAATTTAAATATTTAATAAGTAAATTTATTTAATATAATTTTATTTTATAAAATATTTAAAAAATGAACATAATTTTATTGTAATATAACAAATAATAAAAATACACTCAAAAGTTGAAAGCTTATGTATAACAATTATGCTTTAACATAACATGACATAATTGAATTTGTGTATTGTGCCGTATTAACCCAAGTGCTACTTATTAGCATTGGCCCCGAGTCGAGTTATGTTGACTCATGAACTTAAAAATTTTTAGTATAGCACAATATATATATATATATATTATATTTGGTCTAATCTCATAATTTAATAATGAATCGTGTCGAATATGATTTATATCATGTCAAATCATATCATGCCATGTAACACTCAATTTAGTGAACAATTCTAATTAAATTTGATTATTATTGAATTGAATAAAATTTTCAAATTTTGATATTAATGGGTGAAATTTAAAGTCATTCATAGATTGAATTTTTACTAAACTCAATCTCAATATGAGACGAATTCATTGTTCATGAATTGAATCCATATCAAACTTAGACCCAATTTTAAGATTGAGTCCTTAGCATTGAGTGAATAGTTGAAGTGTTCATTCAACCAAATCAATTATAATAACTCAATAATAACTCAGACTGTTACACTTTTAGGACCGATTAATAAACACATTTGATCATGCATGAATTCTGTCTTAAAGGATGGATGCAATTGGTCAAAAAAGTTGCAATAAGCTTTATTCATTACAATATACGATGCGCCGACCACTCCACATCTTTACAAAAGTAAGCAAGCTTTTTGCACTTTTTGTTTAAAGTTTTGGAATAAAATTTTGGCACATGATAAAGGGAACATCTTTTGAGAAAGTGGGATTCTCAAAGGTAAATTCTCATTTGCATTAAACTATGCAAAAAGAATGTCTTTCACTGGTTTCACTTGCATCATATTTTCACATACACATATATATATTTGGTATAAAAAATTTAAAATTGATAGATTATTCAATCGTTTAAATTAATATGAGAATTGCATCATATTTTGACGTACACTTGCATATATATATATTTGATATAAAAAATTCAAAGTAATCGTTCAGATTAAAATAAATATATCGTATCTAATAATTTAAGATATGTCATTAAAAATCGCATATTTGAAATAATTTCAACAAATAATTATCGATTGAACTTTAACTCAAAATTTTTACATCAAAAAAGGATTTTTTATTAATTGAGTCGACCACTTATTAATATATTTTGACATATATACTCCTTACTTGGCTACTTTATTTGAAGAGATCAATTGCTATAACTTTTTGCATGCAAATGAAGCATCATATCATATTTCGAGCTTAGTTTAGTTTATTTACATAGTTATTTTTAAAATATAATATTTAATAGATTTTAATTTTAAATTTCAATATTTATATTTAAAAAATTTCAAAATTCAAAATGCAAAGTTTATAATTTATTTTTTTATTTTAAAATTATGATTTTTTGTATAAAAAATCATATCATGATAAGTTAATTGGAAATCAAATTAACTTCTCCGATTAAACTAAATAATCATCGTAATAATCCAAATTCCAAATTCTTCTAAAGATTATTACTTAGCATTTTTGTATTCCAATAACAAAATTTTGAGGAAAATAGATTATTTCAATTTTAACCTCTAAGTTAGATTGCAATTATGCAATTATTCTATTTATTTTATAAACTTTTTTTTATTCCTTTGGACACAAGAAAATATATTAAATTTTTAGACAAAAATATATACAAAAATAATTAAATTAATCGAGATGTATTAAATCAATAAACTATTTCGATGGTATACTGCAATATAGGGTTAGATTTTTTAATTTTAACAATTACAATTTAAATTATAAATTTAAAAAAAATAAATATATTGAACTTTATTTTATTTTTTCTTAATTACATAATTTTTTATTTAATTATTTTTTATATAAAATTAGTATAACTAGTAATTTAACATGAATCCATCAAATTTTGATTTGACTCAATTTTATAAAACCTTTTTTAATTGAATTTTAAGTAAGATCAAATCAAAAAAATTGGATTAGGGTTTTAATTAAACCCACTTCTACCCATACGTTATATATATAATTTTTTTATTTATTTAATTTTATATTTATATATTTAGATTTTAAAAATAGTAATTTTATTAAAAAATATTTTATTAATTTTAAATCAAATCAAATTAATTAAAATTTTATATATAAATAAATTGAATCAAATTTAAATATAAAAATAATATTTTAATATTAAATCAGATTGAATTTAAAATTTTAATACATAAAATTAAATCAAATTCAAGATAAATAAAAATCTATTATCCATATCATTTCTAAATATAACCAACAATAAAAGAGATAAGGTTTTGGTATCCGATAAGACCTCTTTAATTGTATGGCGAAGAGGATGAAAACTTTATTTACTTCTTTTTTATATATTTATTTTATATTATTTTTGTTTGAAAAGTTAAATTAAAAATTTTAAAATTAAAAAAAAAATAAAAATCTAAATGTCGCGTGGACTTAACGCCCCAACAAAGTATTTCTCAAAAAAGTGGCTGATAAAAAAAAAATTGCAGTGAAAAAGGAGATTAAAGTTTTAAGAATCTAATTCAAAAGGCCTAAATTTATTTACACCAAAAAGAAAAACCCTCATTCTCAGTTGCAGACTCTCACTTTCTTCTTCTTCGTTCATTCAAAAAAGGCAAAAATGGGAAGAGGAAAATTCAAGGGCAAGCCCACTGGCCACCGCCATTTTTCTACTCCCGAAGAGCTTCGTACTCTCTCTCTTTTCTTCTTCTACGTATTTATCTTTTTTATTTTTATTCGTATGCATGTACGTATACGTATTTGTATACGATTCCTGAGATTAGATCTAACCAAGCTTTGAGCTGTTGGATCAGTAGCTTATCGTATAGATTTCATTCTTGTGTGAACATTTAGATACTAAATATAGAAAATGGAGAAATTTTTACTTTAAAAATAAAAACTTTATATTTTTAAACTTAAATTTTAGCGTCAAAGAAACTGGGAAGTGATTTTGTATTTAAATTTATTTTTTTCTTTTAATCCGTTCAGCTAAAAATTGGAACATTGAATCAAATTCAGAGGCTAAAATACTAAAAAAAAATTTAAATTTTTTTTGCTTTTTTATGGTTTTATAACTTTTATTATTAATCAGTGTGTTTGTTTAATGTTTTAATGGTTGCAGGTGCTGGTACCTCTGCTCGTCCCCGTACTTTTAGGAAGGTAAGATTTTTATGCTAATTTTTAGGCAGTCGATCCACTTGTGGTTGTAAAATTTCAAGAATAATATGTTTGATGAAATTATTATTTTTTATTATTAATAGTTTATTTTTTCTTATGGTAATCTGTTTGTTGTTATCATGTATTTTCGCTACATATTGTGTGAAAAGAAGTATAGTTTTAATCTTGATGGTGATTTCATGAAGAAGAAAATAGTTAAAAGTTTACTTTTTGACAAACCAAAATTGATGCACTGCTTGAATTTGGGCAAGTTAGGTAGGATGTTTTTTCTTTTCTCGTGTAAGATGGATGACAATTTGCATGTTATAATTTTCATTGATTTTGGCTGTTTGGGTTGTTTTAAATTAGGTTATTATCATCTTTTGTTGGAACATATTGTAAAAGAATGTTAGTATGCAATTGGACTTTATATGTGTTAAGACTTATATCTTGAATGTTACATTTAGATACTTGTAATGGTTGGAAAATTTGAATTTGGCATGTAGAAGATAAATGGATAATGATTGATTACAATAGATTTAACAGTTAAGTTTGATGGTGGTTGTTTTTGTTTCTTTCTCATGCTTCATAATCAGCTTTGTTGAATATTTGATTGGCAAAACTAATTTTATTTTCTTAAATATGTGCTTTGCTATTATCTTTGTTGCTATGCTTCTCTTTCTTCCCTTATGAATGTGTATGTTTGCGTTTTTGAGACTTTATTTCACTTAGTAAATCAGATGGTACTTTATCTTTCATTCTAGGAAGAAGCTGAAGTGGAGGAAGAAGAAGAACAGTCTGAAGAGGAAGTACAAGAAGAGCCTGAGGTCATTATTTTTGTGCACTTTTTTTGTCTAAAGGACGTTGGCTCCATTTGCAATAAGTTCCTAGTGTCTTATTTACCTTTTATACTTCATGTCTGATATTGGTGCTAATATGGCAGAAACGAAAAGGGACTCAAGGGCTTATCGAGATTGAGAACCCAAATTTGGTTAAACAAAAGAATGTCAAAGCTAAAGATGCTGATGTAAGTTCTACAAATACTCCTCTGCTGCACAAAGTCTTTATTAATCATAAACATATATGAACTTGTAACTATATTGAGTAATTGAAATTTTATGTTCCAGATGGGAACAACAACTGAACTATCAAGGCGTGAAAGGTTTGTAATTCTATTTCTATATCAAATCTGACTGAGCACTGTTTTATCATGTGCATCTGGGCAATTGTTTATTGCTTAAACAATTGTACTAGTTTGTAACAATTGGGATTTTTCTTAAGTATTAGTTTATCTGTTATATCTTACAAGAAAAAAAAGTAATATTTACTGTTCTCATTGTTGGTTCATTTAGAGTTTAATAGTTCTCATTGATTTTCCAGTTTTTTTTTTTTTTGATGAAGTACTGTAACTATTTTGCTTTTTGTTGAATCTAGAATTAATATTACATAGGAATGCTTTTGTTGAGTTAAGTTTTGTTTTTGGAATAACTTTGAGGGTGAAAAGGTAGTAGACTTTTGGACATTAAATTTTATCCTTTTGTAATTAGAGAAAGAACTTCTACAACTAACAAAATATATGATGTGGATATGATACATTCCTAAATCCTTCTCAGTAACTCTACCAACTATGAGGATTAAAATTTGTTACTGCAAAGCTGAAATTATGTACTATAAACCTATAACTTCCTGGTGTTTCTACAGACTATGGCTTTTATATAAACATGTTGAATTATAACATCAACAATTTAAAAGTTCCTTGATGTGTTTAATAATAGATCATAACCACAACTTGTTAACTATATGGTCAACATTAGTTCTAGGCTTTCCTTAGAGTTGCATTTATTTGGTACCTCTTTGTTGTGCGTACGCATTTCGTTATCTTGAATGACTATAATTTTACAAATCTTAACTTCCTTCTAGACAGAATATTTTGTAGACTATGATCCTTGTAGGAAACGGGCACAATATAATAAAATTTTATGCCTTGCCGTTTTGGCATGTAATGAGCTAGAAGCCTTTTCACCACTTACTTTCATTGAAAGTACTGTAAGTTATTTGCTTCAAAATATGGTGGTCATGCATGTGAATCTCCATCTTTTGAAGCTATAAACCTCTTTTACTTATTTGCAATGGTTGTTGATTTACTAAAGCAAGTAATTATGTATTTGAATTGGTTATTTCGTTTGACACTTGCTTGCATTGTGCTCTTATTTTACTATTTATGACTGCAGAGAGGAGATAGAAAAGCAAAAAGCACATGAACGCTATATGAAGCTGCAGGAACAAGGGAAAACCGAACAAGCAAGAAAAGATTTAGGTAACTAGTGGAAAACAATATGAATCATGGATTATTTATCTCCCATTATCAGGTGGTGTATACTGTAGTGAAACCTAAATTAAGTGTTTATTAAGTTGCTAAGGAGTTTTGATAGTCCTGACAAATCTTCTTATGCTACAAGCCTACAACATGGCTTTCTCTATCCTCTTTGCTGGACTGTTTTGCCACTTTAGGGTTAATTAAGTTTGAATATGCAAAGCTTAGGTTGAAATCATGTTCATTGACTAGGTGCTGAAGAAGGGAGATGAGATAACTCATCTCCCTTTTGAGTCATCAAAGGGAGTAGTACTGTATGCTGGGTTTAAACAATCCTCCATATTAGTGTGATACAAATGATAATGTGATTTGTCTAAGCATTGGTAGAAGATCATTATCCGTGGACCTAAATGGTTAGGTAACATAAAGTTTTAAAATTTGGCAGGAATCTGTTGGCAAGGTGTGTGTGAGAGGTCATATAAGATCTTTTCCTCAGATTTTTTGAACTGGTTTCTTCCTGCTATAGGTGTTATATTCTGAGGTAGTAAACTGTTTCAACTCTTATACTTTGATAATGATAAAGGAAAGTTGCAACTGAGGATGGAAAGTCTCTTTTGTGTTAAGTGTCAGAACTGCTTCTATTTTCCTTACCACTTAGCAATCTAGATCATTTTTTAATGGAATGGAGCTCTTGAGAAGGAAGGTTAAGAGATGAATATGCTGGTTTTAATCTACAATACTACTGAGTTGGTTTCTCCTATTTGATGGAGACAACTCCGTATCAGCTGAGTGTATTAGAATAATCCCAAGGTATCACCTTGATGTCTCATGGGTTCCTGCTGTGCACTTGGCTAATAGCCGAACTCCTTTGTTTTCTTTTTCTCCCTTGTTCCTGTGTTGTTTCATCTTATGTATTCTCTGATGATTACACTCTCTTATCTTTCACCATTCGCTGTACATTTTTTATTCTATTGGTCTATTGATTTTCAATTAATTGCTATTGCAGAGCGCTTAGCCCTGATAAGGCAACAAAGGGCAGAGGCTGCTAAGAAGAGAGAAGAAGAGAAGGCTGGTATAGTTCCTGTTGCTAATTATCTCCTCTTTACGTTATAATGCACCCTTTTTGCTCCTCTATGTCATGTTTCCTCTCTGGTTATTTATTTACTCCAAATTCTCTGATATAAAGAATAAGCGTTAGAGTTAGACCTGCCCTATATGCATATTTGCAATTTCTGTTGAAGCTGATATCATTTCTATTTGTTCTTGCAGCAAGAGAACTGAAGAAAGTTGAAGCTCGCAAATAACCAGGTTGATAAATCATTATGATCAAATTACCATAAGTTTTTCTCTATCATTTATATTTGACTTTTACATTTTGTATACTGAAGCTTTTATCCCATTAAAAAGGGTTTTGAAACTGATAGATGCTATCCATCTTCCAAACTTAATTGTACTTTATATCTGCTTTTGGATAATCTCTTCTGTGCCATCTGTTGACGTATCTTATCGATGACACTCTGTTGCACTAATACTAAAGCATGCTAAACATGTAAACCAAGAGCATAGATTTGGCTTGCAAGGGATATCTTCTGCTAAGTGAGCAGGGTTCATGGACTAGAACAGATCTTGCTGATCACCTGATTTTGCTATGCTAAAACATCTAGACTACTGTTGCTAGAGTTTTCATGGACTAGAATAGTTCTAGCTGATCGCCTCAATTTTCAAAGTTTGAACCTCTTGATTATTGTTGCTAGGGTTTCAGTTGTTTTGGGAGTTTAGTTCAAGTTTTAAATGATACTAGTTAAATGACACTCTGTTGTACTAATACTAAAGCATGCTAAACATGTAAACCAAGAGCATAGATTTGGCTTGCAAGGGATAACTTCTGCTAAGTGAGCAGGGTTCATGGACTAGAACAGATCTTGCTGATCACCTGATTTTGCTATGCTCAAACATCTAGATTACCTTTGCTAGAGTTTTCATGGACTAGAATAGTTCTAGCTGATCGCCTCAATTTTCAAAGTTTGAACCTCTTGATTATTGTTGCTAGGGTTTCAGTTGTTTGGGAGTTTAGTTCAAGTTTTAAATGATACTAGTTAAAATTTGGATTATTATGAGATCAAAGTTAGCTTTCAAATAATTTCTCATGTAGGAAGAAAACTAGAAAAAGAAAAGAAAATAAATGTTGTTCCATAGCTTCTTATTCCTTTCTTAAGTTGTAACTGTTGTGCTTGTCGAATGCCTCACGAATAAGATTGGTTTAAGCTCCTTTCATTTATGTTCACCAATAAGCTTTGTATTGCGCATACACGGGCAAGGAAAGCAGAGGCCGGCTGGGAGGGGTTGTTCGGAGGAAGGAGCTAGCTCAAGTCACCTTAGCTCATTACAGCACTCAAATTTATTAATTCATAAATAAAATGTTCAAGAGGAGGCTTCCAAAGTTGATTCCAAAATGGAAGCCGGTGATGCTTACGTTCATTGATCCTTACCCAAAAATAAGGAATATTAAAATAAATCTCATAACAAAATAAAGAATATATAAAACATAAAGGATAGAGGAAGTTGAAGGTGGTGGTGTAGGTAGCCTTCAAAATCGACAAAGCCAGCAAAATCCAACCTTGTTTTGGCAATTAAGAAAGTGAAAAGAATCTGGTCTGAGCGCTACTCATTGAAGCAAATTACAAGCTGGAGAAGGAAGACACCTTGTTAATTAGACTTCTCTTTCTTATATTCTCCTTGCCAACTTTTTAACCTTAATTCCCTTCAATAAAACAGGAAAGGAATATCTCTCAAGCATGAGTTAGGTGAAATTTAGGTTACATAAAAAGTTTAAAAATGACATCGATATGGTAAATATATTTTTAAAATTGTCTAAAAAGATTTTTGTTCGAATAAAATTAGAGGATACCTTTTATCGTCATTGTATTATGTTAAAAAAAAAAAAAGGTTTAAAATGGCAGACATTAATGGGTTTTTGATTTGTTGCAAATATTAGCAAACTTAGAAGCAAACAATCTATCTTTTTGCTAGAGCTTGGAATAATATTTATTCAATGGCAAATTAGATAAGTTGGAAAAGAGAAAATGAGAACATTGAAAATGATGTGGGATAAGGTTCAGCAGGTATTGGAATGAAATTTGGTAGGCTTTCAGAAAGTAAAGTTGGAATGATTAAGACCCTGTATAAAAATCTTTCTTATCATGTGGAAATTCGAATTTATAAAAAAAATAATAATAAATGACCACTTCATCTTTGCTCCTCAATCTTCAAATAATTATTATTTAGTTGTATTAATTAAGGACTTGAGATTAATTTAACCAAATTAGCTAGTGACTCATGCTCTAATGCATAATGTCATATATGGGATAATTGCTGATAGCCCCCTATCGTTTCAAAACTCATGATTAATCTCCCTAGACACATTTTTTGGGTACTATTTTGATATGAATTTTTTTCTGTATTTTAGATTTAAGTAATAATAATTTTAATAAAGTATTGTCCTAATTTGAAGAAAGATATAATTATTTTGAGCGTGCTCTCAAAAGAAATGTTATATATATATTGTTAATTGGAGAGGCAAATGGAAGAGATAAGAAACCCAGTCGTGTTGGATTGCTATTTGCTAAAGCTTGCCTACAAAGGGTGGGATCTCCCCATCCCATCTTTTTTGTTTCTTTGTGTTTTGCGGCTAGGAATTAGAGGACCCACATGCATAATGTGCTGAAAATTGAGCGTTTTGCATGGGAATCGAAGAATATGCCTTTCGTATTTTTTTTTTAATCACATTAAAAAATACACCCTTTTCCTGCAGTCTACGCCAATTCCCCCCCGCCCCCAAACCCAGCCCTTTGGCAGCCAAATCAATGCCCTTTTGCCCAGCAAATTAAAGCTGATGCCCTTTAACTTTCGCTTTTATTCTTTACGAGTTTTTTTTTTTCCTTTTGTTACGTTCGTTACGATAGATAAGAGATTATTTTTCGGTAAAAAAAAATTAAAATAAATAAATTTTTTAATTTTTTAAATTAAAACAAAATATATTATATTTAATAATTTAAAACAGATAATTTTATAATCATCAATAAATTTTAAATTTAAAATTTTTTCATAAAAAAAAGATGAATTTTAATAAATTAATTCCATCATTTAAAAAATCAAAAGTGACTCACAAGAATTAATCTTAGTATATAAAAAATTAATTTTTGGAATAAATACTTTAAAAATAGAATTTTAAATATATTACACTAATTTGAGAATTGAGAGGCTGTGTTCTAAAGTTATTTCAAGAAAATAAAATATAATCAATTTAATATTAATTCATATGGTATTTATGTTGATTAAGGAAGTTACTGGTTTAAATTTAAATAGATAAAAATTTTAAAAAATTTAAACAAAATGTACCCATACGGTAACCACATTATAAAAAAGAAAGGGTCAAAAGTGGATGACAATGTTAACTCAAAAACATGTTGAAAACATTTAATGAGTTAATTTTTTTAAGGCTTTTGTTTTGGTCAACAACAATGTACTTGACTCGTGAGTTGGACCACCTGTAATTCGGACTTGGTTATTTGGTGATCCACGAGTCCCTTTTGTACAGGCAAAGGTTGAAATGTTTTTATCTCAGATAATTTGTATAATAAATTTTAAAAATTAATATTTAATAAATTTAAATTTAACATTTATAATAATTTATTTTAAAATTATAATTTTTTTATAAAATTTTGAGAATTAAATTTGGCATGTACAATTAGAATGGATTTAACCTTGATAATTGTACAAGCACCAACCAATCTTTGTTAAAACAAATGGTCGGAAATACACCTATAATTACCTAAAGTTCCTTCTCTTTGATGTGCATTTGACTTAAAAAAAGGCAATTATTTTGCATGAATTTTATATAGGTCATTAAAATCTTGTTCTTTTTTTTTTAATTATAAACTACCTTTAAGAAGATCTATTATGCATTTTATTATTTTATATACTATGATAAAATTTTTTAATTTTATCTTATAATATTCTCATATGTTTTTATTTATTATAATAATTTATTAATTATTTAAAATTTTTTAATAAAATATATGATAATTTTAAATTTTAAAATCTTGATCAACTATGTATGAAATAATTTTTATAAATAATCAATCAACAATACATGGTTTCTTCTTTAATGTACCATGAAAATTATAAGGATCATTAAATCTTAAAAAAAAAAAGAAAAGAAAAAACAAATTATGATGTGAATCTTCATAATTGAAGTCTTATGTTTCAAATGGGGGCATGGTTATGAATAACAATTTTTATTTAGATCTCAATAAAAGATATAAAAATAATATAATTTAAAATTTTAATAAAAATTATAAATAGATTTAACAAAATTAAAAAAATATATTTTATATTTTCATGTTAATATGAATCGTGATACATAATTTTTATATAAAATAAAACATAAATATAATATTTTATATAATACAATGACACGAATTATTAAATTTATTTTTATTTAATAACTAACAAGTTATCAGTACAAGCACATAAAATAAAAAAAATAATTAATTTTTAATTTAAAATTACCCTTTTACAATTTTTATTTACAAAATATTATATCGAGTTAATATGTAATTAGTCGTAAATAATTTAAATTTAAAAATCATATTAAATTTTTTAATTTAACGTAATAATAATCAATGACTTAATCTTTAAATTATTCAATTAAATATCAAATTTATCAAAATTGAATTTTCCATGATTATGAACTATTTTAATATCACCTTATGTATATTTTCTTAATTTTAATGTCACTAAATAACATAAAATTAAAGTTGTAAATTTCTCAAGAAAAATGTCTAAATAAAAAAGAAAATTCATTTATAAATTAAATTCTCATTTACAATTCATAGAACCAATCCAAAGAGTAATAAAATAGAAAAAGAAAATAGTAATAATCAATAAAAAATTTTATACAAAATTCAAAATTTCCCTAAATAGAAAAACCTAATTTAAATTCAGACAAAATAAAAACCCCAATTTAAATAGGATTTTCTTACATATATTTTACTGTGGCTGTTAAAAAAAGCCAAAAAAAAAAAAAAAAAAAGTCCCCAAAGAACTCTGTTTATAAAGTAGAAATATGGCTGTGCCTCTTTCTATCTCTCTCGCTCTTCCTCTCATTTTTCTCTCTCTTTTAATTTCTTCTCTTTAATTTTGTTCATAATAATCAGATCTCTCGATCTCCCAATCTCTTTCTTTCCCTAATTTCGCTTCAATTCGGTTAGTCGCCTTCTTTTCTATATTTTTTTAAAGGTTTTTTTTTTCAAGATTTTTAATTGTACGTTTAATCTTTGAATCCCTAGGGTTCTACATTGTCTGAATTTTGATCAATGCGGTTTTAACTAACAAAAAGATTGATTATTTTCTTTTGGTTTCTTTCAGGGTTTCTTTAAGATAAGCTGCTGTTCTCTTTCTGTGCTTTGATTTTGTTCATGGTTATAAGGTACGGCAAAGAAAAAACACCCATAATTTTTCCTTTCTTTATTTTTTATTTTTTATTTTGCATGATGTTAACAAATTGGTTTGATAATTGTTTAATAAATAATGGGTATTTAACAAGTTGACAAATTTCTGTGAAATTAAGATATATATTTGAAAATTTCTCTTTTTTTTTTTCAAAATCTTT